AGCCTTCCAACCTTCATCGCCGACAATGCAGACCTTTCAACACTGAAGGCAAATCTCCTCTCTTACAAATTCTAAGTGTACATGTTGTTTTTATCATAAATTTCTAAAAAATAAAAAATAAATAAAAAGAATTGTTTTTAACCGATCTCTCTGACGCCTCTTAATAATGTTCCGTATATTGAACGTTTTAGATTATCCTGTTGAAGTTGAAGTTGAAGATGAAAGATGGTTAATTTACTCAGTCTGTTCAAAAAAGTGCCTAAACGTTTGAGAATATTCAGTTGCTGGGATGCCTTCCTGCAAATCTTACTTATTTGTACATAAAAATTTAGTTGTTTTTACCAACAGCCAAAACTTGAAATTTATCAGGGTTTGCTTGCATCTTATTTACCCTGAACCAATCTATTTATTAAAATATCATAAACNAGTGTTTTTACCAACAGCCAAAACTTGAAATTTATCAGGGTTTGCTTGCATCTTATTTACCCTGAACCAATCTATTTATTAAAATATCATAAACATTTTTTTTTTCGTTTTTTTCTCTTCTTGCCTATGGTAAAGATATACATTATTGCGGGAAATGAGCAGTACTAAGTAACGTCGAGTGTTTTATGGGAGACAACTCCTGCCCCTAGGACAGCACCGACCCCTGCCCCTAGGAGAGCACCGACTCCCGCCCCTAGGACAGCACCGATCCCTGCCCCTAGGACAGCACCGCCCCCCGCCAATAGGACACCAATACCGACATCGCCTTCGACACCAAGAGGGCAGTTTCACGTCTCGTTCAACGTGGGTGACGTTCCCTTGGAGCCTGTGGAGGTCCACCATGAGAGGTGAGTTGAAGAAATTGTAAACAATATTATCTTTTGGGAACACGGTTCATATAGTGAAAAACCCTATTATAGATCATGGTTGACAATATATGTAATTGATTTAAAAAAAATATACTTTCTTGTGGGAACACGGTTCATATAGTGATAAACCTTATTATAGTTATTGGTTGGTAATATATGTAATTGCCTTTTAGTGATTTAGACGAAGGACCCGCCATAGACGTCTCCGTCGTGGAAGATGTCGCGGTAACATACCAGGTTGTGGAGGGAGGAACAAAGAGAGGAGGCCGGAAGCTGGTCAGCTCAGACGGCTACAGCTACACGGTGAAGGTATGTGCAAAGCCTGTCTGTCATGTATCTCACTCCGGTTGAAATATCGAGTCCTAGTGGTTATTTTCTTTACTTCAGAAAGCTATTGTATGTCTTTCGCATAATTAGTTATGGTTTCTTTTTTATTATATAGAAAACGACAAGGACATCCACGGCATGGCCGTGCAGTGTTAGAAGCGTGTCCCTGTGGTGCAGAGCCAGTGTACTGCAGCATGGCGAAGAGTTCAGGTTTGGCCAGGTTGCCCACGTCCACGCACCAGATCCCGGAACGCTGATTAATGCGAAAGTGCGAGCAATTGTAAGTACATAGACAAAACCATATTCATCTGTTCGTGCTAAGTATCAACTGTTAACTTCAATGTATCAATTCATCCATTTCTATTCTCCTATCACTATATATTATAAATGCATGATTGATATATTTTCAGGTGAAGGAACAGGCCCGTGTACATTCCTATCGGTCGGCAGGCGCCTTAACAGAGGACGTCATGGCAGAGGAGGTTACACCTGATGATTTTAATCTTCCAAACCCGTCGCACATACAGCGCGCCGCCAACAGAGTCCGAGAAAAACTGCGTCCGAAAGAGCCAATCGATCTCGACTTTGAGGTATGGAATTGTAAACACAAATTGTTTGTATATGCTGCTAAACGAATTGGTTTAAAATGCCTCCACTGGACAAAAAAATGATTGGAAATATTTAACATGTATATACACTTACATGAAATAAGATGAACAACTTATATGTATTGCAGATAGACACTGCATTCTTGGGGTGCGAGGCCTCATGGGTGACATTCGCGTCGACGGGGAGCGCCACATCATCTTTGGAACCCCATTGCAGCAGGAGTTCCTACGTCGGCAAAGAGGTATGTTTCCTGCGTCCATCTTGATAAACGTATTTGAATTAATTTACATTTCGAAAGGGCATTAACAATGTTATTATAATTTTGGCCAAATCCTTAAATAAATATTGTACATTTTAATGTTAATAATTGATATTAAATTTTTAGGTGGTATCTAGATGGGACATTTAAGGTTGTTCGGTGCCCCTTCGTGCAGATTTATAGCCTCCATGCCTTCATTCAGCAAGAGGATTCCATGAAGCAGGTGCCCCTCATCTATATCCTTATGTCGAGGATGCGCAAGATCGATTATCTGGCCGTAAGTATAACCATGTCTAAAGTGTCATTAAACTCCCGTCTCCACATGATCATAAACAAAGAAATCTCTTACTTTCAATCGTATAATACATTGTCAGAAACATATCGGACGTAATTGCAAACACTGGAACATTGTTTATTTACTCGTCCCTGAAATACATTGATCCGTAAGAAATGTGAAATGTTATATTCAAAATTTATAAATGTATCCACCTACTCTTAGGTTTTCCGCCACATCAACGAGGCCATTGGTACGCTTAACGTACGGAGCATCGTGATGGACTTCGAAGCTGGTGAGGAACTATTGAGAAAATAGCTTAATATTTTAAAAAAATGTAAATATCTAAATGTACAACGAAAAATGAAATTATGTAATATCACAATGCCCTATGTAACAAAGAAAAAAAAGCGCGATAATGATTATACATATCTTTCATCAATTTACAATGATGATATCCTTTTTTTCCAGCCGTGTGGTCCGCAGTGAAGGTAGTATATCCGGAGGTGGACATCACCGGCTGCTATTTCCACTGGGCCCAGGCAGTGATACGGAAAGTGCAGGACCTTGGATTGAAAACAACCTACTGTGAGAAGAAGGGTCTGTACGTCTTCGTCCAACAGCTCCTCGGCCTACCCTACCTCCCGCCAGGACACATCGAGAAGGCATTCGAGAGTTTGACCGCCAAGGTAAAATATTCAGTTATAAATTAAAAAGTTTCGGGACATTTGATATGATTTATTAGCTCGTAATAGTTTGTTATTTTCCGGAACAGGAATACATATACCTGTACACATCAATTATGTAAGTTCTTTTATGGGCATCACATGTTTAGCAAGGTTCGTTAGCTCTATAATTACAAATAAATAAATACCATGACCAATGCAGTGTGACCGCGGGAACATGATGTACGTATAAGTATATATAAATATATAAGAATATCTTAATTTTGTTTTAGCTTCCTAATCCAGCGGTAGAGGGCCTTGTTTCATACCTGGAGACGGCCTGGCTGCGAAATCATAGCTGGAGCGTGCGGCAATGGAGCGTCTTCCGCCAAAGCATCCCCACCAATAATGACTGCGAAGGTTAGTTGCTGTAACGGCTATATGGTTCCAAATATTAAATATATCGTATTATTTCGGTCGAAAAATGTCACACTGGTAATATAGCGCCGAAACACAAGATAATAAGATGACGCAATATATCATGTTAAAACATCGTACTCTAGCAATAACATCTAATATTATTTGCTTTTTGTTTAAAGGCTGGCACAGACGCTTCAACGGGAAGGCAGGCCGAGCAATGCTACACTTCTACCTGTTGGTACCCCTTCTTCGGAAGGAGTCCAACACGGTAGAAGTCACCAGGCGCCTGGTGGAGGAGCAGGTCCTCACTCGTCACCGCCGCGCCAGAAACAGTTTCAGGGAGAAAAAAGTGGACCATCAGCCCTCGCCGTATTACAAGCATACGATACGGACATCCGCGTCCCCCCGGGCTGTGTCCAAGCTGTGTGCCCCAGGCTTCCCTGAGTGAAGTGTGTTAATGACAATGGACAAATAGTATTGTGAATTAATTGTGATCGAAAATTGTGAATTCATGACTTTAGCCAATTAGTCAAGTCTGTTTACAGGAAATATAAGGTCAACATCAAACTAATTGCAGCGTAATTTGATTACATACTTACTGATAAATACGTGTTTTTTTTTGTATATGCGATACGACACAATTGCTCTAACCCATATCAGCCCTCGCCGTATTACACCCCAAAACCCGCATCAGCCCCCGCCCCAAAACCCGTATCAGCCCGCAAAACCCATATCACACCCCTTTTGGATTTTTTTCCGTTTTTCAATATTTCAAAAAGAAAATTAAATCATAATATAGTAGTTTTTATTAGTAAATATGTAACAAACAGAATAAAACACGCCTTTTTCCATATCACACCAAGTATCAACTTCGGTCCTTGGGCTGATATTGCAGTCTCGGGTTGATACTGGGTGTGATATGGAAAAAGGCATGTATTATTCTTTATATAATACATACAGTTTACCTGTTAAATGGTATCCCATCAGGATTTTCATTACCCCTACCCCCTAAAAAAATTGTGAAAACTTCCAAAAATGTACACGGCAAATATCTGTGAAGTATTTTACATATTTAAAACTAAAATATTTTGGTATATGTTGGTCTAACTAGATGTAATAATGTACAACATATTAAAAAAAAAAAAAAAACATTTTGTGCTATATAATTAAATAATGTATGAAAGTTTGGTGTGTCGTAATAATATGTGAACATATGTCATAATCTATTATTTGCTATTTATTAAATATATGTTGTTATTGTTGATTGTATCAAATATTACATAATGAACATAATGTATCATGTTTTTCTTGTCTTTTGATCAATGTATGTAACGGGCTAAGGGCGACAACCTGTACACTGTACAATAAACACGATGCAAAATGTAAAACTGTTACATCCATATCTATGTAAACATTCGATCCAATCATAAAACATATTTTAATGGTGATATGTGAAGGAAAACACTATATAGAGGCCGGAACGACTAAGGGGCCGGAACTACAAGGGGGCCGGAACTACTAGGGCCGGACAGGGTAGTGGCCGGAACTACTAGGGGGCCGGACCTGGAGAGGCCGGAACGACTTGATACGAAACAACCAATCAAAACAGTTGTTACATAAAGGCTACTGATCGAAGGAGCAACATGGCCGCCTTCGGCATGTTGTTGGGACGGTCAATCCTCAGATCGACTCGTGCACTAGGTAGACCAAATAGGGGAAAAACAATGTTTGCATTTTTCATATCTGCTTTAAATGTTTCCATTCAAGCTTGTGACTGAACATATGTCTTACCGGAATATAGCTGCAGTGCATTGTCAATGGGGTGTCCTCTGACGGTCTTTACCTGTTTACTTTCATGCACAGGGGTTCACAACAAACATATGCCATACTGTAATGGGGGTCACAGCACACATTAGGATACACTAAATGTGCTGTAACCCGTACATCAGTATAGACTAAAAGCAATGTATGTTCAGAGACAGATTTTTTTTGACTCGGGTATTTGAGTCATGGGCACGAATTCATGAAAATGTTTCGAACTCAAACATGGATTTTGTGCTCAAACTGATTTTCTTGTAGATCGCTTAAATAAAATGATACGGTCAAAAAATTCAATGGAAACGTTGAATATGTTGTTTGATTATAAGTCGCGCCAAAATTCTTTCAGATCATTGACAAAATGTGATTTTGAACTTGAGCACAGAATCTGACTTTGAGCGTGAGTATGGTTTCATGAATACAGGCACTGGTCTCGTGATTTATGTATGTTGGACTCACTTACTTCTGAAAATCCAGTAGAAAAGTGGAAGGGCTCTACAGTAAATATGAATTTTGTATCGGTAGTTTTGTTGCTGACACATGTACTATATGTAGAATGGCTGCAATGATACATTAATTAACATGATGATATGATACGTATTACGTTACCGTGGTCAAGATACATATATAGTAACAGTAGAAGCAAATTTTAAAGAGAAAAGATTTGTTGCAAAATTTAAAGCCCTGCTATGAAGCAGTACATTATTACTAAATCAGAAATTACTTTGGTATATCCACCGCACCAGGAATTAAGAAAAATATTTGAAACATTTTTCAGAGGTGAACAGCTTGCTGACCGGGACTGTGAGTAGACCACTTCTGGAGACATGTTGTCGCCCCACCACAATCATCATCACCAGAGATGCCAGTTTCTTCAACAGATGTAATTATCAGTTAGCTTTAGAGGAAAATGAGTGATTATGGCTACGTCATATAAATACCGGGCCCAGTTTTATAAAAAAAACTGATTAGCTTGATGCAATTTTTCAAAATATGAAATAAATGGTGGTCCAACATTCCACGCTTATAATCAGGGGTTGATGCAGGAATAGAAAGTTAGTTCCTTTTTATCGAAATAGGGGGAAATCTGGTCTGGATCTGTTGACATGATCGCCGGCGGGAGGGTGGCCGCAGGCAGGAGCCAGGAGGAGAGTACGAAAGGGAGGCACGGATGCCATCTTAAAATTTTGTATCTTGTATTGTTGTTCATTATAAATACTTTGAATCGACCACCGAATATACATTAGAATAAAGTGTTTGTGTGACTGTTATGATATTGAATAGCCTAAATAGGGCAAGCTGCAAACGGTGTTGTAAAAGAATGGCAATGACAACATGAACACAATGAAAATGAAATCAAGACAGATATTTATGTGGTAGTTCATTTTTATTTCAGTTATAAGTGGGGGGAATTTTTAACTGAAACAGGGGAAAATAAATGCTGAAATTGGAGAGGGGAACTGGCTCATAATCGGCCATAAAAAAGGCCTGTATTATGTACATGGTATGTAGATACTTATGATAGCATGCTTGGATGTAATAGATAAGCTTTCCTCACCTTGGTGGGGAAGACAGAAAAATCTCAACCCAAGAGGTAAGCTTCGTAAATGTCTAGATGAGGCATTACAAATGTCTTATATACCTCAGCAATAAGCCAATCATGCAAAAGTACAAAATACCCTTACACATATACCTTATAAAATACTGAAATTAGCCGATGGTCCAATGCCCGAGGCCAGTAAATTATCTGTTGGACCAGTAAAGTTTGTGAAGCCAAAGGTCCGACAGGCCAGTGCAAAAATATCATAGAAACAAATACACATATATATTGTTAGCTCACCTGGTCCGGAGGACCATAATGAGCTTATGCCGTGGTGCAGCAACCGTCGTCCTTCGTCCATTTTAAAAAAAAATGGTCGTAATTGAAGGTCTGGACATTAGTTTGTAGACTTGTGACATATATCCTGAATTGCTGGATTAACTAAGTTGTTTCTTTCATTAACACAGTATCAGCTGAGCAGGTCTGGGACAGTGTACAAGGAGTTAGTAACCAAGGAAAGATGAAGGGCCGTGCAAAAGGAAAACGCAAGAGGTTCAGGGTCGTAAAGCAGTTTGGGGAAGGAGGTAAACTTTCACATGTTTGGATACCAAAACTTTGAGGTTCATTATCTATTAGGTCTTATGCAGATTCGATATTTTATAATACTTAGTTTTTAGCTCACCTGCCCTTATGTCATGGTGCGGCGTCTGTCGTCCGTCCGTCCGTCCTTGTCCATCAACTTTTCCTTTTAACAACTTCATCTGAAGAACGGACATGCCTAAGGTCATGATATTTGGCTGAAAGCTTTGTTGGTAGAAGCCTGACAAAGGTCGAGAATGAAAATGACCTTAACCTGCTTTCAAGGTCACAGGGGTCAAATATGTCAAACTCTTTAAACGACTTCTTCTGAAGGACCAAAAGGTATAGAATCTTTATATTTGGCTGGTGGGTTCCTGGGATAGAGCCAACAAAGTTTGAGAATTAAAATGACCTTGACCTGCATTCAAGGTCACAGTGGTCAAATATGTAAAACTCTTGAAACATTTCTTCCGAAGAACTAAAAGGTGTAGAACCTTCATATTTGCTTTGTGGCTTCCTGAGATAGAGCCTGACAAAGTTTGAGAATGAAAATGACTTTGACCTTCTTCAAGGTCACAGGTGTCAAATATGTCAAAAGCATCAAGCGACTTCTGAAAAATCGAAAGGCATAAAATTATAATATTTGGCTAGTGGCTTCTTGGGTTAGAGCTCACCCAAGTTTGCAAATTAAAATAACCTCAACCTACTTTTAATGTCACAGAGGTCAACAACATTTCAAAGGATTTGTTCTGAAGAACCAAAAGGAATGGATTCATAAGATTTGGCTGGTAGCTTCTTGGGATAGAGCTATAAAAGTTTGAAAAGGAAAATGAATTGACATACTTACAAGGTCACAGGGAAAAATATGTCAAACAACTTTTGAAGAAGAACGATGGCCAAAAAGCATAAAATCTTATAATAATATTTGCCTGGTAGTTTCAACAGATGGAGCCGACAAAGTTTGCGAGTGACAAATTTGTAGTACAATATAATATTTAATGATAATATTTGCTATGACTGCTTAAAAATTCAGGTGAGCGATACCGGCCCTCTTGGGCCTCTTGTTTTGTCCAATGTATCAACCATTTTTTTGTGTAAAAAAGCAAATTTAGCAAAACTTTCTGGATAACATACAGGAAATCTAATGCCCAAAGAGCAGAAAAAGTCTGGTATAACATAGGTATACCGGAGATTTAAAGAAGCAGGAATCACTAGCAAGCTGGTGTAATAATTATTAATATGTTCATAATGTGGCGTCGATTGGTGATAGCAAAGTAGACATAAACAACGTTATGATGGGCTTTTCGATTGTTTTGTCATAATGTACCATCATCCTGTGATTGTGATGTCATAATTTGATGGGATTTTTAGGTCACCTGAGCTTTAGCTCAAGTGACCTATTGCTATCCGTTTTCGGCCGTCGTCGTCCGTCGTCCGTCGTCTGTTAACATTTTACATTTCAAACTTAAAGTCAAGTTCTGCTAGGCCGATTGAACTGAAAGTTTGTAGGAATGATCGACTCATGGTCCTGACAAAGTTAAGTTAACATTATACTATTTTTTACTCAAATTGGTACATATTTCAACAACAAAAATAAATACTGTAGACTCAGGTGACCGTTTAGGCCCATGGGCCTCTTGTTGTTGTGTGTGATGTCATACTTCAAAGTTGTCATGTGATTATGATGTCATTGAAGTGAAAGTCACCGAGCATGTCCATGTAGGATACACGTATGACTTATCCATATGGAACATGTGTACCATACATATGTAGAGGTGGGAGGAAAATATACACGTGGGACGTGTATATATATATATATATATGTAAAGGTTATATCTATGTGTTCACGTTTATGTCTTGAAAAAGGGGCGGATTGGCCTGAAAATTTGACAAATTCCTTTGTCTACACTGTCGCTATTACTTCTTTGCTTATATACCCAACACACTTTTTGTTTGTTTAGATAAACTCATAAAGTACCCATATTGGATTATACTGTTGTTATTAGTCCCCCACCAGTTCCCAGGGGGAGGGGGGAACTATAGGTTTGCACTCCGTCCGTCTGTCTGCCGTCCATCCGTCCTGTCTTCTGTCCTTCCTTCCGTCCAAGAAGTTTGTCTGGGACATATCTTTTATACCGTTTCACCTAGAATAACCAAATTTGGTGTACAAGGACATCTTGGAATGGCGAAGTGCAGAGTGCAAAAAGATGGTCACTATGACCTCACTGTGACCTATGACTTGACCTTTGACCTTCACTTTTGAAAACATTTGTCTGGGGCATATCTTCTACGCTTTTTCACCTGGGGTAACCAGTTTTTGTGTACAAGAACATTTTGGGATGCCAAAGTGCAAGAACTAGGTCACAGTGACCTTTGACTTGACCTTTGACCTTAACTTTTGAAAATGGTTGTCAGGGGCATTTCTTCTATACTATTTCACCTTGAGTAACCCGATTTTGTGTACAATGACATCTTGGGATGTCGGAGTACAAGAAGTAGGTCAATATATATATCCTCACTGTGACTGTATGCTAATTGTACTGTTTGTTTAGTATAGAAATCATAACCAATGGGGGACTATGGATTGCCTTGCAATGTTCTGCCTTGTTACTTATGAGACCTATATATAAAATGTATAGATGTACAAATATATTTGTTTGTGACTTTACCGTAATATGTATCTTTATGTTATTAATATATTTTCATTTTCAGGAAAGTTTAAAATGATTTACCCAGCAATCGGTAAAAAGGGATTAGAAACGAATATCAGTTCAGAGAAAGTAGAAGGTGCAGAAATTGATGACAAAACAGATACCCATACTAAAAAAAGACCGAAGAGAGAAAAATTGTTCCCGTTGCAGCGAGGCTATACTGGGAGGCGTGTTGTCGGGAAAAGACTTGTACCCCCGAAACCGCAAGGGCAGTGTAAGTCAAGCAACCACTTATTGCATTGATTCTTATAATTTCCTTGATTCATTTAAATTTAATTTTTATTGCCCATCTGGATCTGCTCCTGATGTTTCTAAAGGCAATCTCTGTGCAGCTAAACGGTTACATTAATCTTGAAACAAATTTTCATGTACTTTTATAGTAATTACATTTACTCTATAGCTGCTATTTACTCTTACAACAATGACATTTACTCTATAGCTGCTATTTACTCTTACAACAATTACATTTACTCTATAGCTGCTATTTACTCTTACAACAATTACATTTACTCTATAGCTGCTATTTACTCTTACAACAATTACATTTACTCTATAGCTGCTATTTACTCTTACAACAATTACATTTACTCTATAGCTGCTATTTACTCTTACAACAATTACATTTACTCTATAGCTGCTATTTACTCTTACAACAATTACATTTACTCTATAGCTGCTATTTACTCTTACAACAATTACATTTACTCTATAGCTGCTATTTACTCTTACAACAATTACATTTACTCTATAGCTGCTATTTACTCTTACAACAATTACATTTACTCTATAGCTGCTATTTACTCTTACAACAATTACATTTACTCTATAGCTGCTATTTACTCTTACAACAATGACATTTACTCTATAGCTGCTATTTACTTTTACAACAATTACATTTACTCTATAGCTGCTATTTACTCTTACAACAATCACATTTACTCTATAGCTGCTATTTACTCTTACAACAATTACATTTACTCTATAGCTGCTATTTACTCTTACAACAATTACATTTACTCTATAGCTGCTATTTACTCTTACAACAATTACATTTACTCTATAGCTGCTATTTACTCTTACAACAATTACATTTACTCTATAGCTGCTATTTACTCTTACAACAATTACATTTACTCTATAGCTGCTATTTACTCTTACAACAATTACATTTACTCTATAGCTGCTATTTACTCTTACAACAATTACATTTACTCTATAGCTGCTATTTACTCTTACAACAATTACATTTACTCTATAGCTGCTATTTACTCTTACAACAATTACATTTACTCTATAGCTGCTATTTACTCTTACAACAATTACATTTACTCTATAGCTGCTATTTACTCTTACAACAATGACATTTACTCTATAGCTGCTATTTACTCTTACAACAATTACATTTACTCTATAGCTGCTATTTACTCTTACAACAATTACATTTACTCTATAGCTGCTATTTACTCTTACAACAATTACATTTACTCTATAGCTGCTATTTACTCTTACAACAATTACATTTACTCTATAGCTGCTATTTACTCTTACAACAATTACATTTACTCTATAGCTGCTATTTACTCTTACAACAATTACATTTACTCTATAGCTGCTATTTACTCTTACAACAATTACATTTACTCTATAGCTTATATTTACTCTGACAACAATCACATTTACTCTATAGCTGCTATTTACTCTTACAACAATTACATTTACTCTATAGCTGCTATTTACTCTTACAACAATTACATTTACTCTATAGCTGCTATTTACTCTTACAACAATTACATTTACTCTATAGCTGCTATTTACTCTTACAACAATTACATTTACTCTATAGCTGCTATTTACTCTTACAACAATTACATTTACTCTATAGCTGCTATTTACTCTTACAACAATTACATTTACTCTATAGCTGCTATTTACTCTTACAACAATTACATTTACTCTATAGCTGCTATTTACTCTTACAACAATTACATTTACTCTATAGCTGCTATTTACTCTTACAACAATTACATTTACTCTATAGCTGCTATTTACTCTTACAACAATTACATTTACTCTATAGCTGCTATTTACTCTTACAACAATTACATTTACTCTATAGCTGCTATTTACTCTTACAACAATTACATTTACTCTATAGCTGCTATTTACTCTTACAACAAGTACATTTACTCTATAGCTTATATTTACTCTGACAACAATCACATTTACTCTATAGCTGCTATTCACTCTTACAACAAATACATTTACTCTATAGCTGCTATTTACTCTTACAACAATTACATTTACTCTATAGCTTATATTTACTCTTACAACAATGACATTTACTGCAAAGCAGTTACATTCAGTGCATATCCATCGTATTTGTTTACAGAGTATCTCTTTCGCTGTTGTATAAATTAAGGGCGTGGCTCCCCTAAGTCAGAAAAGCAGGACCAGAATAGGAAAATGGGGGTTAATCTTTAAATTTAAAGATTACCCTTTAAGTATGGGCAAAGGGATTTTTTCCTCATTAGCTCACAAAATATGAAGTACCAGGGGAAGTAGTGGTTAATCTTTAACCCATTCACCCCTAAAGTCACATTTGAACTTAATCAAATCAAAGACTAAGCAAGTCCAGTTTAAATATGTAGGGGTGAATGAGCTAAAATTGAAGACTACCCTTTGAGTATGGGAGAAGAGATTTTGACCTCATTAGCTCACTTAGTACAAAGTACCAGGGTGATTTTTAAGTGGTGGTTGTCTTTTGCTGTCAGTCCACTTTTGCATAAACAGCATCTTCTCCTTAATTGCTGAACATAATGCATCCAGATTTTGTTGTTGGAATCACTAGGTTAAGGTCTTTTTTTTTACATAATTGTAAATTGGTTGATGTTCCTGTGGCTGAGGCACAGGGTTGAAAGAGGTCAATTAAGCTGATTTTCTTTAAAAGGACATCTCTTACTTAAGTACTGAACAGATTTTAACCAAGTTGTAATAAAACATGATAGACCCATAGGGTTCAATTTTTTTTACTTATAAAGAGCTGACCCTCCTGGGGCTGATGGGTAATTAGGTTAAAGGGGTCAGTCAGATTGGCTGATTTGCTCATGGCATGGTTAGTCCATAGAAATCATAACTTTTACCAACAAAATTCCTATCGGCTCTCCTCACAAACTATTTGGCCAATTTCAATTTAATATCCAAAAAAGCTGTGTAAGACAATCTAAACTGGGCCATTCGGTCTACTGTTTGGCACCAGGACTGTGCGTCCATGCCCATGGACAAAGGAAATTCAATGATGCATAAATCAGTATCTTGACACAAAATCAAGGTACATGTATATGCATCAAATGCGGTATCATTTTAAGACATGGATTTTTGGTAGGCAGTTTTTTAAGGCTACTAACATCCAAACATAGGATCTTAACTGATATTCTAGGTCACAGATGTCAGTCATTTACAGAATTTTAAATTTCAGTATTAAATATCTTTTGCTAGTACATGTGTATAATTATATAACAGCTCAGCAATACAGAACCATTACTCCTTTTGTTTTGCTGTTGTACACTTGTTTTTATTTTATTGTTCAAACTTTCTAATTTAATTGTCTTTATTTTCAGTTACCTTTGAAGGGTTCGAGGCAGTGTGTGTTCATGTAAGTTTATTGAATTTATTGATTACAATAAAAAAAAATTGTGCTTAACCATCTAGAGCATATGACAGTGTTTGAGTCCCCATTAGGCTGATAGGAATCACACATGTTGACTTCTGGCGTCAACGTCAACTGGTGTCGTACTTCTAAACAGCGTTTTTATTCAAATCATCCTGCGTTCGTTCTCCATCGTCCGTCTGTACGTCTTTAAACAATTCTTGTTAGCGTTATTTCTCAGAAAGTACTGGAGGGATCTTTCTAAAATTTCGCAAGAAAGTTCCCTAGATATACATATAGTTTGTTGGGACTGATTGCAAAACCAAGATGGCCGACAGGCAGCCATCTTTAATTTGAAAGTCAAAGTTTGTTAGCGCTATTTTTCAGAATGTACCAAAGGGATCTTTCTCAAATCTTACATAAAGGTTCCCCATGGTTCCTAGTTATGCATATCTTATTTTGGGACTGATCACAAAACCGAGATGGCCGGCCGGCAGCCAGCCATCTTGAATTGGAGAATGAAAGTTTGTTAGCACTATTTTTCATAATGTTTTGGTTGGATATTTCTCCAATTTCACATAAAGGTTCCACATGGTCCTTAGTTATGCATACTGTATTTTGAGACTGATCACAAAACTAAGTTGGCCGATAGGCAGCCATCTTGCATTTGAGAATGAAAGTTTGTTAGCACTATTTCTCAGAATTTACTGGAGGAAGTTTTCTCAAATTTGATATGTAGGTTTCCCTTGGTCCTGAGTTGTGCATGTTAACTTTTGAGGTTGATCGAAAGATTGATTAAGATGGCGGATAGGCAAACTGATGGACCAGAAACTAGAAAAGAAGAGAAAAGATCAAACCGACATAGAACTAATGAAAATGGTACTATGGTGAGCGCCAAGATCCCACTGGGATCCCTTGTTTAAATAATTGCAAAGAGTAATTGGAGAGCTTCTTATAAAAATTATAGGTTAAAAAACAAAAATTGAAAGAAACTTCCCACAGCTTTAGTGCCAAATCGGTTTTTGTGCAAGGCAAGGTGACATATATAGGTAATACTTGGAATTTCTTTTCAGGTCCGAAAGTCAAAGGTCAAGGTCATCGTTACTATAAATAGAAAATTATTTTCGTGCGATAACTTGAGTTTCTTTAGGTTGATCGAGCTCAGACTTCATACAGTGCCTCCTTACCATTAGTGCTTACTTGGGATTGCTTTTCAGGTCCAAAGGTCATTTAGGTCACCATTACTATAAATAGAATATCTGTTTCCATGCGATAACTCGACATCCCTTCGGTTGCTCGAAGTCACCGTTAATATAAATAGATCCCGTCCTCATAATCTCATTAGAGTTGCCTGTGGAATTCTTGTTTTACTAACATATACCCAAATTTTAAACAACAAGTACTGTTGTTATCTTAAATATTGCCATTATATAACTTTAGTACAAATATTTTGACAAGCAGTCCTTATTGGTAGGAAGTGGAGTGCAAAAAAAAAACAATTATTTTGTTTGTCCTTGTTCAAGTCTCTGTCAGGTGCAGAATTTTAGTATAATTTCTATTTTCAGCAATCAATTGTCGCCAACATGACAGGAACGCTGGGTCGAAAGAGGTCCTTTACCACCCTTGTCGTGTTAGGGAACGGCAAAGGTTTAGCAGGTACGTTATAGCTTTATTAAACAGTCAAACTCAAGGTTTCAAACTTAACGGAAACATCGGGGAAAATTCCAAAACATTGAGACTTTCAACCTAAGAATGGGATCTTGTTTTTGCTGTAAGTTTGACACATGGAGAAATTTAAATCTTTCTAGTTTGATTTTGATATAGAAGTTTGACTGTAACTATGTAAGAGTTGAGCAACTGGTCGTGAATCATAACGGTTTGACGGGTAGGTTGTCATTATTTATCGACAGTTGACTGACTTTGCCGTTTGTTCGGACATGGACAGGTCAGGTGGATACCAAATGTGTTGCTATAACAGTAAACACAAGAGGCCTATTGGATCTGTATCGTACGATGGCCGATAGCGGCCGACAGAACACTCATGTTAGTAAAATGTGTTTTGTCTGACAGTTTGTCAAATTATAAGTGGGCATTTTACACATTTTGTAAAAAGTGTAAACTGTCATGACACTTTGTCAATTCATGCATGGCAGTTTACTCATTTTTCTTTCACAAAATAAACATTGGGGGAGGAGGGAGAGATGGAAATAGGGTCACATTCCAAGGGCTGAGTGACTAAAATGAACAAAAGATAATCCATAGTAGCGTAGAAATTAATCACATGAAAGTACTGACTGTTCAAAATGCTAGACATGTCATGCTTTCTGCAAATTTTATACCACAGCTCAATGATTGTGACGTGGTAGAAATTGATATTTTCGAAAATCGTTTTGAAAACTAAGCAGTATTGATTATATTAATAAAATGTTCGACATATTCCTCACTTTCAGCTTATAAGGCATGCAAAACAATTTCACATTCCATTTTTATATGAAGTTTCAGTTCGTGAACATTATCTTAATGACATATATTTCGTGAAATTTTGTGTGTGAAATAAACCGCATATTATTTGAATTTTCGAAAGGGATTGGAGCATTTACCATACTTATGTCAACGGACACCCGAAGGAGCTAATGACTGCGCAAACATATGTCCGCAACGATAAAATGTAATACATATCGTATATCTCAAATATATTATTATACTATTACATGTATCAGTGGATACATCATGTGTATTAGGAGATACAACGCATACATCAAATCGAAGGGTTGAACATTTAATACCACTACAGTATACTTACTGTCTTGAGGTTCAGTCTGCATTTTGAAATGTCACTGAAAATAACATGATATGTATACTACTAATTTGTCAATAGTCACTGAGTATTACATTTGTACAATAATTACAATTATCATTACGGTGTTCTCCCGGATAAGTTAAGTTAATGGTATGAACTATTGTATCAAGATTGTAACAATTCTGTGCTATATTAATAAAAAGAGTATATCAAACATTACGGTTAAAATGTATGCAGACTTTGACTATGCCATCATTTCTATCAAAACAACTTTTAAAACAACTATTAGCCTCCTATTTGTGACCTTCAGATCAAGCATACGGTGTGTAACATGACAAAGAAAGGTTATCCTGGTACAAGGAGAGTCTAGTGCTACCTTCAGTATTGAACTTGTGATCGTCAATAAATCCTTAAGTTTACATATTCAAAACAGTATACATATACTTGTAAAATATAAATACTTTTTAAACAGCATCGTTTTTCTTACTTCATAGCAGGAACTCCCTCTTGCTCCCAGTGTACACAATGAACAGTTAAAAACACCGTCTAATCCGTGTGATTTATGTTTAAACCCTTGGAATGTGACCTAATTTCTATCTCTCCATCCTCCCCCAGTGTTTATTTTGTGAAAGTAAAATGAGTAAACTGCCATGCATGAATTGACAAAGTGTGATGACAGTTTACACTTTTTACAAAATGTGTAAAATGCCCACTTATAATTTGACAAACTGTCAGACAGAACACTTTTTACTAATACGAATGTTCTGTCGGCCGCTATCGGCCATCGTAGTATCGATCACCTGTTATCCAATGCTGTTGCCAAACACATTATACATCTGAGACCTTAAAAGGGGGTAAAGGTGAAATCTATGTAAACAAACTTGAAATCAGGCAAGCTAATGCTACAGGCTTAATTCCATTTCTTGACATGATGGATATCTGTTGGTAGATTTTAATTCTGGTCGTAAAGTTTGTAGCACCTTAAGTACAAATCAAGGTCCATATCTGTTTGCTTACTATGTAGCAGTTTAAGCAAACAAGCTACTGGCCATGAGGCCTTTCGGTTCATCAGGATTGATGATTTGGAATGTTTTACATATTAAACTCCTTGCCACTTTAAAAGAAGAGCAGGATCCTATTTTTGGCAACTTTTGCCTGGCGTTCATACCAGGAAGCTAATTGCCAAATATTATGACCCTATGCCAAGTGGTTCTTAAGAAGAAGATTTTCAAGCAATCATTTATTGTGTTATGTTTTCGTCTAACAGGATATGCTTCTGCAACTTCCACGACTCAGTTTCGCTGTATCGATAAGGTAAGAATGAAAATCTAACTAACACATTTGAATCATTTAAAGATTATTATAACAGAAACTAGGGGTGTGACAATACGCCAAGAGAGTGTATCACGATATATTGCAATACAGAATGAATATATTGCGATACCTGTTCCGATATATTGTCATAGGAAGGATCTGCTCAATTTTATAATAAGATGTTGTCAGAAACTTAATCATATATAATATGGATTACATTGATTTCAGATTTTTGTCAAACCAACCTACTATGCCTATTGGCATATCTGTTTGAATTTGTAGTAATTTGCAAAGTTAAAACACCAAGCAGAATGAGATACATAAAAACAAGCTATGAAAAATATTTCGATACAGCAATATTTCATCTCTGGTGGTACGATATGACATGCCTGTGTATTGCGATATACCTGTTTTCCGATATTATTGTGTGTGACAGCCCTACCGGAAACAAGAGTCTCCATTAAATTTCCGAGCAAAACAAATGTATTGTGTCAGTGCATGATGCCTATGTCAACATCTAGGATAGAGTAAGAGTGATTTTTTTCAAACCATCAACAATTAGGGCAAGCCCAGGTTTGACTGCCAACATCTGGGGCGACTTTATTCACAGTCTGACGTGGTCTAAAAGTATTTGTATAGATATTAGTTAAATTTTGGTTGTCCACATTAAAATTGGGATTGAAATAAAACAGAATGAATTGCATAAAATACTTCATAAAATAATGAGTTGGTTTTACAAACCTGAAGAAATTACGAAATGTACTTGTAATTGTTTCAGGCAAGGCATGGGGCGTCACAACAATTGCAGCACATTGACCTGTATGATGGCCACACAGGTAGGTACAAAGTCACCTGTATGACAGCCACACATGTAGGTACAAGGTCATCTGTATGACAGCCATACAGCTAGGTACAAGGTCACCTGTATGAAAGCCATACAGGTAGGTACAAAGTCACCTGTATGACAGCCATACAGGTAGGTACAAGGTCACCTGTATGACAGCCATACAGGTAGATACAAGGTCATCTGTATGACAGCCACACATGTAGGTACAAGGTCATCTGTATGACAGCCATACAGCTAGGTACAAGGTCACCTGTATGACAGCCATACAGGTAGCTACAAAGTAACCTGTATGACAGCCATACAGGTAGGTACAAGGTCATCTGTATGACAGCCATACAGGTAGGTACAAGGTCATCTGTATGACAGCCACACATGTAGTTACAAGGTCATCTGTATGACAGCCATACAGCTAGATACAAGGTCACCTGTATGACAGCCATACAGGTAGCTACAAAGTAACCTGTATGACAGCCATACAGGTAGGTACAAGGTCACCTGTATGACAGCCACACATGTAGGTACAAAGTCACATGTACATGTATGACAGCCACACAGGTAGGTACAAAGACACATGTACAGGTATGACAGCCACACAGGTAGGTACAAAGTCACATGTACATGTATGACAGCCATATAAGATTCTTATGTTGCCAAACATTCACATTTTCTTCCCTTTTGGGTTGAGATTTCCCTAAGGGGGTGAGAGATTCTGTTAGTTCCATTTCCTGTGTGAGATAAAGTGAGACATCTTATGAGTGATCATGTGTCATGTTTCTCTAACATAACTGCCAAAAGATTTGCCTTCCATATTTATTCTGAACCCGAGGAGAAGGAGGCTAAAGTTAAAAAAAAGGTGACAGGTTAGTTATCTACGTTTAGTAGGTAGGGGATATTTTTGTTTACCTGCTCAAGTGTTATATTTTTCTGCATCGTCTAGTTTTTCTTGAATTTACCTGGGATTCAATTCTTTCTCTCAGTAATGAACTCAGTTCCTTTTAAACATCACTTTGTAAATTAGAAATCCTGAATTTGGAGTACCAATTGGTAGGGAGTTGGTATTGCTTTTTCAGACATTATATGCTTTTTGTACATGGGGTTCTATATAATTTTTATACTGTTGTTCCTATACAACTGTCATTCCAATTTGAAACTCTCAGACGCTATCCCTATATCTGTAAGCAGTTAGCACTGAACTTAATTTATTCAGACAACCAGAATTCTAATTAAAATTTTAACTCCATTTCATTTATCTGGTTTTGATATTTTGCGAGTTAAATTTCAAGATTGAATTACAGATCTGCCGCATTATGAAAATGAATTACCACAATTTCTTTTTTATATACATGGTATTTTGGGCTGCTTTGTTATATAATATCATTGTATTATTTTCTACTTTGTTTTATAATATCATTGTATTATTTTCTACTTTGTTTTATAATATCATTGTATTATTTTCTACTTTGTTATATAATATCATTGTTCTATTTTTTACTTTGTTTTATAATATCATTGCATTATTTTCTACTTTGTTTTATAATATCATTGTATTATTTTCTACTTTGTTTTATAATATCATTGTATTATTTTCTACTTTGAAAACAGTATTTCACAACATCCGTGCTACAGTGGGATGTACAACAGTCCTGGTCAACAAGCAGGATAAAGGTAAGATATTTATTTCATTTCATTGGACAGAAGGTGTAAACTTTTTATTTGATAAAAATAAGATGGAATGGAAACAAGTTTATGATTTTGTAGATCAGGATTTACCAATATATAATAACAAATTTCTCAGAAGAAAATACAAAAAAAAGATACTACATCTGACAAATTAATAAAATGTCTGTTCTATGCAGAGTATATGCTCTAGTTAAGGGTATATTCTTACTAAGTTAATCGGATTTGCACCTCCTTTGTGAAAAGTGCCATACTTACAAACCTTTATGATTGGTAATTTAGACCGGGGTGAATTACTTTATGAGATTCAATGTTTTTGGTTAGACAATTGGAATGAATGGGTGAATTAATTGATGAAAGTAGATAATTGCATTGACAGTACTCTGGTAAACCCCAATTATTAGATGTTGCTGTTTTTAATTTTTTCAAATGAGGATAACTTGGAAAAATATAGTAATAGTACAATAATAGGGAAACAGAAAGCTAGGGAGGTAACCATTTTCTGTTTTACATTTACATAAATATATATTTCTGTGATACTTGGATTTTCGATGAATTCCAACATACATTTTTAGCTCACTTGCCCGAAGAGCAATTGAGCTAATGCCATGGTGCGGCATTTGTCATCCGTCTGCCCGGCTTCAACTTTTTACTTTAAACAAACTTTTTCTCAGTAACCAAAAGGCCTAGGATGATGATATTTGGTCAGTAGCATGCTGGGATGAAGGGCTAACAAGTTTGTTCAAATGAATGACCCTCATCCATTTTCAAGGTCACAGGGGTCAAATATGTTAAAATCTTTTAACAACTTCTTCTGAAAAAACCAAGAGGCCTAGGGTGATGATATTTGGCTAGTAGCATGCTGGGATGAAGTGTTACCAAGTTTGTTCAAATGAATGACATTCACCCATTTGCAAGGTCACACGGGTCAAATATGTTGAAATCTTTAAACAACTTATAAATAATCTAAAAGTCCAGGGTAATGATATTTGGCCAGAAGCATGCTGGAGGCTATAAAGTCTGTTCAACTTACTGTCCTTGTTTAACTTTCAAGGTCACATGTGTCACATGATTAAATCTATTAATAGATACTTTTGAAACAAACACTGGTATTTTACCTGTAGCTGTATTTTAATCCACTTTTAAGATTACAAGTGTAAGATTGATATCAGGTGAGCAATTCAGGCCAATTGGGTCTCTTGTATTTGAGGGAGATCAATTGTGTGGTGCTGTCTGTTGCAGGTTATGGGCTGAAATGTCACAGAATTATAAAGTCTATATGTGATCTGGCTGGGATCAAGAACCTTCATGTGAAGGTGGAGGGAAGACGTAACGAAGCCAACATTGCGAAAGCCTTCTTTAAGGCACTTATTGAACAGGTAACAAGCCTTCTTTAAAGCACTTATTGAACAGGTAACAAGCCTTCTTTAAGGCACTTCTCCAACAGGTAACAAGCCATCGTTAAGACACTTCTCCAACAGGTAACAAGCCTTCTTTAAGGCACTTCTCCAACAGGTAACAAGCCATCGTTAAGACACTTCTCCAACAGGTAACAAGCCTTCTTTAAGGCACTTATTGAACAGGTAACAAGCTTTCTTTAAGGCACTTATCGAACCTTCTTTAAGGCACTTATCAAACAGGTAACAAACTTTCTTTAAGGCACTTCTCCAACAGGTAACAAGCCTTCGTTAAGACACTTCTCCAACAGGTAACAAGCCTTCGTTAAGGCACTTCTCCAACAGGTAACAGGCTTTCTTAAAATTTGTATAGGAGAGGAGGAATGGGCTAAGTCTTGATCTTTGGAAGTAGGGGCATTTAGTTGTGATAATGGAAGTTTGTTTAGAGGGGAGGGAGGGGCTTAGTCCTGATCATTTGGACTTTTCATTTGTTTTGCTAATCAGATTATGAATTATATATAGTCAATGTTGTTACTGAATGAGTTTCCTTTTTTTAATGCAGGAAACGCACCAAGAGCTTGCTGACCGGATGAAGATGCATGTTGTAGAGTTCCGCAGGGAAAAGCACAACTACCCGCTCGTGGTTGCTTCACCACAAGGTGGCGCTATCAATGACCCTCCAAGAGATAAAGAATACTATGACTTTGAGAACTTTTATTTTAAAGGAAAGACTCAATTTTTCCCAAAAAGACCAGCTCCTTTTTACCAGAACACTCCATCATGGTACAAGAAGTCGCATGAGTTATATAAAAGGAGAAATCAGAAACAGGCTCAAATGGAACGACGTATTCAAGGATTTGAATTTTCTGGAGGTGCAAGGCGTAAAGAATAAAACCCGAGCCTTTTAGGAATTCATCATAATCAAGAACTTTTTGAAGTGAGCATTTGAGAAAATACAGATTTGTGGTGACATGTGTAAAAATGTTTTGAGTGTTTATTTGAAGAAAATTGCCATTGTTTAATTGTAGAAATCTAGTCTAATGGTGAGATTAAGTAACTGAAAAAACACACTATTCCTTCAACACCTTATCGGGTGTAAGATTTTAAAACAACTAACAAATGCGCTTTGTGTCAGGAAACAACTGCTCAGCACTCTGACGCAAGATTTTATTGTACAACAAAAATAAATTGAAAGGGCTAATTTCTTTTATTTTCAATATTTTCCGGGTGATATTGTGATGATTTCATACTATTTAAACTTACTGCAAATTTGTTTTTATACCCCCAAAATATGGTGGGGGGGGGGGGGGATAAAGCTGTCACACAGGGGTGTCTGTCAGTCCATCTTTCTGTAGTGATTGTTCGGATTATAACTTCAACAATTGATCATACAAAATTCAAACTTGGTGTATGAGTTGTCCTAAAGAATGTGAAGAACTGTATTTGAACTGCCACAACTGAGGAAAGGAAGTCGATGATCATAAAATTCATGTTGCTTTATTATACCTTTGCTTTCTGGCAAACATTACAATATCTGTTATTGAATTCGCGTTTTAAATTATTTATAACATGCTATTCAAATTAATAGCGAAAAATATGATTAAGACACATACTGGGTTATATTGTAGTGCACAATGAAGGATTGTTTTCATTTTCTTAAAATTCCTTGGAGTGTAAAATACATTTGGGGTCCAATAAATGCATCAAAAACATGTTGGACCCCCAACGTACACTCCAATAAATCGTAAGAAAATGAAAAATAATATTTGTGAATTTACTTAAAATCATTTCTGGACCTATAAAATAATTTTAATAAAAATGAAAAATGTTTTTGATTATATACACCGAAATAAATCTGTTGGAACAGGGAAACTTTATTACACAACCAGCGGAGCCTTTTCCTCAGAACAATTTGAATTGATGTCTGTGGCAACGAACCAGCAACACACAGAAAACAGTATTAGTTCCAATAACTTTCATAAGTTTATTTCTTAACTTCTTTCATAGAATATTTATCAAAAATGTGTCATGATTGTTCATTACAATCTATATTTACACTAACTACAACAACCTTCCACTGACTCATATTTCAAGATGGTTATGATTTTGCGTATTCCCTCAATAATCTGGTGACGCTATCCAATGTATGTTATAAGGAAACAATTATACTGGAGTCGGCTGGTTGTCAGTCCGTCCGTCCGTCTGTTCGACGCGATGTAGTACCGTGTACTCCTCCTAAACTACTGGATGGATTTCAATGAAATTATGGTAATACTAGTTCAGCAATAATGTTTAATATATATAACGGTGTTTTTTTTGTCGGTTTAAACTTTCCCAGTTTTGAAGTTTTACCAATATAGTACCAGATACTCCTCCGAAACTACTGGATGGATCTAACTCAGTACTGTAGCAAAAAACTGTACACCAAATGTGTGTCAAGTGCATTTCATTCATTTTCCCTCTCTCTTCATACTAAATCTTACCCCTTACAGCACAGCCTCCTTCTCGCAATCTTCCTAGGCGGCGTGGGTATAAGTTGTCCCACGGAAGACAGGTCTAGTTTACAGTGAACACAGAAGGTTTGTCTAGGCATTGTCCAGAGCAAATGTAGTAAAATATCATTTTGTAAACTGACGAGGACATTCTTATGGTATTGAATTTGCATACATGCAAAAGCGAAGACACCCGGGAAACAGAAATCAACAGAGCAAAATATCAAATTACGGTAAATGAAAGTGCACAGAGACAGACGCCAAATAGATGGGAATCATCAATCCGTCTACCCAGATTGCTTGCAAGCCGTTTAAAAACATTCATTTTACATAGTTATAACTTGACAAGAAAACAATAACAAGAAAGAAAATAATGAAAACTATCTTGGTGGCCACCATTTTAAGATCGTCATTGGTTCTATATAAGGTTGACCTTTTTATCTGTTGGATTGAGTCCTGTCACCAGTTGTATGTATCTTGTGGCGTCTTCGTCAAACCTTCATACCGCTGTTTGACAGTGTCCTTTCAGAGTGAGGTTTTAATGAGACGAAACCTGGTTTTACACGTGTACAGGCTTTATCTTCACACACACAAACTCTGCCACTATGAACGACCATAGTGATGAATATGTTAAAACCGTGGTTAAAACATACCAAGAAAAAATTCTGATCTCTGGGAATAATATTTTCTGCTGATCAGCCAGCTTTAAAAAAATGCAGTAAAATCTTGCTATGCTGCCATCTTTTTATCCAGAGAAAATTTAGCGTTATATGGGGGTTTGGTAATGAATGGAGGGAAATGTGTAAAGGAATTCCTAAGAAAGCAAGAAAAAGGGACATTAAGATATATTGGTGGCAAATATTCCGTCTTTGCGTATTGCAGAGCTCTTGTGAGCAGGTATTGATTGTTACGTCATTGGTTTGTGTGCGAAAATTACGTCGTTTTCTCAAAGATTGTTGACGTTACTCTCACAAACAATGAAGTAACAATCAATACCTGCTCACAAGAGCAGATAACTCTGCATTAAGAAAAGACGGAATATAGTATGCAAACAATAAGGAACGTAAAGACCCCACCTATTGACAAATATCTATAGTGTGCTTTTGAACAAACTTCAACAGCCAAATTCAAGATGTCTGCCTAAGTGCGATCATCCTTTTTTCCTGATCAAACTGAAATCAGACATGCATTATAAGGAATCAAGTTAAGAGGAGCCTAGATATGAACTTCAAAAGACTCCTCAAAACTTTCTGAGAAATAATGGTAACAAAGTTTAACTGTTGAATTCCAAGAGGGCCACCTCACATCCATCTTGTTCATCTAATCAATCTTAACATTCAAAACTAAGTAAGAGCAAAAGGAAACCTAAATCTAAAATTTGAGAACGATCTTTCGAGTACTTAAAAATAGCGATAAAAATTTGATGTGAAAAATCCAAAATTGACCCATTGTTGTTCCGATAGTTTTCAAAATGAAACATGTATAACAAAGAACCACTTCATATGATATCTTTAGAGAAAATGCTGTCCAGTTCTCCTTTGGAAAACATAGCGATAAGTAACTTGAACTGTGAAATCCAAAAATGTCCGCCTGGCAGTCATCTTGGTTTAATTTTTTAATCGGTCTCAAAATGTAACTGCATGTACAATTATAGCCCGAGTTTCCTCTTCCCTAACACAAGACTTGGATATTTTGACACCTACGCCAGATATGATGTCATCTATCTGTCAAGTTTTCTAAGTTTGGTGTCAGGGCCAGAGGAAACTCGGGATAGCACAATTAACACTGAAGAACTGTTGGAGAACAGCATAGCTCGCCTATTGATGATTTATGTTGTAAAATAGCAAACATAAATAGAAACACATGTACAGTAAAACCTCGATATAATGTCCGTCATTTCATTTACCACCTCACTTACCGCCAACATATTTCCAGGTCCCTTATAGTTATGTTTTTCTTAACAATTCCTTATGCGTTTCCCTCAATTTATCGCCAAACCCCTTTATAATGCCAACATTTTTTTGAACAAATGATGGCAATATAACCAGATTTTGCTGTACCTTTAACATGTAAGAAGATATGACCAGGCAACGTGAAATAGTCAACAGCCTATTGATGGTGGTGATCCAACACTACACAAAAAAACTTGTCCAGAAACTTTAACCTCAAATTTAACTAAGTCCGATTAAGCTGTTTTTGGCCCCTAAAATATGGTCCAGCACATTGCTTACACTCGATATAAATGATTTAAACTTATAATAGACAACTGTGGATTGAGTGTGATGATCTAACACTACCTGGAAAAAACTTTAACCTAAGAAGGATGGACACCGGGGCTCCCGAATAGGTGAGCTAAAAACCAAGAGGAAGCTACATACCTTTTAGAAAGAGCAATAACAATAATGTTCTAAGGTTGGTTAGATGACGGACCACTGACTAAAGGCGATTGGCTAGAAAATAAATTTAATTTGACTGTAGAGATTTAAAATTTCATTTGAATGTAAATTGTTTGAAACTACATGCAGTGCATTTTAAGTTTATGTGCATGTACTCCAACAGTTTTTATGACCACATTAAACTAAGAAAGCCTGTTGAGCTAGCTCAGTTTGTCAGAGACGTAGTATATTACAATACATACGTCTCTGATTTTGTAGAAGAAGAAAAAACAGCGATATAAAACAAAACTTTCGCGATACGGGAAACTTACTCAACTTTATGCGGCATACTCTTTCTTTTGCTACCATGGACAAGAAACGTGACTAATTAGTGAGGATTGACTTTGAACTAAGCCTCTCCCAGGACGTCCATCCTCACAGATACGTGCCTGAACGTCAATATTTTATCAATTTTCCCGATCTTATGCCCACACCGAAAAGGCGTTGCGTCGCTGTTTTGCGTTATTTGGCGTTATATCGCAAGAGTTACGCATTATTTCGCAAAAGTTTCGTGATATATTAGCGAGGTTTTTTTGTTTGTCTTCATCAACGAGTGAACTTAATTAAACTGATTGGCTTTAGTATGAAACTCATAAACACAGCAAAATTAACATAATCCAACAGTTATTGGGCCATACTCGGCATCATCAACATAATCCAACAGTTAATGGGCCATACTCGACATCATCAACATAATCAAGCAGTTAATGGGCCATACTCGGCATCATCAACATAATCCAACAGTTAATGGGCCATACTCGACATCATCAACATAACAGGTGTTAGTTGTGACTATGGACCATATACAACTGGTGTAGCTCCTGTCGTTTCTGAAAAAAATATCATCTGAGCATAAATACTTGACGCTTGAGCTAAATCAGGGTAAATATTGACACAGCCACTGCCAGAAAAAAGCAACATCGTCATGGTTCGCTCCTACGGCGAACAATTGATTGCATTATTAAATGTCCACAATATTCACAGGTGATTTTCGATTAGATATGTTGCCGGATGAGTAAGTGATAATTTCACATTTCAAGTTGTTGCCAAACTGAGGAAATGTTTGTTGAGAGCCTTTTTATCGATCGTCGTTTCAGAGATGTTCAAAAATGAAATCTAAGTGAATTATACCCAGCCGACTCACTTGTATTTAGGTTAAGCGATTTCTTATCTAGCTACATTTGCAGTTGAGCTGCCCCAGATGTATCTTAGGGGCAAATCAACTTCTGTGTTTGAATTCGGAAGAATTAAATGAACCATGCAGTTTCGAGTTTTGATTGAAGACTCGCTTCACTCTTAAATACATCTTTCTGATTACTGTCAACCTACTTTGAGCTCAATAACTCTTGAAAACCAATTTCTGGGATTATGCAGGGCGGATTTATAAGGGAAAACACCAGCGTCTTGTGTATCATGAACCATACAAAAAATCCCATTAAAATTCTTTAATATATTTCGGATCTAATTCCGTGCCTGTACACAGGGTGGACCCTTATCACCACATTTATATATATATATATATTATAAAAAGAAAAATTTCAACGAGTCTTTAGTACTTGCATCTCTTCTATATATATATATATGTATATATCTGTTAATTGTGTGTTGAAATACATGTATTGGCTATCATGGTCAGGGAAAATAAGGATTTAAAGGGTATAAAAATCAGCAAGAAAGAAAAGAAAGTTACATAGTTTGCAGACATTGCTGTTTTTTTATTGGTTGGTTCTGAAAGCTCTTTCTACCCGACCTAAAATTACTTATCAATATGCCAATAAGGTCTCAAACCAAACTCTGGGGGAAAGCTGTGTGACGGATTATAAGTTGGTCCAATGGGCCTGTAAAGTTTTGGGAATCATTTTTACCCGCTATAATTTAGATGACATGAAAGCCATGGATAAGAGAAATGAGATCGAGTGTCTTCTTAACAACTGACAAAGAAATACTTTAATTACAGCACCATGAAGAATTTCTAATTCAACCGCTCGAGCAAGAAATAGGACTGACTGCATAGAAAAATTTAAATATTTTATTTAATAGATAGGTGGTAGGTAATTTGCAACAACAAAAAACCACCTGAGTTTTAGTTCCAATGGGAGTTGAATTTTGATGGTGTGCTCTGGAAAGGATTTGAATAGAATAAAAATAATATAGTCAGTGTACTACTCTGCTCGATATAGAAACGGAGTTATCCTTCTTCGAACATGACAACTGTCAACTAGAGAAGAGGGCGCTATTTCTACTTCCACTTCGTCTTAATCAATCACGAAAGGAGGGAGTGAAACCACTGAAACTCTGCAATGGCCTCTACCACTGCAAAGTCTGTCACCGACGACACCAGCCAAACCAATGATATGTCCTTAGAGGACAAACTGGCTTATTTGGATAAGGAAATTCGCCTGCTGCACCGATTTTGTACGGAATCTGGCTACAGTCAACAACATATTGAACGATGTGCCGAGCCATTTTTCCGGCCTATCAGATCAGCCAAGCGGAAGAAATTGAGATGTCATCTAATTCTCGTGACAGCAGCCGTGGCTGTTTTCTCGGCTCTGCTGTATATCGATCCGGCGTATAGACTGATGGCTTCCTCTGGACGACTTGCATACATAAAAGTTGGTATTTGTTCACCAGGAGTACATAATCGATTGAGTAACGTTTAGCCTTAATGTAGCTCATGTCAGTGTATTTCCTCAAAATGAAAAAAAATATGGAAGTTGCTTGTCATACCCATGTCAAGAACAATGTCAATAATGACCTTTGCAGAAATTATTTGTTGAAAATATTGTTGATTTTTTCTGAAAAGTAACTCTTTAAAGCAGAATTTGAGTGGTGCAAAACTGCAATGAATAAAAAAAATGTGAATTTTTTTACCTGAACATGCATTACTGAAGTATCCATGCATTCACTATTATCGAGATAAATGTAAGAAAATGTGTCAAATCTCCAGAATAATAGCATATATGTATTTACACTGAATAAATCACAACCGAACACAAAGCAAGTGAGAGAGTACACCATTCAAAACACAACAGGTTCTCACTTGGGTAATCTGGCTGGACTTTTATCATTAGCCTTGTTAGCTTCATGCATGAATTATTGTAAAATATCAAATGAAAATACATGCCATCATTCTTGTTGAGATTTGAAGCATTTTCATACATTTTTCTCAATAATAGTGAATACACAGATACTTCAGGAATGCATGAGCCTGCAGTATGAAATACCTTGAACAGTATCATAAATTGGCAGCAAGGTCCGTTTCAAACTAAATGTAATGTCACAATGAAAACAGTTAGTCAGTAAAACAGTCATACAGGTTCCAATTTTTTTTCTTTGTGTCAGTACTTCTGGTGTAATGTGCCCGCTACATATGTACTATACAGAGTTATGGCCCTTTATTCATTCTTGATACCAAAGTTTGTCAAAAGGTAGGGAACAAGGATTGCTGTAAGCAATGCTTTACCTTGTTGGTCTAGGTTCTAGTACTCAATACTGTCATGTTCTTAAATAGCAATATAATCAAGTCTTTATTCATGTTTTTTTTTATCCAGATTCTACCATATTGGGATTGGTCGGCCATGTTTGATTGGAACTGTCTGATTAACAACCCTTTGTTTACTGATGACTTGAAGGAGGATGATTGCAAAGTATGTACATGTAGAATTATTGCAGTTTAAAAATAAGGATATTATCAAGGATATTATCTTGGATAATAGCTTGGATAATACAGAATTTTTTAATTGGATAATTTCAACAGATCAATCAAAACCCAAACCTTGTCAAGATATGAACTGCATTGAAAAATTCAAAGACAATTGAAAGTTTGGATTGCTATTTAAAGCATATATCCATAGGAGAACGCAAAACAGCAATTGCTGTTCATTTATACAAGTTAGTATGATAAGTATTTTCATGCAGGTTTCTGCATCTACTTCGTGAATTAACAACAATATAAACTAACAAAGCTCTGTAACAACAAATCTTCCTCTCAGCCAAATAACACATCCACTCTATATTTGTTTGCTTTCCTAGTCCTGTGTGGATATTGACATCATAGAGAGAGTGAGTGACCTCGACTCCGTCTACTTCGCGGAGGAGTATCTGAAGAAAGACGTCCCAGTAATCGTGGAGGATGGCTTGAAAGGTTGGCCAGAACAGAACATAACCGTCGCTAAAATTAAGGAGGTAAATATGGGTTGTCAAGCGTTTCCTTGCCACCTTTTAATCCCTATGCAACTTTAGTAGACTCTTCCATGCACTGATATGGATCAGTTCATTATGGTCTACAGTGGTGAAAGGGTTAAGATCAGAGGTTGGTTGCCAAGAAACTATTTTCGATAATTTGATTCTTACTCGGGGACAAATAATGTGACCATTTCTAAGGAAGGTAATATTTTGAAAAATACATAAAAGCATCGCATGTCGTAAACATTATTTGTAAAATGTAAATTCTGAAAGATAATTTATCCATCTGATGCAGATGATCACATATTGTTTCCAGTACTAGAAGTTTTAGGGATTTTGCTTATTTATGTTCTCTGCACCCCTGGAACATGTCACCACACGTACAATCGAAGGCTCTGTAAGCACCACCATGGTGGGTAATATGAGGAGACTAGTTTGATCATTTAATGTAAATCAACATAAATCACATGGAAGCGCGACAGGAAAATTGATGGCTTTGAAATTGGGTTTTGCTCCTCTGTAATCTTTATAGGAAAAACACCTGCCTAATGATGATTTTTTTCCCATTTTTACTTGAAACCAATCAAATAGCTAACTGTGTGACTTTGATTTGCCATGACATATTCCAAGGGTGTTGATGATTCCATTCCGTTAGTTTATCATTACTAACATTACATGTACCGACTGTTTGTGGAACCTCGTTTTGAGAAAATACAGCCAAGATGGCAGTCCACTGTGTAGACCATGCTTGTTGTTGTCTGTGGGAACCCGTACCTATCTGCAAGAACCCAAACATATCAACATGGTGGCAGCGGTGGGATTACCATTGCCTTCCCTTTTACGATGATTTCTTCATAGACGCTTAGACTGTCTCTCATGTCGAAATAGGGCTTGCAACAATCCTCAACAAAGGGTACAGAGAACATGATATAGCATAACCCTGGAGTTTTAAGGACGATTGCTCCTGGGAGTGTACAAAAGTAGGAACTGCCAATAAAGTACTGTAACATCAAGACTATGTAATGATGTGGTCATAGATAAGGGATAGTCTGCAGGCCTATTTCATTCAATTGATCACTTCAAAATTACCTCCTGGTTGTGTTCAGCACAATGAGTATTTTGAAAATATTGATTATGTCAAGGTTTATGTTTATTTTTGTAGCTGTATGAGCAACATAAAATCATGATGCAACACTCTGTGTGTAACTTGACGACCAGCATCACAGGTAAAAAGGACAAGCAGTCCCCTAACCACAGGAGAGTGTTTGCAGAGATCAGAAACCAGGACTTCTTTCTACAGTGGTGCGTCACCAATTAGCACTAAGTCACTTTATTTTATTTGATAATAATTCATTTTCATATTAATTTAGTAACAAATGGTGAAATTTAATTAATTCACAGTTTTTTTAAGGTAACTTGTAGCATTTCATACTTAGCGAATGCCTATTTGGATTTTGTACAAACATACCAACCATTAACAGATATTAAGGGCAGTAGGTATTTTCTATTAAGATCAACTCAGTTTGAGAGATTTGTTCTCGCAAAGGAAATCATGATTTGTTGACAGGGTAAAAATCTTCACAATCCCCGATAACGAGTTCATTATACAAGATCAAGGTCTAAGTAATCTTTACTTTTGTTTTCGTCAAATGTCAACTGATGGTGTATTGAGCCAGTTTTACTGTTGTTGTAGGGAGAATTGTCATCCTAAAGCAGGGAAGGCCTTCCGGTCGGAATTTTACCGTCGGCCGTACTTCATGCCTCAGATGGTGGAGGTAGACACAAGCAACTGGCTGTTAATGTCACACGGGAAACCCAAATTCGAAGCGGAACCTTTACTGGTGTGTATTCGGCAGCATTCAAAATTTAGATTGTCTTGCTGGAAAATATTTGACCTGTTATCATGTATTGACATAATGTTATCCATTCTTACACATTCTATGAGTATCTGGACACTGTTTGGTGGCTCTTTACTTTGATCTCAAAATTCCTAATCATTGTGAAGCGGAACTGGACTGGTAGAGCGTCCGTCTAGAGTTTGGAGGGTTTCGGGTTCGAACCCCGGTCTGGCCGTTAGTTTTCTCTTACTCCTGTTACACATTGTAATGTTATGGTTCATCATGACCTTTAACCTTTACATGTTTGTCAACAGGTACCTATCCACAAACAGCTGTTGATCCTGATTCAGCTGAAGGGCGAGGTGATGGTTCACGTTGTACCAGACAAATTGTGCGAGACACAGTGTAAGCCCGTCACATCCGTCCTCTCGGAGGGACAGATACGTAAGTGTTGAAAAAACAAGGGTAACGACAATTCAACGAGGAAAAAAATTGGTTCAAGGTCGTTACTTTAACTCATTCATCCCTGAAGAAATTTCAACTTTGACATATCATGTGAAAAAGATATCTTGACAATAGAAAACTAGATAAAATAGATGATGCATTCAGGATTTATATGCAACATTTTCACTGCTTATAGCACCAAATTTGGAGAGTTGAGTTGAACTATGGCCTACACCGGACCATTAAAAGGCATCAAAAGTTTAACGGCCTTGAGAATAAGCTGTGCTTACCTTTCAGTCTAAAGGGCTTAGAAAATAAGGCGGCCGTGAAGGAACGCCAGCTTCCAAAATAAGCCAGGATTACTTAATACTAAAAATGAAAATAAGCTGCGTCTTATTTTTGGAATTTTATGGTATACATATGTTGTGTGAACCTGTTGCTCCTACATTACTTGGTAACTCTTCTTTCTTTTCCAGTTTTGGTGACAATGACAGATGTTCTGTACGACGTACTATATCTACCGTACGGAGACGAAGAAAACATCTCGATAGCAATTCATGGAAATTATGATTAACACAATTCATTTTGAACAGACAATTTAGCTACCATGTGGACAGAAAACATGAAACTTTAGTGTAAGAAATGGTACATTTACTTGCTGTACCATCAAGAATGGACATGTGTACCTAGAGTATAGACAGGAACAGTCAACATGCTTATACCAAGAAATCAGCAATGGATTCTCAAATAAAGGATGGCTGTATGTCATTAGTCCTATAGTAGAGAAAATACAGATTGGATGCATCTTTGATATCTACTATTGTGTAGAAATAAAGTTCTTCCAAGAAGTTCAACTAGTCACAACTTTTCTGTCTTCTATTCTACGATGATAAATGTTCTGATGATCAAGAAATTGTCAAACTGATCAAATTTTTCTTATTTTATGAAAGACACATATTTTGTTAAAACAATGTATTTGACAAGTTTCTATGACAATATTTCTAATCTTTATATGTAATTGTTCAAAATCTTTGGCTTTTGTTTGTTGAGAAAGATGTATGTGTACATATAGACAACATGGAACAAATACCTGTAGCTTAAGACGTCTAGACACTTGTACCTTGCAGAGGTGAGAAAGATTTCAAAATTGTCATTACTCTGCAATGAAGTGTGAATGTATTGCAGCTTCGATATGAAACAACTTCTTACACGTATGGTTTATCTCGGTGATATAGTCAGTTTCAGGCTAAACAAGATCCTGTATTTTCCTAGGAGCAAGAACAGATGACTCCTTCTGCTAGAAATCATGGTTGTTATTTGCAACCAAGATTATGTTCTCAATTTTTTGTGTCATTTTATGCTAATGTAATGCGACCTCATTATTTCGTCCTCAATTAATGGTGCTTTGGTCTGCCCTTGTTGCTCAGTTCACATTTCCAACAAGTGAACATTAATACGAGTTTTGACAAAAATATAATATGCCTGTTGAAGGTTTGCACAATGAAATAGAAGCAATATAAGTATGCTCATCCGACATCTCAGATGGCACTTCACCGACTTGTTTATTGTGCTATTGGATAAAGCCTTCATGAAATAGATCTAGGTGTACGTGTATTGCACTTTTACACTCCGAGACATCACATGAGCATGTGAGTAGTGTCTAGGTATTTATCAGCATTAAGGTAGGGTATCCCAGTGCTAGATGTTGTATCTGATAGTGAAGAAAAGTTAGAATTTGTTTGGAATTGCTATATTTTATTCATAATAGCAGACTTCTATAGGAAAGATTTTTTTTAAATTTACTTTTTCACAAAAAAAATATCCTTTTCAAATTACAAGGGGATTTGATCAAAGACTTCTTGATGTTTGTTTTCTGAAACATTACTGGGATTTTCTGATTTATTCATCAGCTTACAAATGTCTATACATGATATAGAGGAAATAACAGAACTCAACCAGGAAAATTACTTGCAAATGCCTGTAGATTAGCAAAACTATGGAGCAGCTTCCTTAACATAACCTGGTACATGTATTTAGAAAATATCATTGAAGACTCAACAAGAACCAGATGCTTTTAAAATCAGTTGAATTTATTCAAATTTAGTACAATAATCAAAATCCAACACTTTCGTTAACATCAACAATGTGTTGTACTCGTACAACATAACATAAATCTGATCCCCCGCACCATTTACACCGAAAGTACCACAAGAAATCGCTTTTAATAATCACCAAGGAGTAGTGATTCAACCTACTGAGCAACTAACATTACTTCCCACAACCCCAAAATGATGGACATAGAAACATTTCTTCACTTTTCTGAATAAAGCCTTGCAATACTGTCAATGTTTGAGGGTGGTGATGCTATTTAGCAGAAAAATTAGTAGTTGCAATGAAGCAGCATTATGCATAAGAAAATGAAATTAGTAGATTAACCTGCGGTTTGTACATGTACTTACACATTACATTTGAGCAGCTTTATGCAGCTTACGGCACATGACATAAACTAGTAGACACAACGCAGACATTCAATATGCCGATCTGCGTATCAATAACATCATAAACACAGTTCAGTTTCTACAGTCATTGCAAGTCGTAGTTGACTGTTGTGTTATTCTGGATACGTATATTGTACTCCTTTTTTAACTATCCAGACAGAAATCTGTATTAGTGTAGAAACAAGGCAAGGACAAATGCATATTCCTCTGGTCAAAGGATGTGGCCAATATGAAAATCAATCCATTTAGAAAAGACAATTTAAGACAAATCCCCAGATACAGACAGATGTGATTACTTTAGGGCACCCGTATCTCCGATACAGGGCCCTAATTAATTAGGTTCAGTTTCTATTATTAACCCCACCCTCTGGTATACCATTCTGATGTGCCTCTCTGCCATCTCAAGAAGCACTTGTATACAGAATTTGGAAATTGTAGGTAACAGAGTAAATTAGATAATATGACACAGACAGAAATACGGACAAGCGGAGTGCAAACCTATAGTGCCCTACGGTAGCACAAGTGGGGACTTGCTGTAGACCATCATACAACGCTGAACTTTCTGTGACATTAGTCTGTCAGAGAAATATGTAGAAATTGCTCAAAGTCACACAATGCTTACCATTCAAAGATATTTTTGTCAAAGAATTGTCTAAAAATTACTACACCCCATAACACAGCACTGAATTTTATCCATTCTGTGATTTCATCAATACTATTTCTCTCCGGCATTGCTGACTGAAATTTGCAACAACCATTATTTAATCCTAGAAATTCACCGAATTATTGCATTGTCATTGGCCCGACATGATTTATGATTCACTGAATAAACTTTGACTATCCAGAATTACTCATCAAATAACATTGCTCATATTATTATTTCACCGAGTTCATTGTTTCCTTTGCAGACACGATTGCCACAGTAATCATTTTTGAACTGGACTGAATTAGGTGATGTTATGAATGTCCATGGTGATGTTATGAATGTCCATGGTGATGTTATGAATGTCCATGTCATTTTCTAGCTTTGAGACTGTGCTGCTGTCGGTCAGGACTGATGGTAACCATGGTGATAGCCAGTCCCGTAGTGTCCTCCCCATTGAGGGGCATAATTATATCCAGAGTTCTGAAACAAAAATAGGGACATCAGTGAAGTGTGAGCAGAAAGTGAAATGTGAATAGAACTGTTAAACTGTCTTCAAGATTTCTATATTACTGTCCCCGTCTTTCCAAGTTGTAGTTACGGTTAGACAATAACTTTGTTTGCTTGGTAGGCCACAGGACTAGTTGAATAGTTTATTTACTAGTCTTTTGTCAAAGTAACTAGTCCAAGATTCCCTGATAAAGAAACATTGTGCGATCTACAGCACAAAACATCAAAAGTAATCGACTGTAGGGGACTTAATAAAAATATGCTGAAGTTTTAGGAATTGTTTTGACAATTATCATGCAATATATTTTATTTTAAGCAGTTTTCTAAATTTTTAATGTTCAAATTTTATAATCATATTTCCCCCTGGTCCAAGGACCGGTTAGGTTAGGTGAATCACTAGTCCTTGCTGAAATCTATTAGTCCAGGACTAGCGGACAAGTGTTAGTGTCGACCCCTGCTTTAGTATCTTGTTGGTGGTAGTAATAACATTTAACTACGATGACAATGACTCCAAATTTACAATAGAAAACAGACCATCATTTAGCTGGTTATCTATGCAAATGTTAAGTGGCAATAACGACAGTAACCACTAAATTATCTTGAACAGCAATTTTGATCTAAAAATTGAGGAGCTGTATAATTATGACACTCCATTGGCAGAAGTAACTGAAGCTAACTGCCACGCCTTTTAATATCCCTGCACATCCAAAATTCACTGTTTCAGACACTTTTTGAAATTCACTGTATTACAACACAACAAATGCCAGCCTTTGAATTACAACCTCATTATCCCAAACGTACCTGGTATCCTCCCCAGTGGTAGGGGTAGTTGGCATGACCCCCATCAGGTGGCACACTCATGTCCCCGGCTCCGTTCTGTACAGATTCATTCTTGGCTCTCTTCTCCGAAGGCTCCTCACTGAAATAACAAATTAGTGGAACAACAATCAATAAAGACTCCTGAATAAATTAACTGATTGTTATATATAATGGGGCAATCCATTGTCCCCAACTATTGGTCAACATTTGGAATCAATAATTAACAATGTGTCATATTTCTGTTCAATGGGGCACAAAACCCAATTTTAGGGACACTCTGCCATCCCAAGATGTACTTACAAACAAAAGTATATGAAATAGTCCTCAGACGAACATGGAATATAGGCTCTACTGTTGTATGTTTGATACCTTAAACCTGACTGGATGATGTTAGGCCTATCCTAAGTTTAACTTGATTAGCATTGACTCACTGTGAATGTCCTGATGTCTCATGTGGTCTCTTTTTATGCTCAGCATGTAAATCTTTCATTAGTTTTTGATGTTCGTCATAGGCTTCCTTTAATCTGAAAGTAACAACATTGGTCTTTTTAAACCCTTTCACTTCAATGCAACTTTAGTAGACTCGCCCATGCATTGATCTGGATGAGTTCATCATGGTCTACAGTGGTGAAGGGGTTAATCCGTATCACCTATGAAAAACTGACAAAGCTAAAAATGTTCTCCAACTGACCAGTACATTGAAGGTGTTTGAACCTCAATTACTCAATATTCATCTATAATGTTTGTAAAACCATGTGGAAAGATGTATAGAAGAAAATATCTGTTCAAAACAGTGCATACACTCTCTATTAATAGGCGAAACGTCCTGGGTCTAGTGACATATGAAATATACGATTTTGTCACATCGTTGTACAGGTAAACAATACAAATTGCTCACTCAGTCATAGCTTGACAATGGGACCATCCCCAGTCGGTCTTGAAACGTTGTGGCACATTTATTACGTACATTGTATAAAGTAAAACTTTGATATTACATAAAAGATATATCCAAACTGATGAATCTTATTCTAACGAAAAAATGTATATGGTTTAAAATATTTTAGTTGTTCAGAAATGATGCAAGTCAAGATACTGATATTGACCTTGATCTTGAAGTGATTATCCTAACGGTACTAAAACAAATTTTGAAGAAAATATTTTAAGTTTTTTCATCAAAGACGTTATGACAGGAAAATGTCTTGCATCCTTCAAAAGCAGAGCAATACCCAAAGCTTAAAATGGTTATGGGGAGGCCATCAATGGGAACTCCTTAACACACAACAATCAATTCTTACTTTGAAATTTCGCCTCCAAAATCTTCAAGGAATTCTAATTTTCTCTGCGACATCTTAACTTTGGTTTCTAAAGGGAAGTTTTCACACTCAAGGATCATAGAAAACACCTCTGTGATGTGTTCCTCGTCAACTGGAAAGTTCTGGTACTCCAGGTCTATCAGTTGGAGGTACAGCTTCAGGTTACCCTATGTGGATCAACAACATCTCTTGGATATTAAATATTCACAACATTTGTATTTTTTTTGGTAAACAACTACAGCACATTTTCATGTCTGGCAATAATTAATTTGACTTCCAGAATCTGACATTTTTTCTTATACAGCCATTGATAAATTCAGTTAATTGGCATTTCATATTGTATTTCTTTAATTGGCCTTTATAATTGAAAGTCCAGCGTCTAGTGTTTGATGAGATGGCAAACAATTACAAATATTTTTTTTATTCAAATGTTTCAACAAATCTAGCCATAAACTGAATATTAATGCAAACATGTTTAAGTGATTTTAAAACACAAGCATTCCATATCTATAGTTGAAAAGTCTAAATAAAAGTTTATACTTCCTAAAAGCAAAGAGATTTGATACTGTTTTTATAAACGTACCTTGTCTTTTTCGATAGCCTCTGCTAATATTTTTTTGGCTTGCTCTCGTTCTCCACAAATCTTGACAAATACACAAACAGATATTCACTTAAGAACTATATTATTAATTCAATATTGCAAAAATTTGATTTAATCAAATGGATTACAAATCAAAGTGTAATACTGTTTTGATGTCGGAACAAACTGTTTGCTTCCTGATTTTCCCGATAATATACACCCCACCCCATCCTTGTTAACCCAGCCACCACTATTCCAGTTGTCACAATGGTTAGCTGTCTCACTAGTGTTTTAGAGAATAAATCCGCCTTTGTGTGACCCATTACTGCAACCATTTCACAATCCAACAACTTTGCTGGAAACAAAGGTGGCTGAATTATCTTCAAGGAACAAAGGTGGTTAGATAAGCTATTTAAAACAAAGGTGGCTGGATTAACTTCTAGGAATGAAGGTGAATGAATTATCCACTAGGAATGAAGGTGGTTGGATTATCTACTAGGAATGAAGGTAGTTGGATTATCTACTGGAAACAAAGGTAGTTGGATTATCTACTGGAAACAAAGGTGGTTGGATTATCTACTGGAAACAAAGGTGGTTGGATTATCTACTGGGGATGAAGTCGGCTGAATTATGTTTACACAATTGCAGTAACTGCAGTAACTTACCTTTAATAGATAGCGAGCATACTTGATTGAGAAGTAGGAGCCGATTTCTGGCTGTGCAGCGTTCTCAATGTATTCCTGGAACAGAGCCTCAGCATCCTCTTTGCTTCCAGTTCTCCTCTCGAGACTGATCCTCCTCATGGAGACCATCACTAGGCCGGGAACAGCCTTGTCTAGATTAGCCAGAATCTCCCAGGCAGCCGAGTGGTTGCCTGTGGAGGAAGGTAAGTCATATAATCATTCACCAGAAATTAGTACATATTTGGATAATATCATCAACGGTAAATCCAATCAGACTTTTTTTTAATAATTAATACCATTTTGTTAAAATATCGGACATCCACACAGGTAAAGAGGTAAAATGCTATTCAAGATATAAATACAGGATATTGAGCCAACATCTGATAATACTAAACAGCTTACCCTGTCGCTCTTCAAATGCTGCCCAAGCTAAGTGGATATAGGGTTTCTTTGGCAGATGTACTTTACAGGCTCGGGTATAGACATTGCGGACCCCTTCTGCTCCGTGGTCCTCCATGTACTTGGCATACTGGGGGAAATCAAATGTTCAGTAAATACTATTCAATATTTGTATTTGAAGTTAATTTATCTTCCCCCAAAAGGAATAAGTAATCTGTAAACCTTTGATTGATGGTGTCCAGATGGATTCATACTGCATATAAACATAAATGTCTAGAGGTGATTATACTTAGTGGATAAACAGGATATATGACATTCTGCCACAGGTAACAATGTGGAAAGGACTTATTTTTGTATAATTTCTTTCTGTTTACAATTCCAGATTAGTTTCTTGATATCATGATTCCAGAATAGACAACAAAGGTGATATTCAATGCCTAGTGTTTCTCTTTTTTCTATTTCCCTTTCTTTAGCATCCATATATTATCCACCCAGTAATTTGACCACTTTCAGAAAGATTTTATTTTGTCAAAATTACATGACAATAGACTTCAACGACTTTCCAGACTTTGAAGTTTCAAATACTAAATCTTTGTCCCAACATTTTCAAATATAAAATTAACCAGAATCCAAATAACTTCAAATACCTTCATCCAGAAATCTTCATAGAGAGCACTGGCAATCATGCAACGTTCAAAAAGAGTAACAACTCTTGTATAGTTGCCATTTTGCATTTCATAGTCTAAATATTCCCTCCAGTTTTTCAGTTGTGATCTCTCCAATGGCTTCACGTGGAAGTAGGGTCTTTTTATCTGCCAACGAGACAACAATGATTTCACACATTTCTGTACAATTTGTAATTCTACCACAATGTCGACGAAGTGAAACTTTTCACTGGTTAATAAACAAGTGTTATTAGACAATAATCTGTACATGCAACACTACTCTTTAAGCCTCCTTCATATTGCATATGCATACAAGTTAGCCTATGTGGAGTTTTGTCTAAGATGGGTCTCAAGTGGGGTTATATCATAATGTCTATGTTTCTACATGTATGTACTATCCCCACATCAAACAGGCATAAAATGACCACTGTATCAAAGTCCAGAAATTGAAATCAGCTTGTTTGTAAAATATAAACAAGATATCATGTTACAAATGTTTTGAGCACGAACAAAACAGCTTAATTCAAAATAACCAGATAATCAATCAAGTTGTCCCAGGAAGGTACATTTAATTACTTTAATATGTTGTAAATAGATATAATCAAGGTGTTTGTATGTTATGGTGGAATAAATTATTCAGTATATTGAAAATATTCGAAAAATAATGAACTTGGGTCAAAATGATCTATTGATTATTCCGATAAAGCCTTTTCTCACACTGGTTATATATTTCACCTGAATATATGCACATATGTTGATTATTTCTAACATATAAGCTCAATGACTGACTCTTTCTTTCTCAAAAATAGCAAGTGTTTCTAGAATGATGGTTTAACATGCTGTTTAATCAGCCAGTCCTGTCGTTGTAAGAGTAAGACCAGTATGGGACAAGTCACACTTACAGCTTCCTCATAATTCCATCGCTTGCTGACTTCCTCCTCTGTCTTCTTGAATGTCCCCTCCTGAATCTGAATGATTCTCTCTTTGATTTTGTTAATTTCTGCTTCATCCCCCTGAAAAGAAAATGATACGTTAATGTGCAGAGTTTTATAAAAACAAATGAGGGGACGACTGGTTGTCTGAATATGAATAGAGGGTGTAAACATGTGCTAAACCACCATGGACATCAAGGACCTCTTCCCAATGCAACCCGAAAAAGACCCTTGGGTACGGGCATTGACAGTTGGGAGAATGAGTTAAAAAGAGAAAGTGAAAAGATGCAACTCTAACACTTCAGACTAGTAGGTTTTTCACACCTGGAAGTGTCAAACGTGGCTACACGGAGGAAAATTTTCAAATAGCTAGGTCACATAATGGTGTTTTAAAAATTCAAATCCATATAACCACTACTGATGTTGCCTTACCTTTCCTCCTCCCGTCTCCATGCCCGGGGGAACATCTTCCTCCCCAGGAGGGGCTACATCTCCTACAGGCACTGCATCCTCATCTTCCTCATCCATGTTTGTAGATTTGGCAACAACATCTTGTCGGAGCTTCAGGAAGTCATCTAGACTCAAAATCTCCTTAGGATTATGCATGTAAACATGCTGTTTGAAGCTGGAATGTAAAGATCCTAGGAGTGTTACATATTTGCACATCAACTCGGGAAGATTCCATATTTCTTAAACGATGGACATACAATTTATGTGATAATTTCGCAAAATTCAGTTTCCACATCTAAGTCAAATGAAGCACCTTCACAATTTCTTTTTATGCTGCATTTTAGTATATTTTATAACCCGCAGACACAGATTGCTGACAGAAGTTACTTTTCACAGAGGTGAACTATTTACTCGGCACACTCACTTGTCAAAGTGATGGCTGTAGAGCTGTGTTGGGATGGCTAGCAGTCGAGTGTACAGCGCGGTCACCCGCTCCTGATCTTTCTCCCAGGATATGTAGGAGTCCCATAGCTTGTCTGACCGGAAATCATGACCCGCAGCTGATAAAGCTCTCTCATACAACCTAGAAAGGACACATTTTGATGAACACAGATAGATTTTAAGCATCTGTTGGAAAATAGGTGTCGGGTAAAACTAATTCTATCAACAGTGTTAGCAGTGGGTAATAAGACATATAGGGTTGTTTCAGACTGACTAGGGTCCATTTTTCAAAAATAGATAGTTTGAATGAATTATAGACTAGTCTTTTAAAAATTTCTAAATGAAAAGGATATGATACCATCACACCAAACTCAGAGTGTAAGAGAAGTATTCCAAATCACAAACTTCCCTTTGGCTATACTGAGTATACATAAATAATTGCCTTAAACAGGTCAGTACAGGTAAAACAGTTTCATTTCTCATATTTGACAATAATTTGTTGGGCTTTTATATGTTCTATTTTTGCATTTTGGATTGAAAAAGAATATGATAAGGGTTTCCTGGGGAGGACATGTAAGGTTAACAAAACAATTTCACAGTATCATCAATTAGTTGAACATTTTTTTGGTGACAACTGTTCGTCATGTCATTAGACATATATATTACCTGGCACTTTAGTCTTAATTATTTGATCAATATGATCACTCACTTCCTGATGTCGGATTCTCCCTGTTCTGTGCTGGTATACTCTCCGATATAAAAGTTGATATAATGCAGCCATAATTCTATGCTCAGTGGAATCGCCACAACTCCTTTGTCAAACACCTGCGGAGGAAAAAGGGCCGAGAATCAGTACATGGTTACTCCCCTTGTTTAAAATCCAAATCTAATCCGGCAACACATTCAACATGAAATATACAAAACCAACAGTGATTCGCGGCATTACCATCGGAAAAAACCTCCTGTGCAAGTCATCGCGATGTACAAACTTTGTGTTTCTCTTCTGCTGTGGTGACCATGTTTCCCCTTCAAGGTGACGTCTTGGGTTCCTAGCTTGTGATGAGCAACTAGGAAGAGATTGTAAGATCCCTCATGAACAAAGGGCCAAGAACATTGGGGGAAAATTAAGCAATCATTTCTCCATCAGCTTAGAGAATACTGACAAAGTCATGGTTACTCAATTTCTGCAAAGAAAAACAGTTGATCACTGTCAAAGGTCTCCTTTATAAACCTAGCAGCAAGATGAAAACATTTTCATTTTAATAGCTTGCCTTCAACTACAGACCCTGGTTACCAACACTCATCAATTCAAACAATGACTTGAAATTGTTTATCGCAATATCCATATGTAATATGTGACTGATCATTTTGTTTTAGTAGACTACTATATACACATTTTCCAAAACACACAAAAAAAGTATTGGAGACAGTATTGATAATATAAGGCTAGCAGAAGACAAGCTATCAAATTGATGAAATGCTCTTTTCTTGGATTGTGAACACTGAAGTTCTCCATTTACCAAAGCATCAATAAAATGAAAAGTAAACCTCTTAAACTAACAGTAACACTTCCTACAGCTACATTCCATTAACTTTGCAAGGACTCATCAAGATCTAAGAACTCTGGAGAGGCCACATGCTGGTGACTTGCTGTAATTAAGACTGTAGGCTTACCTGTGATTTCCCTAGCATCAAGCATCCATACCTTACCACTTCTTAGGCTTACCTGTGATTTTCCTATAGCACCGGGTATATACATACCATACCACTGACAGGCTGGAACAATGACCTATTGTAGAGTTCTAGGATTTTGATGAGTACATGCATGTTTACCACATGTAAATGGAATGGCAGGTGTATGAGACCTTACGACTTTTGAGACCATGTTTTACAATACTTTTACTTTTTCATCTTCCAACCCTGATTTGGTTGGTATTCGAATACTGTATAACAGGAAATGTTCGTGGATACTTTCCTTCGTGGTTTGAAGCTATTTGGATCGTTTCATGGTGCAAGTGTTAGTGGATATCCTATATCAACAAACAGTAGACACATACATCATTCAAATTCGTTGTATTTATTCTAGTGGTTCAATAGCAACCACGAAAACCACGAATGTTTATACACAACAAACATTTCATGTTATACAGTAGCTATTTACAAAATTTGAAAGAAAGGGGGGCCATTGGCAGTGTTATGATGGCATAATACTAAAACTTTTTATGGAGAGGAGAAACACATTTTGATTTTATAGGAGGCTCGGTGACTGACAAGCTTAATAAACAAAGGGTTAGGGAAACAATGCCTTCATGTAAATCAATAGGCAACAATGTTAAGAGTGATTTCATGTAAATCTAAATTCTTCATTATTCATAAATGAAGAACTCACCTACAAAGTCACCCTTAAAGTCACTAGCAATACCTTCAAACAAATTAGGTGACAAGAAAACTAATGTAATTTGAACGGTGTCTACATGGAGTCCCACTAAAATAAGATTGGTAACAGGTCCTTAACCATGTCGAAGCCTATGTCCATCTTTAAAATACTCATCCTTTTTACCTGATCTGTCACACCCAACAGCAAGTATATTTTTACCCCAGCGCCGACATCCATCTGAACCACACCTTCATCAGAGATTCTGCACTAATGCTGGCTTCCCTCCACCCTCAAGAACAGGTTCATTTGTAGAAGGGAAATTATAACCATTAAAAAAAATAAAGTACTGCAGAATGGGTGCCACAAGATTACTGAAAATCACTTCATTTTGGTGAGTGCTCCAAAGGCCCCATTCACAAGGTTCTAAATTCACAAGATATACATTAACAGAAATTGATCATCATCTTGTTTAAACAAGTCAAAATATATTTCCAAATATTTGAATTTATCAACGATGTTTCTCCCTAGTTTATGTGAAAAATTGCATCTGACATATAAATGAGAGTGATTTACTGTGACCTTTTTGCTCTGTGACAGTTCCCAATGAATACCATTATACAACCGAAGCATTAACTGCAGTACCTCTGTTGCCTTCTCTAGGTTGCCGTGTCTCTTTTCCATGTCAGCATACTTTTTCCAGTAACCATAACAATAGGGATAGTGGCCAAAAAATGCATCGTATGCCTCTCTAGCAGCCTCAATTTTATTCTGCAATTATAAATACAATTTTGTTATTCATTTCCAGTTTCAACTACCTTACTCAATCATCCATGTATACGTAATAACAGTCCAAATTCATTGAATATGTTCAAATCAGGGGTGAAAATTACTAAGAATTTTTTATGTACTACATTATTTGGAAATTATTAAAATATATTGTATTCCTAGTAATTCAGTGTTTTTCGATGAATTTATATAGCTGAAAAGTGAATAACGTTATTACGCCAAGCATGCTCAATTTAAATAAAGTTATTTTAACTTATTTCAGTGTACGTAATTCACTAATTGTAATGTTATCTCTTAACTTCTATAAGACTTTTCCAAATCTGCACTTAAAATCTCCACAAATCAATTTCAAAAAGTTTTTTATTGTAATACATATTGCCATTTCAAAATCACTTTGCATTGAACAGAATTTTTAGGTGAATATAGCTATATTAGGCTTTATAGCTATATAGCTTAATCGACAGAGTGTGCCGGACCTGATTTAATCTACAATAGTTAGGTAACTAGCTAAATGAAGATTTGAAGCACCTCTTGTTCCACATATTGAAGGAGGTAAGTCCATCCAGTGAAATCTGACGGATTGTCTCGGACTGCTTTCCAGTATTTCTCAAGCTCTGTGTTTAAAATTACGGTTTCTGGAAGTGTCTCCTTTTCCGGTTCCTCCTTTGAAGCATCTTCTATGATTTCTTGTTTGATTTCTTGCTTGATTTCTTGTTTGATTGTAATTCCTGTAAAAATCAGATTAAGTGGTAATTCTATTGTAAACTTAGGATTCGTCAAAACAGGTGATGCGACCAGTTTGTAAACCATTTGCATCGCAAAGTTAGAAATTGAGTGACATCTCATTTTCCTTGATAAAAAAACATGTCTTACCTTAAATATATGTCTCTTTCATCTCATCACTCAGAACACAACGAGCGAACAGTAAATGTTTGAACATTAGACAAGAGGTTCCACAAAAAAAAATTCCAGTCCCAGCCTGCTGTTTGTACGAAAATAAAGGCTTATGGCTAATGCAAACATAAAATTGCTATACCATACAAAAGCCCGATATTGGAATGGTAAATGGGAACTCATTTAAATCAATAAACTAATAAGAGAACGACTTGATTACCTGGATTGTCTCCTACGTCTTCCATATCGTTACACTTCTTGCAGCCGACATCAATATTGCAATGCAGGCTGGGAAAACCGGAAGTAAACATCCCCATGTCATGTGCCTGTGTTTTTTAACAGACCGATAAAGACATCTTTCCGACATGGGACTCGGAAACATACTTGTCCTGTCTCAAGTGACAGCATATTTTGTGTCCTTCATAGTGTCTTTTATGCTATTTATACCCGTTGCTGTTAATGTAAACGAATTTGGTGGAAATTGTCTTCTTTATGCCGAAGGAAAATGGGTGAGCGAAGCCAACTCCTCTGTGATGGAACTCGAGAGTGTCGTATGGGGTCCTTCCAGTGCTTGTGGCTTCAACATCTTCATGGGTGTCATACTCATGTTAATATCAATGTTCTATGTCGTCTGGGAATCTGCGTATCTGATTAAAGACACCGACAGGTAACAATATATATGTGTTCTCATTTTAGATGTTGGATTTGTCTACTTTCAGTTTCAAAGTAGACTATGTACAGCAGAGACATAACATATTTGTACCGTTATCGGTTTCGGCGCGGCCATTTCATCAAACAGTATTACATGACTGCACTACCTGCGAGACCCTGCACAAGGATATTATTTTGTATGCTTCCAGTTTTAATCCAATGCATCTTCATCTTTAACCTTCCTCTGTCAATATTGACGATTACGGAATTGTGGTCTTGTGCTGTAGTTATGTACAGTGTATGTAACCCTGGTAAATACTAGCCGCAATATATTGTTCGGCTATGGAGAACTTCTCTTTAGCTCAATCGGTTGAGCGTAAGACTAGTAAGCCAGAGGTCCCCGGTTCGATCCCTAGCGGAGGCAGTGATTTATATTTAATTAATCATGCGCTCTGTTACATGTATATATAGTAGGAGAGAGTCTAGTTTCACTACCAGGCTAATTGAGCCTGGGGTGCCAGGGTTTTGACAAATTAACTCACAGATAACATTCAATACATTTATCATAAAGATCACAGAAACCTACATTAAGAGACACAGCAAGCTATTCAGCCCTAACATGGCTACTATTGGGACACAGAAATGTAACAACACACTCTACATGACAGTACAAACAGCGGACATCCAGCAAGGCTTTCTCAGGACTGTTGTACAGTAACAAAAATACACCCACCATATATATGCAATTAAACGCCTGGCCAGGTTTTGACATACTTATTTGCCTATGAATTTGCTTTTTGATGATTACTAATTACATGTACCTGGTTTTATTACTGTCGTTCAGTCATCATTTGCTCAGGGGCTGCGGTGGCCAAGTAGTTAAGGCATCTGACATTCTGCTAACATTGACATTAACATTGAGTTAAGGTGGTGTATGTTTATGCTTTGTTCGTGATATAAAATTGAAATACATAGATATCTTTTTTATAAACATTTCAGTTCATGGTTGGATGCTTTCGTGACTGCGATCCTGTCAATGGTGATTTGCCTGATGCTGTTTGCTTCCTCCCTGACACTCAGTGTGGGATTCAATTCATGGTGCACATTACTGACAACTCCGCCATCAGAAATTCTCGAGTAAGTAACACATTTCTGACAACTCCGCCATCAGAAATTCTTGAGTACGTAACACATTATATAATGTGCTATTTACACATTTTCTGACAACTCCGCCATCAGAAATTCTCGAGTAAGAACCGTAGGATCATTTATTTGCGTGGGTAAAAAAATCATGGTTTTCATATATACTAGCCTGTTTCAGGGACATTATATTTTTCTGTTTTTTTATTTTCCCCTATCTCATGTCATACCAATTACATGTTTTCGTGGGGATTTAATTTTGTGGATTTTTGTTATCGACGAAATAAACAAAATGTTGAAACTTTCATGACGTTAAATTTTGTATTTGATGAGTGTCTTATGATACTTCTGGTTTACTTTCATTTTTTTTTTTCAATAATTATATAATGTGCTATTTACACATTTTCTTTATTTAACAGTATGGCGCATCGTCAGATACCCACGATTGATTTCACTTCGATACTCATGCACTCATCGTGGGTATCTGGCGCTGTCTTACCTTTTCATATTGATTGGTCACTATTAAAGATAATTATCAAATAAATAATAGGTTAATAGTCAGTTTGAATATATACCATAAATTGTACGAATGTATAATGTTTCCCAAATTGCAGATGTGAGTTCGGAGATTATATCCAGTTTACAGACAAAGTATCTAACCTAGAAACTAGAAACTTTTACACAGAAATGACTTTGGCACAGGTAAGTACAGATATTTGTGTCTGATAAAAGTACTTTCCTAAAATATATCAACTATAGGCAAAGGGTCAAGGTCAAAGATAGGGGTCAATGTCAAAAATTGCTGGACGATAGCTTTGAACAGCTGAACAAGAAACTGTGTGTATTAGGCCTAAACTTTGTGTTGCATACCACACACACTGTAATATGATGTTCTATAGGATCTATCAATAATATTTTTAATCTTACTGGCGACAGATAGAATCATAGCAAGCAACTTAAATAAGCCATATGCAATTAAATTCGACAGAGTGGAACAATTATAGAATTATGTAGTATTTTCATGATGTAAACAATTTTTTCTGTATTTTTCCAGTTTGCTGGTTGGATGCTATGGCTATGCTGGCTGTTATTGACAATTTTCGCTTTCTTGAAAGTGTTCCGTTATCATCAGCAAGAAACCTTTACGAAAAGCATGAATCGGGAGAGACAACGCCTACTTCAGAGTGTGGGACATCAGACACCGGTGGTATTGTAGGCATCACTGAAACGTTTCCTAAAGGTGACGGAAAAGAATATTATATTATATTGTATTATTGATGTCACCAACACATTCACACGAGCATGAATGTGATTAGAGACGATTTTTACTACAGATATTGAAACATCTGTATTGTAGACACCAGTCATATCCCCAAAATACGATATTAGAGCCTCAATCAGGAGAAGCAACATTTACTACAGAAGGTGAAATATCAGATACACATCCTGAGAAGTTGTCATTATAGAAATGTTTCTAATGAGAGTAGCACATACAACTCTGGTGGTATTGTTTACGTCACTGTAACGGTTACTTAAGAGGGTGGGTGATTAGTGTGTTTGTTGTAGGTATTGCTGAAACATTTCCTTCAGAGGGTCAGGCATAAGTTGTCGTTTCAAGACGTCACCGAAACATTTCCTTCAGAAGGTGGGACATAAGTTGTTGGTTGTAAACGTCACTGAACGTTTCCTTCAGAGGGTGGGACATAAGTTGTTGGTTGTAAATGTCACTGAACATTTCCTTCAGAGGGTGGGCCATAAGTTGTTGGTTGTAAATGTCACTGAACATTTCCTTCAGGGGGGGGGGCATAAGTTGTTGGTTGTAAACGTCACCGAAACATTTCCTTCAGAGGGCGGGACATAAGTTGTTGGTTGTAAATGTCACTGAACATTTCCTTCAGGGGGGGGGGCATAAGTTGTTGGTTGTAAACGTCACCGAAACATTTCCTTCAGAGGGTGGGACATAAGTTGTTGGTTGTAAATGTCACCGAAACATTTCCTTCAGAGGGTCAGACATAAGTTGTAGGTTGTAGACGGCACTAAACTTACAGCAGAGGATTTGGCGTTAATTTTCGGTCGTAGGTATCTCCGAAACATTTCCTACAGAGGTTGGGACAAAGCTGTCGGTTGAAGATATCGCTGAAACATTTCCTTCAGAGGGTGGGACTTTAGTTGTCAGTTGTAGACGTCACTGAAATTATTACAGAGGATGGGTCACCAGTTGTCGCTGAAACATTTCCTTCAGAGGGTGGGACATCAGAAGTTGGTTGTACATTTTGCTGAATTTTTTACTTCAGAGGGTTTGACTTAAGTTGTCAGTTGAAAGCATTACTGGTATGTTTGCTTCATTGGTTAGGACATTGTAGTTGTTGGTCTGAGGTGTCACTGAAACGGAGGGTGGGACATCAGAATTAGTTGTATTGTGTTCTTTGTTTAAACTGATCTATGTAGCTTTTGAGAGTACTGAAATTACTTAACCATTTGCAAGAAGAAGAAATTTGCTAATCACCATCACATGTAAATTTTTGTAAGGATTTTTTAAATTTTTGTCCCCCCCTATACAATTGATATACATAGATCTAAATACAAGTATATTCTACATATTAAGTGCATTCATTACAAAATAAGCCATCTGTTTTTTTTTTGTACAAATAACATGAAAAACATTCACATTCTTCCAACATGTAAAACATAGAAAGAAAATGTATCATTCCTATACATAAATGCTATGATGATATTCAGTTTTAAGAATTCTCAGATTGATGTTGCATAATATGCCCTGAAACTTTATTATTTATTGATTGAAAATCACTCATAATTTTTTTCGCGAGGACTTTTGCGGTCGAATCTCTTTGTAAATGAAAGCAAAATTGATTTTTTTTAGTACCTACATACGGTGATGTGGAATAAATTGAGTTATTTCAGTAAATTTCACTACAATGTAATGATCTGTAAAACAGTATCCCCCTGTGTTAATATATTTTGTTTATTTATGAATATTTACCACATTGTTATATCTCCCTGTCATATTTATCTAGTAACTGGTAATAAGCCCATCTCTGGTAATAAGCCCATCTCTGGTAATAATCCTATGTCTGGTAATAAGCCCATGTCTAGTAATAAGCCAATGTCTGGTAATAAGCCTATGTCTGGTAATAAGCCCATATCAGGTAATATGCCCATATTTGGTTATAAGCTCACTGAATCTATCACGGTCGCATTTGTATATATAATCAATTTATTTAATGTTGTGTTGAAAGAAATACTCACGTTGGCTTCTATTTTCTGTACTTGTCAAAATGTAAACTTTTTTTTCTTTATTTTGGCCAACAGGTCACAACACACAAAAGGTCAGAAAAATAATTTAGATTTAACAGTAAACTTTTTTCATTTTACAACATTTATGAAGTCATGTTTTTCAATTTTTGGCCCAGATGGAAAAGGTCTTTATTTAGGAAGGAAAACAGAGTACCCTGAGAAAACCTACGTGGTCAGGTAGGTGTCCCTACACTTTATACATCCAACTGGGGAATCAAACCCCAGTAATCATGGTGAGAGCAAGTGTGCTATCCACTGGGCCAACCAAAGTGACTATCATTACCGTATCTACATGTACAATACCAAAAACAACTTTAGACATTTATGTCATACACTTATCAGTATTGCTGTAAATAAGCAAAAATCAAGAATTTGGTGCCATTTCCTGATATGTCATTGCGACGTTATCTTGCCGTGTTTTAAATAATCCAGACATATTTGTTCTTCCTAGACAATCCAGCTAACGCCATTCCAAGCATAAAAGTCTGGATTGTGATCGAGTTGGATTCCTGGAAAAGTCTGTATTAGGAACAAAAATGCCAAATGAAATGTCATATATGTTCACGAAGCGTTTTTGGATAACTGTAGAATATATTATCAGATGGAGTATATGCTCTTGGTGTCTGTTGGATAGCTGTTTCTAAAAAGTCATGTAACAAGGTATAGTCATCATCAAAATTATTGCATACTGATATAGCTTAGACAAGTTCGCATTTCAGAAGTTTACGTGCATTAATGGTGGAGTTATGCCCCTTTTATTGCCAAATAAGGGCATTGTGTAATACAATGTAAATGAAAGAACTTTTTTTTATTATTTAATCAATTCCTTTCAAATTTTGTACGGTAATGCTTGACGCAATAATGTTCAACATACATAATTGTTGAGTTTCAACTTTCTGCAATTTGGCATATATATCTGTTTACGCGATAACTCAAGCCAAAACACTTTTCTTACTAAAAGCACTGAGCAGGCGACACATCCACTCCCATGGAATTCTTGTTTAAATCTCAGATGTATTTTACATTTAACTACTACATGTACATGTAATTATATATAAGTTGTATGTTGGTGATATTATACTTTTTTATTCGTATGGAAAACTCTTTATTCAAATATCTTCTGCAAAAAATGTAGTAGTATTTAAACCAATGTTGTAAGAGGTTATGATATTGGGATGAGCCCCCCCCCCCCTCCCCTTTCAGGTGTACTTGCAAACACTCCCTATCTAAGAGGGAGGAGGGAGACTCCCGATTTTGGTCCCAGTGAATTTGCTAAAGTATTCCTAATTTCGGGGATCTGATCATTTCACCTGAAAGAATAACTCAAATGATGCCATTTAAAAGTGTTATATTTTTCGCTAGGGTGTACTACTGTACATACACACATTTTATTCATGCATTTAATTGTGAGCACGTGTGATCTCCTACATGAAAATTTCAAAACGTTGGCAAGTATTGGGAGCCACCGATACAATGGTCATGTAGGTGTTGCCAGACATACAAGAACAGATCTTCAAACACGTAATCTCAGAAATATTTACATTAAGATAATATCATTGTGTTAGACTACATTGCCTTTGTTATAGTTTATCGGATAAGTTTATTTGTAACACACAAGAGACCCAGGACAGGTATGATAAGCCATTAAGATAGATTACATTCTCTTGACCAGGAGAGACAACTCTGCTGTTTGCCTGAGCAAGTGATATTCCTTCTTTTCGTATTGCATAGTTATCTGCTCTTGTGAGCAGGTAATGATTGTTACGTCATTTGTCTGTGAGAGTAACGTCATTCGTTTTTGAGAAAACGACGTAATTTTCCCACACAAAACTAATGACGTAACAATCAATACCTGCTCACAAGAGCAGATAACTCTGCAATACGAAAAACGGAATAGCAGATAAATGTTTGTGTCTTCATGTTTAAATCTCAAATACGGAACAACCACATAGCTAATCAAAATACTCAACCCAAAACATGTTACAATAAACATAACTCGCTGTAATACAGAATTGTGTAGCATACAACAATAACATACACTGTATTAGGGTGCGATTTTGTTACATTTTGATCAAGTACTCTACAAATGCTGTATTTACACAAAAAATTAGTGCTTTTTCTCATGAAGAAAATATTTGAAATACACAAAAAATACCCTTGTTTATCGAGGATGATGTATACCTCATATATAAGCCTTGTCCTAGGTTATCATTTATAGATATATATGTCTTATTCCGTCTTTGTCATCTTTTATTTTAAGAAATATCATATTTATTCATTTTTTTTTTTATTAAACAAACTTTTCTTTTAAGGAAATGGTTCTATCTCATTAGGGAACCCTGTACCATGCAATGTACTGGTTTTATTTTTCATATGTACAGTAACCTCCCCTTTTATTTGTTTTGGAGATCACCTTAGCACAGTACTATTTTGCCAGGACATCCTCTGCCGACCAGGTTTAGCTCTGCTGGCAGAACAAAAGTATATTTTAGGGTTGGAATCCCAGTCTAGCCATGCCAATTTTTCACACTCAACGATAGTGTTGTTCGTTTTTTGTCTATTTCACATATATGTTAGTACTTCAAATAAAAGTTCCACTGTATAACAATTTTTATGTATCGAATCTGGTGTAGAGTATGAAATCCTGTACCAGAAATCTAACATAGATCAAGATATACTTTTCTTTTCAGAACTGATTTATCAAAGCTATAGACATGCTGGAAATAAAGTTTGGAATGCATAGTTTCAGTTTTTGGCAGTGGTACGGGGATCCTTAAGATGATTCATTAGGGGTACATTCGCGTTACCGGTTGAAACGGTTGAACCGGTTGAACCTGTAAAGAAAACGACAGGTACAGATCTGGACTGAGGCTGACCTCAGGAAAATTTGGCACGTTTAGATTAGGGGTCCAGACGTGCCTGACCGAAACTAAAATGCTGACTATTGCCAATTTGCGTTATTTCTTTCTAAAACAAAGTCAAGTCACATGTAGTTTTTAAGTTACGTTATGTAATTCAGTGGACGGATGAAAGAAGGTCATAATATTCTTAAAACACTTTTTTTTCTTCTCCGAAACTGTGGATTTTTAGCTCTGCTTATAGAACGGTCCAAGTGGTCGTTTAACGTGGAAAATTTCTGCGCCACACGTACCGTTTCAACCGGGATAGGCGAATGTAGCCTTACTACTCTGCTTGTCTATATGATATGAGAAATTCTCATTACAATTGGTTATCAGTTTATCTTTGCATGTGTACATAGTGTATTATGTGTTATTTGCCATAAGATTTTTTTTTCATATTATTTATACTTTGTTATATCCTTTACTTTAAGGTTCTTCTGAAAATGGTTAATCATTGATATTATTGTATGCTTGTCATGTTAGCAAATAAAAATACAGTTTTGTATTCCAAAACCATTTTACGTTTTGTAATTAATTAATCAATAGCTTACTTCATGACCTGGTCTGAAGTGCCAAGGTATTGCAGTCTGCTGTCGATTGTCGTCTGATTGTCGTCTGAATCCGTTGCTGTCTGTTGTCCATAAACTGTTTCTTTAAATTAATTCTTTTCAAAAACTACAAGAGAGAGTTTAACCAAATTTTCTAGAATGTATTCTTAGGTGATGGATACTCCAGATTTGCAAAGGAATAAAAAAGGGCAGGTCCTATTTGAGGCCCATCAACGGCAAAAATAGAGAGCAAAACTTTGGACAGTGAAAAACAACTTCTTCTGACAAACTGGCTGTCCATTTATTTAGGGGCACCCTTAGTACACTATCTACAGAGATATTAAAAGAAAAGAAATATGTTATTAAAGGGGGCTATCATGGGAGGTTTTGTAACACATTGGGCATTATTTCCATCTTAAAAACATTCAAACATATTCTTCTTAAGAACAAAAAGGCCTTAACTCATAATTTCTGCCCTGAAACTTGCTGATATTGATTGCTACAAAGTTTGTGAAATGACAAGGTCACAGTCACAGGTCAAATTTGTTAAACACTTTAACAACCAAATCCTTGAAATTTCTTGATGAAACTTGAAGTATATCTGAATAACATAATGAAGGTAAGTAGTATAATGTTATTAGGTCACTGTAACCTTCACCTTTAAATAAGGTCAAAACTTTCAGTGACATCTTGTTTGGGCTGTAAACTTTAGACTGTTGAAGATATCACAGGAGGGAGTTATGGAGTACAATGTTATTGGGTCACCTTGATCTTTTTCATTAGGTCAAACGTCAAGTAAATGCATTAAAGATGAATACATTGGCTTATTCTTTTTTATTTTAGTAAACTTTATCAAGTTTGCTAAAATAAAGAACCTTGAATTTAACTTTCAAAGTTTCATTAATGGGTCAAATATATAAGACTTCTCCTGACTAACAATAAGGCATGACTGGCCTATAGCTTACTGGGGTAGAGGAATACCATTTCTTTTTTTACAAATTACAGTTATACCTTGCATAGTTTCAGGGTCACAGAGGTCAAATATGTTAAAGTCTTTAATTTCTTCTTAAGGTCATTGGAGTGTATTGATAAACGGAAACAGGAAGTACATCCCTAGTTGAAAATCCAATGTAGGGAGACAGTATCACAATTTCCGCAAATTCTAATGTTTAATATTAAATTGATGAATATTGTATGTTTATTATTGACAGAACAGTGTGTTCTCTCAATATTAAAGTATTTCAAAGCAATCCAGGCATTAATTCAGGTGTTTTTTTATCAATGAGTCACATGTGTCCATTTTTTCTTTCCTTCAGGAATTCGGCTACCTATTTCACTACTGTGAAGTTTTTCAAGAACGATAACCATTACCTGCAATTACTATGTGTATATGGTTTTATTATAAAATGTCAATTTTTATATCGTGTATAGAGAATTAATTTTACACAATTTCAGCATTTATTAAATTGATATACATTAATGCAATACTAATATATGTCAGTATCATTTTTATTGACATTATTTTGTATTTTTTTCAAAATTCACTCATTTTTACATAAATTTCCATTTAAATCCTTAAAATTCTGACAACCTATATTTTTTTGTGGCAGAAAATTTTCTTTACTTTAAAGCAATATAAATACAAAATTTTAAGAAATTCTGCTGAGAAATGGTGACACAATCCTATTACCTTAAGGAAAAATAAGACCTAAAACATTCATACAATTTTTAAATGTGATACCATAACATATATTCTGCATTTGTTCATCAATAGATAAATGACAACTTCAATGACAACTGCAACTCGCTCAAAGGTATTTATCAAAATATCAATTTGCATAGAAGATTGTAATTAAATCATTTCATTTTGAAAATGATCCAAATGCCTTTTGAAATCAATGTTCCTGTCAATTTCAGTGTCACAGAGGTCTTGTAAAGTCTTTAACTTCTTCAGAAAAATAAGACATAAAACATTCAAACAATTTTCAAATGTGATACCTTCCATTGTATGATATACACATTATTCTCAAACCAGATCACCAATACACAGGCCTCCTGTTAACTGAAAAATACCATAGCATATATTCTGTATTTGTTCATCAATAGATAAATGACGACTGCAATTCGCTAAAAAGTATTTATTAGATCCAATTTCCTTTTGAAATCAATGTTCATGTCAAAAAGCTTATTAATTATAATGATTGTTTGTTTTTGGCAGAAATTCACACCAACATCAGTGTAGCATTTTGTAGAATGCTTGCTCAATGTCACTTTGCACACAAACACTCTCTAGATCAAGATTTCATCCTGATGTTTCAGCCCTTGGTATATCCGTAAAGTCAATTTGACAGGCAGACGGAAGCTTCTTTCTCAATATATTGACGGACGCTGTCTTGTCATCAATCTTTTTCAGGTCAAACAGCAAAAGAGATCGTAACTTCCTGAAAACGTAAACATAAGTTGCTAGAACGATGTACAGTCAAGATACATAAGTCTAGAGAAACTGAGCAAGCTTCCATGGATATGCCCCCCGCTTGCGCTTATAAGGTTTCTGGAGTGGAAAACTGAAGTTTCAAGGGCCATCACTCCAGGAAAAATATTCAATCAAAAATTCATTTCTTCGCATACATATGATGTAGTTTGACTGTGCCAAGTTACGAAAATTTCCAACAAAATGTTAAAGGAGGAGTTGCGCTTATTGGAGGCAGGGTATTATGGTGTAATTGCCTCCTTGCGATAGCGCGGATCTGATGCCGACTTTAAAGTGCTATCTCACCGAAACACCATGTCGGGGGCACCCAAAACAGCATTCCGCCCAGTCACATTATCTGTCTATCTGCCATACTTTCAATATTCTTGTAAATTCCACTTCAGACAAATCAATATTTTGTTTTTTGTTTGTTTGTGTATGAGGTTTCACATCCTCACATCAGCTAAGGTCATGTGACGACGGGTATCTTCAGATACACCAACAGAAAAGAAAGATTAGAGAGGTAACAATAGAGAAGATAGAGATCCCAAGGCCCCTTTTGCGACGGTTCAACCAGTTGAAAGGGTTGAACCTGTAAAAGAAAATGACAGGCACAGATCTGAACCGAGGATGATCTCAGGAATATTTGGCATGTGTAGATTGAGGGGTCCAGACATACCTGACCGAAACTAAAATGATGACTATTGCTAGTTTCCGTTTTTTCTTTCTAAAACAAGGTCAAGTCACATGTAGTATTTAAGATACGTTATGTAATTCAGTGGACGTGGGAAAGAAGGGCACAATATTCTTGATACATTGTTATTTATTTTCCGAAACTGTGCATTTTTAGCTCTGCTTATAGAATGGTCCAAGTGCGTTCGTTTATCATGGAATATTACTGTGCCACCTGTACCATTTAAACCAGATACGCGAATGTAACCCAAGTTTTGCAGTGGGGTCAGCAGGTCAATTTTGGTCTCCTCACTGTCCCCTCAGCAAAAGACACTGAAGAAGACCCCAAACCCTGCTGGGGGCCCCACATTAATTTCCCCTTAACAGCTAGCAGGCCTATTCTTTCTCTGTACCCGCAGGGGGGTATTTTGTTTTACAAAACTTTATATATGGATCGACAAAAATATATCAATCAAAACTTTACAGTTTGTCATTTCCAACTTTCTGGTCCATACCTCAAAAGTTGAGATCACATGCAGCAATGGGTCAAAGGTCAAATCATTGGATTGCTAATTGCTAATACCAGAGCCAATAACTTCTGAATAGCTATAAACTCATTATATTTTGATAAAGCCTTTAGAATTGCACCAGGTCTGACTATCTGATTCTTGTTCAGGCCAGAACTTCCGAACTGCGATTTTGTTTTACTACGAAACTTTGTGTATGGATGGATGTACAGAAATGTATTCGAACTGCAGGTGGATATGGAAAGTAAAGTCTAGATCTGATCAAGGGGTCAAAGGTCAAATGATTGTAATGACATACTGAAGTTGTTCAATGTGGTGTAAGCCCGCCTGTGTGATGCCGGAGCAGCTACTGATCTGGAGATGTTCGAGGGAGTCCCGTAGGTGAAGTGACAACAAGGACACCATATCATCCGTCGCATAGTCACAGTCATGTAAAGTAAACTTTTTAACATGTTTCAATCCATCTTGAAAAAAAAGGGAAATATGGTGCACTTGTAAACTCTTTTTAAAGCTGAATAACTTTAGAATAGAACTTGTCTGATTATAATTCCATATGAAAGTTTAAGCTTAAATAACAACACATTGAAGGATTAATTTTATAAGTTGGGTACGTTAGTGTGTGTCAATATGTGCACATGTTCTGTAGTCTGATGTGACCGGCTACATCAAAGAAAACAAACAACAATATAATATTTTTTAAAGCTAATTTTCTTCTTTAAACAAGAGGCCCATGGGCCTTAACATTCACCTGATATATTTATACAGAGAGTTGATTTTGTTTTTAACATGAACAGAAATATTATTTAAAGTGACAAAAAACAATAAAACCACCTTATTCAATATCTTGCATACAGATTTAAGACTAAAAAGTATTTAAACCTGGCACCTCTGATTCTAAACAAGAAAAATGAAGAAATTTTAGCACACTGACTCCTTTGGGCCCCACCCTACAGCCCTTGGGGGTAGGGCTGGCTCAAAATTTTCAAAGTATCAAACTGTCAACTCAAGGTTATAATTCCAATCAAGTTATTAACATGTNAGACCCTTCCATCTTTGAAGAGTGTTTGATTCTACCATATCTGGGTCTTTGAGAAGAAGATTTTTGATATGTGCATACCATCAAACTGTTATCCAATACTGATAATGCTAACCCAAATTGAATAACTTCCAATGGAAATTAAACAAATGTTGGTCCAAAATGTGATTTCCCTATATAAACTATAGCAAAGTTTACCCCCTCCCCAGTCCGAAAAAGTACCCGAGCAAATTACATATATAGGTGCATGCGCAAAAATAAATACATGTGTACACTGTTCTATGAAACATTGGTAGCTATAAGCATTAACAGATCATACTGAAATACCATGAAACATTGAATTATATAGAAACCTATACATATAGATTTTTTTGCGGCTTTTAAATATTGCCACATCAGACAAGAGCCATAAATTGTAGTGCAATATTTTACACCAGGTTATAATGGTGTTACGCTTGACGACAATGCAGAGTATCATTCTGAATGAGTTTCTCTGCTGTTTGCTGATATTTTCTGGTTAAAATATATTCAGGGTGGTCGGGTGGTGCAGTGGATAGCGCACTTGCCTTTCACCAAGCTTAAGGCGGCCAGGTTTCGATTCCCCGTTCAGACATGAAAAGGTTGGGGTCACCTGCCCGACCACATGGGTTTTCTCTGGGTATTTCGGTTTCCTCCAACACTAAGACCCTCCCCCACGCGCTAACATCCGGGCCAACAAGAGTGATTAATATAAGTTGAAATAACTTGTTTCATAATTGTTGCACAATAAATAAAGTTTATATTATTTATATTATTATCCGGTAAAATTTCTTAACAAAATTAAATGATCAATATCAATTGTAAAGTTATGTAAATACCATTATGTATGCAAAGATGGAACAAAACAACAGCTTGTTCTGTCCTCGCTTCATATAAACTTGAAACTGAAGGCTTTCATGCATGGGGAAGCACTGGAAGTGGACAAAGTGTTTACAGATCAAACCCTAGCGGCACTTCATGCTGCTTACTAAGCCTTAGGGGTTTGAAAAAACATTTAACAATAATGGTAATGGTAATAATACATTTTACCTTAAAGTGGCCTCTTCCTTCATCTCCAAACTTACCTAAATAGCCAAAGCCACTGGGCAACACAACAGCCTTGTCACAAATAATCTCTTCAATTTTCAGGGTGAGGTCTTGAGACAGTGAGTTAAAATCAGTTTCCTTCTGGTGTGGGTTTCCAACCCACCGGACAGCACCACCATTTTTGACCAGCCACTCTGCACACGCTCTGTCGGGTCCTACTTCTTTGATGCGATAAGGATATACCCTATGTAAGACAAACACACACACAGATTTAGACAGTCACTATGTAAGTAAGGTCAACGACGAACTCACCTCCCTGACTCCAGCACAAGGCTACATCCTGAGGAAAGGACAATATTTAAAGAATTTCTTTTTTCAAGTCACAGTGTAGGATTGAGAAAATACTCAATCCCAAGTGTTTAGATTTTCTGTCCAGGCATTTAGTGAATTATCATTTCTTAGCAATCATATTATTGTGTAACAGCACAGGCTAAAATCAGCTCATGCTGGGTAAAACAAGACATACATTATATATGTCACAGGTGTAAGAATAATAATACATGTATTATATTTCAATAATTATACATAGAAGACACTGGAACTTACCTAGGTAAAGGAGGTAAGATATGTTCTGGGAGTTTACAAATGAAATTTTAAGTCCAGATATGAGATCTTTTAAAGATATTTTTTTTGTATATATATAGCTGTTGGGAGCATGGTAGGGGTGAGTGGGACGGGGATCATCCTCAAAATCCCAGGGGTTAATTACTCTCACTGACATGTACGTTCTTTGCACCCCTGGAATATGTCATAACAAAATTGAAAGCACGAAGGTAGCTCTTTGATTGATTTCAGATATAAAACACTGACCAATCGCTAGACAGGTGCTTGTCCTATGAAGATTATCAAGGAGTGACACCCAACTTCAATGCCAGTCAATTTTACCGTTATGCAGCTGCATGATTATTTTGATGTACATCAAAGGATCGATCATGTCTTATTATATCATCTGCATGGTTACTCATCCACAGCCTCCAATTCTGTCATATTGACATTTCCCAGGGGTGCAGGGAATGTAAGTGAGCATAACCCTCGAAATATCAAGTGGGGGGTGGGGGGTGGGGAGATGAGGGGGTTGATTTTCGTTTCCACATGCCTTCTTCCATTGTATTAAATTAATACTAGTTCTGGTAATACATACATTACAGTAAGTACATAGATCTTCTACTTTGACCGTACATTCATNGGCACTGTACGCCCAGTACTTCCTGGCTGATTCACTGTACGCCCAGTACTTACTGGCTGATATAGCACTGTACGCCCAGTACTTACTGGCTGATAGCACTGTACGCCCAGTACTTCCTGGCTGATAGCACTGTACGCCCAGTACTTACTTGCTGATAGCACTGTACGCCCAGTACTTAATGGCTGATATAGCACTGTATGCCCAGTACTTACTGGCTAATAGCACTGTACGCCCAGTACTTACTGGCTGATAGCACTGTAAGCCCAGTACTTCCTGGCTGATAGCACTGTACGCCCAGTACTTACTGGATGATATAGCACTGTACGCCCAGCACTTACTGGCTGATATAGCACGGTACGCCCAGTACTTACTGGCTGATATAGCACTACTGGCTGATAGCACTGTACGCCCAGTACTTCCTGGCTGATAGCATTGTAAGCCAAGTACTAACTGGCTGATAGCACTGTATGCCCAGTACTTACTGGCTGATATAGCACTGTACGCCCTGTACTTACTGGCTGATAGCACTGTACGCCCAGTACTTACTCGCTGATAGCACTGTACGCCCAGTACTTACTGGCTGATAGAACTGTATGCCCAGTACTTCCTGGCTGATAGCACTGTACGCCCAGGACTTACTGGCTGAGAGCACTGTACGCCCAGTACTTACTGGCTGATAGAACTGTATGCCCAGTACTTCCTGGCTGATAGCACTGTACGCCCAGGACTTACTGGCTGAGAGCACTGTACGCCCAGTACTTACTGGCTGATAGCATTGTAAGCCAAGTACTAACTGGCTGATAGCACTGTATGCCCAGTACTTACTGGCTGATATAGCACTGTACGCCCAGTACTTACTGGCTGATAGCACTGTACGCCTAGTACTGACTGGCTGATATAGCACTGTACGCCCAGTATTTACTGACTGATATAGCACTGTACGCCCTGTACTTACTGGCTGATATAGCACTGTACGCCCTGTACTTACTGGCTGATAGCACTGTACGCCCAGTACTTACTGACTGATAGCACTATACGCCCAGTACTTACTGGCTGATAGCACTGTACGCCCAGTACTTACTAGTTGATGACACTGTACACCCAGTACTTATTGGCTGATAGCACTGTACGCCCAGAACTTACTGGCTGATATAGCACTGTACGCCCAGTACTTACTGACTGATATAGCACTGTACGCCCTGTACTTACTGGCTGATAGCACTGTACGCCCCGTACTTACAGGCTGATAGCACTGTATGCCCAGTACTTACTGGCTGATATAGCACTGTACGCCTAGTACTTACTGACTGATATAGCACTGTACGCCCTGTACTTACTGGCTGATAGCACTGTACGCCCAGTACTTACTGACTGATATAGCACTGTACGCCCTGTACTTACTTGCTGATATAGCACTGTACGCCCAGTACTTGCTGGCTGATAGCACTACGCCCAGTACTTACTGGCTGATATAGCATTGTACGCCCTGTACTTACTGGCTGATATAGCACTTTACTGGCTGATTCACTGTACGCCCAGGACTTACAGGCTGATAGCACTGTATGCCCCGTACTAACTGGCTGATTCACTGTACGCCCAGTAGTTACTGGCTGATTCCCTGTATGCCCAGTACTTAATGGCTGCTTCAATGTACGCCCAGTACTACCTGGCTGATTCACTGTACGGCACTGTACGCCTAGTACTGACTGGCTGATATAGCACTGTACGCCCACTACTTACTGGCTGGTATAGCACTGTAAGCCCAGTACTTACTGGCTGATAACACTGTACGCCCAGTACTTTCTGGCTGATAGCACTGTACGCCCAGTAAGTACTGGGCGTACAGTGCTAGCAGCCAGTGAGTACTGGGCGTACAGTGAATCAGCCAGTTAGTACTGGGCATACAGTGCTATCAGCCAGTAAGTACTGGTCATACAGTGCTATCAGCCTGTAAGTACTGGGCGTACAGTCGTACAGTGAATCAGCCAGTAAGTACTGTGCGTACAGTGTCATCAGCCAGTAAGTACTTGGCGTACAGTGCTATATCAGCCAGTAAGCACTGGGCGTACAGTGCTATCAGCCAGTACTTACTGGCTGATACCACTACGCCCAGTACTTACTGGCTGATAGAACTGCACGCCCAGTACTTACTGGCTGCTTCACTGTATGCCCCGTACTTACTGGCTGATTCACTGTACGCCCAGGACTTACAGGCTGATAGCACTGTATGCCCTACGCCCAGTACTTACTGGCTGATCGCACTGTACGCCCAGTACTTATTGGCTGATATAGCACTGTACGCCCAGTGCTTACAGGCTGATAGCACTGTATGCCCCGTACTAACTGGCTGATTCACTGTACGCCCAGTACTCACTGGCTGATACAACTGTACGCCCAGTACTTACTGGCCGATTCACTGTACGCCCAGTACTTACAGGCTGATAGCACTGGATGCCCAGTACTAACTGGCTGATTCACTGTGCGCCCAGTACTCACTGGCTGATACAACTGTACGCCCAGTACTTACTGGCTGGTATAGCACTGTAAGCCCAGTACTTACTGGCTGATAGCACTGAGTACTTACTTGCTGATAGCACTGTACGCCCAGTACTTGCTGGCTGATAGCGCTACGCCCAGTACTTACTGGCTGATAGAACTGCACGCCCAGTACTTACTGGCTGCTTCACTGTATGCCCCGTACTTACTGGCTGATTCAATGTACGCCCAGTACTACCTGGCTGATTCACTGTACGCCCAGTAGTTACTGGCTGATTCCCTGTATGCCCAGTACTTACTGGCTGATTTACTGTACGCCCAGTACTCACTGGCTGATAGCACTGTACGCCCAGTACTGACTGGCTGATATAGCACTGAACGCCCAGTACTTACTGGCTGATATAGTACTGTATGCCCAGTACTTACTGGCTGATAACACTGTACGCCCAGTACTTTCTGGCTGATAGCACTGTACGCCCAGTAAGTACTGGGCGTAGTGCTATCAGACAGCAAGTACTGGGCGTACAGTGCTATCAGCAAGTAAGTACTCAGTGCTATCAGCCAGTAAGTACTGGGAGTACAGGGCTATATCATCCAGTAAGTACTGGGCGTACAGTGCTATCAGCAAGTAAGTACTGGGCGTACAGTGCTATCTCAGCCAGTAAGTACAGGGTGTACAATGCTATATCAGCCAGGAAGTACTGGGCGTACAGTGCTATCAGCCAGAAAGTACTGGGCGTACAGTGCTATATCAGCGAGTAAGTACAGGGCGTACAGTGCTATATCAGCCAGTAAGTACTCGGCGTACAGTTCTATATCAGCCAGTAAGTACTGGGCGTTCAGTGCTATATCAGCCAGTCAGTACTGGGCGTACAGTGCTATCAGCCTGTAAGTACTGGGCGTACAAGTACTGGGCGTACAGTGCTATCAGCCATTAAGTACTGGGCGTACAGTGCTATCAGTGTAGTGCTATCAGCCAGTAAGTACTGGCTGATAGCACTGTACGCCCAGATATAGCACTGTACGCCCAGTACTAACTGGCTGATTCACTGTACGCCCAGTACTACCTGGCTGATTCACTGTACGGCACTGTACGCCTAGTACTGACTGGCTGATATAGCACTGTACGCCCACTACTTACTGGCTGGTATAGCACTGTAAGCCCAGTACTTACTGGCTGATAACACTGTACGCCCAGTACTTTCTGGCTGATAGCACTGTACGCCCAGTACATACTGGCTGATATAGCACTGTACGCCGAGTACTTACTGGCTGATATAGCACTGTCCGCCCAGTACTTATTGGCTGATATAGCACTGTACGCCCAGTACGCCCAGTACTTCCTGGCTGATAGCACTGTACGCCCAGTACATACTGGCTGATATAGCACTGTACGCCGAGTACTTAGTGGCTGATAGCACTGTACGCCCAGTACTGACTGGCTGATAGCACTGTACGCCCAGTGCTTACTGGATGATATAGGAGTGTACGCCCAGTACTTACTGGCTGATAACACTGTACGCCCAGTACTTTCTGGCTGATAGCACTGTACGCCCAGTACTTACTGGCTGATATAGCATTGTACACCCTGTACTTACTGGCTGATATAGCACTGTACGCCCAGTACTTACAGGCTAATAGCACTGTATGCCCAGTACTAACTGGCTGATTCACTGTACGCCCAGTACTTACTGGCTGATTCACTGTACGCCCAGTACTCACTGGCTGATACAACTGTACGCCCAGTACTTACTGGCTGATTCACTGTACGCCCAGTACTCACTGGCTGATACAACTGTACGCCCAGTACTTACTGGCTGATTCACTGTCCGCCCAGTACTTACTGGCTGATTCACTGTACGCCCTGTACTTACAGGCTGATAGCACTGTATGCCCAGTACTTACTGGCTGATAGCACTGTACGCCAAGTACTTACTGGCTGATGACACTGTACGCCCAGTACTTATTGGCTGATTCACTGTATGCCCAGTACTTACTGGTTGATGACACTGTACGCCCAGTACTTACTGGCTGATGACACTGTACGCCCAGTACTTACTGGCTGATTCACTGTACGCCCAGTACTTACTGGCTGATTCACTGGTTGCCTGTACTTACTGGTTGATGACACTGTACGCCCAGTACTTACTGGCTGATAGCACTGTACGCCCAGCACTTACTGGTTGATGACACTGTACGCCCAGTACTTACTGGCTGATGACACTGTACGCCCTGTACTTACTGGTTGATGACACCCAGCAGCCTGATCCAGAGTCCAGATTTTGAGTTGGGAGTGCTAGTGAACAATGGACATGCTGGAGGAGCTTGGATGCAGCCTCCCTTCTGCAGTCCCCATCTTACAGCTTTTAGGCAATTCTGAAATGAGAAACTAATATTGTACAGAAAAATGTTTACAAAAAATAAATTATGAACCAGAAGATTTAACTACTTTCTTGTACTGATCCATGTATTCAGGACAGAAACTAATGAAGTTTAATCCATTCACCCCTAAAGTCACATTTGAACCTTACCAAATCAAAGACTGGGAGAGTCCAGTTTAAATATGTAGGGGTAAATGAGTTGAATGATAGCTAATGAGTACATTCCAGTGATCTAAACTGTATATTACTTGATTTGCCATTCTGTATTATTAATCTAGACTGTGTCAGTTTTGACCACTCAAACAGTGTCCATAGGCTAGGTTTCAGATTTCCGGGTTCCAATTCCCGACACCGAACTCTAGCTAGACAACTGTACCTTTTGGTCACTCATGGTGATAGAGTCCATGGCCATCTATTACAGACAGAAGGAGGATGTGGGCTAGCTTTTCCCATCCCTTTCTTCTACATAATTATAATAACAGTTATAAAAACCTCCATTTGCTATGATTGGCCAATTGGGACAATATTAAATTCAAGAATGCAGGGACATGTCTGGCAAGTCAATCGGTTCGAGTGTCCCGTCTATAGTTTGGAGGTCCAAGGTTGGAATCCTGGTCTGGCTATTCCATTCTCTCTCTCCTGTAAAATACAGTGTAGCCCAAGCTTCCTCTGGCCCTGACACCAGAATTAAACATTTTGACAGATAGATGTTTGGTGTGAGTTGGGCTAGTTACAGTGGTGCTTAAAGTGACCAACCCTTGTTTTCAGTACTGGGTGTGCACTAATTGGCAAGGGGAAACCTTGGTTGTAAAATTATGTTTGGGGGCAATCTTATAAAACAATTCTGTAGAAATATCTTGTATCATTTTGATATATATCTCTGATATATTTAAAGATATTCCTATTACATTTGATTTGAAACTTATATCTCTTTGTGAATTAAAGAGATCAAAGCATTTCTGATACCTTTGTGGCCCTATTTGGTTAAGTGAGCAGAACTTATAATAAGGCTGGGCTGATCGCTCAGGTGACCAGGTAGCTCAATTCGTTTTACAGTATTGTCTTTCTAGAGTTTGAAGGTCCCCGGGTTCACATCATTGTCTGGCTGAGTGTTGCATTTTCTTTTCCTGGTACAGTTATTAAATGTTAGTTGTCTTTCATAGACACTTATGCAATTGGGCCTGGGCCTGTGATCACAACACTTTGAACAGGTTAATAGATACAGGTCCCTGTGATCACAGCACTTTGAAGATAATAATAGATTAGATTCACCTCCCTGTGATCACTTATTATTAGTAACTAGTTAGCCCAAGTTTTCTCTGGCCCTTAAACATCAGACTTAGACATTTTGACATCATCATAGATGTCTGGTGTGGGGCCAGAGCGCAATGGTATATGAAAACGTGGAATTCTCCGACACCGTTTGGTATTGGGGAGTGACTAATCAACAAAAAGACGCGGTCCGGAAATCTTCTAAATAAGAATGATATATTCTGTTTTCGGTCCAGATCTGTGAGTACGGTTAATTATGAATGCTTGAAAATCAAGGACTCAACTGACGGAATTTAACAGCTGTTGGTGATAAAAAGAGCTGATTTGGATCAATAAATAGATTATTTATTGATATATGTGAGGTATATGTGAGGTATGTTGTAATTGTGTCATAATAGATTTGTGTTGACAGCACCTAATAACTCTCCGATACCAAACGGTGTCGGAGAATTCCACGTTTTCATATAGCAGCGTGCTCTGGCCCCACATGAGACATCTACATGTCAAAATGTCTTAGTCTGGTGTTAGGGCCTAAGTGAGAGGAAACTCAGGCTAAAGCTTTAAGTGTAAGTCATTTCCATCGTCACTTTGTTAAAGATCACACGTGGATCCGTTAATTGATGCACAATTTTGCTGCATCGTACTGTTCTAGGCTCACAGGCATTTGTTTCTCTTAATAAAAATAGTCATGACAAAAAAATCACACCCTACATTTTTTGTCAGGACTATTTTTTTGACAGAAACATGTAACACGTTAGATTAGATTGTTAGATTGTGGTAACAGTTATAAGTCACAGTATGTTTTTACCAATTGCAAACGAATGGTACATTATAAGTGACAAATCACCTGTGATTGTGATATTTTGCTCGATTAGATGCCAATAGTTCTATCACAAAGTGTGTTTCTTTCTTACCCTTGTAAGTGACACCGTCGCCATCAAGCCGGCTTGCATGTCAAGCTATTTATAGCGATCAAAGTGAAACTAAGCTGCGTCGCTCCTGCAATCACAAATTATGCACTGTTCTTTTAGGTTTGGTTTTTCTAGAAAACCAAAAAATATAACAAAATGACTTGAAAATAAATGAGTTAGAAAATATTTACGTATATCAAACTTTCCTGTACCACAAGCAAGTGCTTCTGCGATTTTCTTCAGTGTCATAAGCGAGATAGAGCATGGCTACATTGACAGGACAGGTACGTTTTTTCGCTCTACTTTGTCAAATAGGAAACTCAAAGCCTCTCCGTAGATTTTGTTTTCCAACATGAATGGTAAGGTACAGCCTGCATACTCGTAAGTGAGACTTTGTCGGGGTAGATGCAAACAAAACAAAATGTACTGTATTGAAAACATGTGAAGATTATATTAGTCCATAATGTTGGGTACATTACATCAAAGTTAGATCTGTGCAAAGAGCCTAAAATGCAGACGTGAAGCAGATGGGGCTAGATAGTCTTTCACCAGACATCTTGAAACTCCCAAACAAAATACTGACTCCATGATCTATTACTAAAATATTTATAATTAACATGAATATATATAGTTGAAGGCTCTTTTCCTGCCATTTTCAAATTATAAGCTAGGGTCACTCCAATTCATAAAAAGGGTTCAAAATCAAACGTGAACAATTATAGACCTATTTCAATTCTTCCCATAATATCTAAGATATTAGAAAAGAATATAAGTACACACTCTATAAATAAAATATCTCTAAATATAATATCCTATTCAATTCTTAATCCGGATTAAGACAAAATTTTCCTGTCAGACAGCTTTAACTGATCGGTGGATATCTGCTATAGACTCCGGTAATCACTTAGGTTCGGGTATCCCCTTGCAAAGTATTCATCCAATTCTTGAAACAAGGGTTGGTCACAGGCACCAAATGTGATAGGAGCAAAACAATGCATGGCCAGACCGGGGTTCGAACCCGGGACCCTTCAAACTCTAGAAGGGAGCTCTGAATTGAGCTTCCTGGTTGCCAATGAATGACCATGTCAAGTTCCACTACACTCCTCCCTTCTTTTTCTAAGTATTCCCTCCCGAAGACAACTTAAAGTTACGTTACCCAGGTTCTGGTATAACTATCAGATTCCCCTTGCCAAGTTATTATAATTCACCCAATACTTGAAACAAGGGATGGTTACAGGCAACAAATGCAATAGGAGCAGAAGATTGCATGGCCAGACCAGGTTCAAACCCTGGACCCTCCAAACTCTAGACAGATGCTCTACCAACTGAGCTACCTGGTCGCAGATGACTGACCCATTCCAGTATTCAAGCCTGTAGAAATATATGATCAGTTTTATTCCAGAGATTTCAGATGATTATGGAAGGACAAATGTAAAAAATTGGAACAAAGTACATGTTTCATTAAGTTCTTAAATTCTTACATAAACAATTGAAGACCTGTATATATATAATGAATTATCTGTTTTATTCCAGAGATGCCTTTTCAGGCACAGTTCTTTAAAGAGAATGTCTACAACCTTTAAAAAGATGTACCAGTCCACTTTACAACAATTACCTGGTACTGAGGAAGAAGTTGTAAAGAAAAAAAGGTTTCAACGTTTTATGGATTCTTGGGCTTTTAACAGATTAACTCCCGAAACAAAATGGACAACTTATCAAGATTTTTCTACAGAGGCAGTCATGGAGATATTAGAAGATCGTAAACGACAGAAGAGAATTAAAAGCCAAAGGTTGTTTCATTTTTAAATTACATTCTTAGCTCACCGGCGTCCGTCGTCAATATTTTACTTTTTAAAAACAACTTCTTCTTAATAACCAAGAGGCCTAGGGTGATGATATTTGGCCAGAAGCAAACTGGAATGAATGACCTTCACCAATTTTCAAGGTCACAGGGGTCAAACATGTTAAAAATTTTAAAAAACAACTTCTTCTGAATAACCAAAATGCCCAGGGTGATGATATTTGGCCAGTAGCATGCTAGGATGAAGGGCTACTAAGTTTATTCAAATGAATGACATTCATCCATTTTCAAGGTCACAGGGGTCAATTGTCTTAAAAAATCTTTTTAACAACTTCTTCTTAAAAGCTAAGAGGCCTAGGATTATGATTTTTGGCCAGTAGCATGTTAGGATGAAGGGCTACCAAGTTTGTTAAAATGAATGACCTTGACAAATGTTCAAGGTCAAAGGTGTCAAATATGTTTAAAACCTTTATACAACTTCTTCTCAATATCCAAAAGGCCTAGGATGATGCTATTTGGCCAGTAGCATGATGTGATAAAAGGCTCCCACGTTTGTTCAAACGAATAACCTTGACAAATATTCAAGGTCACAGGAGTCAAATATTTGAAACCTTTAAACAAGTTCTTCTCAATAAGCAAAAGGCCAAGGGTGAAGGTATTTAATTTGAGGCCATTAACATGCCAGGATGAAGGACTACCAAGTTTGTTCAAATGAATGACCTTCACCCATATTCAAAGTCACAGTGGTCAATATATGTTTAAATGACTTGTTCTGTTTAACCAAAAGGTCCAGCTGGGTTGGAAGACTATAAACTCTGTTCAACCTAATGTCCTTGTTCGACATTCAAGGTCACAGGCGTCATATGTTTAAATCTTTTAATAGGTTCTTATGAATCAAACACTGATATTCTGCTTGTAGCTGTATTTTAGTCCACTTTTAAGATTACAAGTGAGAGATTAATACCTGATTGGATTATTTTGTTTTGTGAAATAACTCCTAAAATTGATGTGAATGTTCATATTTGCAAGTGACATCGATACATCAACTCCCCCCAAAATGGTTCAGTATCACAACAAATGTGCTGTGTACCGTACATACATCTGTACATGTACATATTGGCAATGCAAGTGGCCGACTAAATATCATTTCCAATTCACTGCATGCATATTTATGCATCATTAATAAGGCCAACAGCTTCTGGTTGGTTAATTCTTTTCCATGCAATAGCTCCCCTAAAAGTGCTTCATTTTTGACAATTAACATTCCTTGTGCCCTGGCCCAACTTCCGCAGAAATTACCTGCATAGTTTTCTGGCATATCTACATGTACCTAGGCCCACTTGTATAAAACATCTCAAAGTTAAGGAAAATCTAAAGCGATGTAATTTGTCTATGGGAAATCTCAAGAGTTGAGATGTTTTATACAAGTGGGCCCATACTGTAGACCATAATGGACTCATCCAGGTCAATGCATGGTAGAGTCTACTAAAGTTACATGGGGCTGAAAGGGTTAAGATTCTCCATTCTTTTGAACAAACCAAACCAAAATACTGAACTGAGTGCAGATATATACTACATGTCCTGCAAGTGGGGGATATAAATTCCATGAATTTTCATTTTCAGCTTGTCATGGGGTTTCTGAAAAGAAAAAAATCTTTGCGTTAATCACGTATGAAATGAAACTCATGTTTGACCCATGCACCAGGGGTAATATATCATGTATGTATATTACTTTTTATGCTGTATACCAGGAAAATAATTACACCAAGTGTAAAATATATCACATTTTACCAGTAAATCAATATTTTTGCCCAGTGTTATTTCACTATTGATTGTGGAAACACTAAGTATTGTCAGATTGTGTTACTATATATATTCATCATCTTGGTAAATATGCCCTCGTTACAGGAGCAAAAACAAAACAAGGCAAAATTAAACTGGAGCAAACCTTTACTAGTGTAAGGGTAGTCCAGTGCACGTGGAAGGGTGTCAGGCTCGTGACCGAAGGGTTGCAGATCGAGTTGCGTCACAGCACTGTGTTGTTTGTATCACTGAACAAGATACTTTACTCTGCTTGTTCCAGTCTACTCGGCTGTAAATGAGTATGTGGTTGGGCAGTGCTGGAATTGTTGAATGCTAGCTGGGGGAGTCTAACAAAAAGAAAGATTAAATCATCTCTAATCTTTAACCAATACCAGGCCCTATAGACATTTTGGGAGTTCAAAGGTCAATTGTCATAGAAACCTGAAGCCAAATGGTCTCTTGATATTTACCATAGGCTATATTAGCCTTGCAGTTGTGTCAGACTGATTCTGATTCACATTTTCTAACGAGGAATTTAATAGAACACATGTCTCTCCTTACAGCTTCGACATGAAACGCTACAACAACTTTGGTCCTGAATTATCAGCAGCTCAGTTTGTTGTCAAAATTGGCGGAAAAGTGAAAATTGATGATTATCCCGAGTGGGTCCCAATAACAGATGACCCTTCATCAATGCCTCTGCCAGAACAACGCCTAGACAAATTAAAATTAGAAGGCTTAGACCTCTCAGGAACTAATCTGGTATTCGAAGGATACAGAAATTTTGGTAAGAATTGTACTATATTATGGTGTGCACTTGTTAGAATATCATTTTTTTCAACGTGACATATTCTTATGAATTTGAACTTGCAAGACTGAACAATTTTTCAGTTTTTAATTTCGGAATTGACTCGAGCTTGGATTATTTTTTTTTTATCAAAATATTATTAATAAATAATCATATACAAAGAATTCATAGTGATATCATGAGAAACTGGCAATTTAAGAAAAAATATGAAAGCCTGACTTTAGTATTTTTTTATGATTAGTTTTTATGAAGATGCCAGTTTCAGCTGTTCTTAAAATGAATTAATTGAATTTTAGCAAAACACAAGATGTTGAGAATTCTTTTTATTTCAAAAGTTGAAATGATGGTGAAACATCTGAAGTATACGTCCAAAAGAAGGAAACTAATAATGGAGGACGTGTCAAGGTTTACAATTGGTGTTGATTTCTCATTACAATAAGACTTCAGAACTGGCAACTGTTGACCAGAACAATGGCGAAGCATACATGCGTGCTTAGTATGCTCAAGCATACACTAAAAATTTAAATATTCAAAAAAAGATCTTATTTCAATCATATACTTTTGTTATTTTCTTTTTTTAATGATTAAATACTGGAACGTCCGTATCAATCATAAAAAAATGGAATAATTTTCTTTTTGAAAATCTTGAAAATTTTAGTCAGATAAAATAGTGTTGTTATGGTATGTCTTATAGTAAACATTGACAAATCTTGAAGGTTTATGTAAATCACAAACTACTTAGTGAAGGGCAAAAATTTAATAATATTCAAATAAAAAATCAGGGTTTACTTGTTAATAATCAGACTAAAAGGAGTTCTCAGAACAAGGGCGATTACTACTAGGGCCTGGTAGAATATTTTTTCCAGCTATGGGAGAAGGAATTCCCCTCCAATACCCTCCTCTATCGCTATGCGCCTCTGATGCTCAACCCTCTGTTAGCGTACACCCTGAAAAATGATTTGCTACACCACTGATTGGGAAAGCTAAAGACTAAGGTTAATCTCTCTCACATCATACATAACTCTTGAAATCGAAGGCTCTGTATGTGCAACCTTGTGGATGATACCAATAGACTAGTTTGATCCTTTGATATACATCAAACGAATCGTGCGACAGCATGATGGTAAAAGGTTTCTGTTTTGCACAATTTTTTACTTACTCTAGAATGTGTTTTTTTGCAGTTTATTTCAGGCAATCGGTGTTGTAATCTTAAATGTTGTTTCCATGCTATGACTAGTAAAAAATGTTTTGCAACATATTTAGTTTAGCTATAGCCTACGTAATTTCTACATTTTATTTGGAGCTAAAAGCAGAAATATTGTATATTTAACAAAAACAAAATCTTAAGAAAACTTGCACACAAACATTTTGTAAAATTTAACTTTCATATAACTGGACGGTATCTCTATTGTAGTGAATCTGCAGCACATCAAATATATCCGTGTCCACGACAGCGACTTTCTTGATGACTTCAACTTGACACAATTTGTACTTTTCCGAGATACATTGGAATTCCTTGACATCAGTGGCTGTCCCAAGTTGACATGGCGAGGACTGGCCTGGCTCCACCACCTAGAGTAAGAATGAACACCTGACCATTGTTTGCTTTTTATCTTGAAATTGCAACTGGGAGTGTAAAAAAGCATCTTCAAAAATGTGTCTGGGGCAACAAGATTGTGTTGTCCCACTATCTACCCACATCCACCCAGCCACCACTAATCTGGTTGTCCCACTATCTACCCTCATCAATCCAGTCACCACTAATCAAGTTACCCACTATCTACCCTCATCAACCCAGCCACCACTAATCTGGTTGTCCAACTATCTCCCCTCATCAACCCAGCCACCACTAATCTTGTTGTCCGACTATCTACCCTCATCAACCCAGCCACCACTAATCTGGTTGTCCAACTATCTACCCTCATCAACCCAGTCTCCACTAATCTTGTTATACGACTATCTACCCTCATCAACCCAGTCTCCACTAATCTTGTTATTCGACTATCTACCCTCATCAACCCAGCCACCACTAATCTTGTTGTCCCACTATCTACCCTAATCAACCCAGCCACCACTAATCTGGTTGTCCAACTATCTACCCTCATCAACCCAGTCTCCACTAATCTTGTTATTCGACTATCTACCCTCATCAACCCAGCAACCACTAATCTTGTTATACGACTATCTACCCTCATCAACCCAGCCGCCACTAATCTCGTTATCCTAATATCTACCCTCATCAACCCAGCAACCAATTATCTGGTTGTCCCACTATCTACCCTCATCAATCCAGCCACCACTAATCTTGTTGTTCCACTATCTACCCTCATCAATCCAGCCACCACTAATCTGGTTGTCCCACTATCTACCCTAATCAACCCAGTCACCACTAATCTGGTTGTCCCACTATCTACCCTCATCAACCCAGCCACCACTAATCAGGTTGTCCCACTATCTACCCTCATCAATTCAGTCACCACTTATCAAGTTACCCACTATCTACCCTCATCAATCCAGCCACCACTAATCTGGATGTCCCACTATATATCTACCCTCATCAATCCAGTCACCACTAATTACGTTACACACTATCTACCCTCATCAACCCAGCCACCACTAATCAGGTTGTCCCACTATCTACCCTCATCAATTCAGTCACCACTTATCAAGTTACACACTATCTACCCTCATCAATCCAGCCACCACTAATCTGGTTGTCCCACTATATATCTACCCTCATCAATCCAGTCACCACTAATCAAGTTACACACTATCTTCCCTCATCAACCCAGTCACCACTAATCTGGTTGTCCCACTATATACCCTCATCAACCCAGCCACCACTAATCTGGTTATCCCACTATCTATCCTCATCAATCCAGTCACAAATCATCTGGTTGTCCCACTATCTACCCTCATCAATTCAGTCACCACTTATCAAGTTACCCACTATCTACCCTCATCAACCCAGTCACCACTAATCTGGTTGTCCCACTATATACCCTCATCAACCCAGCCACCACTAATCCCACTAATCTGGTTGTCCCACTATCTACCATACTCAATCCAGCCACCAATAATCTGGTTGTCCCACTATCTACCCTCATCAACCCAGCCACCGCTAATCTGGTTGTCCCACTATCTACCCTCTTCAACCCAGCCACCACTTATCTGGTTGTCCAACCATTTACCCTCATCAATCCAGTCAACACCTATCAAGATACACACTATCTACCCTCATCAACCCAGACACCACTAATCTGGTTGTCCCACTATCTATCCTCATCAATCCAGTCACAAATCATCTGGTTGTCCCACTATCTACCCTCATCAACCCAGCAACCACTTATCTGGTTGTCCCACTATCTACCCTCTTCAACCCAGCAACCACTTATCTGGTTGTGCCACTATCTCCCCTCATCAACCCAGCCACCCCTTATCTGGTTGTCCCACCATCTACCCTCATCAATCCAGTCAACACCTATCAAGTTACACACTACCTACACTCATCAACCCAGCCACCACTAATCTGGTTGTACCACTATATCTACCCTCATCAACCCAGCCACCACTAGTCTGGTTGTCCCACTATCTATCCTCATCAATCCAGTCACAAATCATCTGGTTGTCCCACTATCTACCCTCATCAATCTAGCCACCACTGATCTGGTTATCCTAATATCCCCCCTCATTAACCCAGCCACCACTTATCTGATTGTCCCACTATTTACCCTTATCAATCCAGTCACCAATAATCTTGTTGTTCCACTGTCACCACTTATCAAGTTACCCACTATCTACCCTCATCAACCCAGCCACCGCTAATCTGGTTGTCCCACTATCTACCCTCTTCACCCCAGCAACCACTTATCTGGTTGTCCCACCATCTACCCTCATCAATCCAGCCACCTCTAATCAAGATACACACTATCTACCCTCATCAACCCAGACACCACTAATCTGGTTGTCCCACTATCTACCCTAATCAACCCAGCCACCACTAATCTGGTTGTCCAACTATCTACCCTCATCAACCCAGCCACCAATAATCTGATGGTCCCACTATCTATCCTCATCAACCCAGCCACCACTAATCTGGTAATCCTAATATCTACCCTCATCAACCCAGCCACCATTAATCTGGTTGTCCCATTATCTACCCTCTTCAACCCAGCAACCACTTATCTGGTTGTCCCCCTATCTACCCTCATCAACCCAGCCACCACTTATCTGGTTGTACCACCATTTACCCTCATCAATCCAGTCAACACCTATCAAGTTACACACTATATACCCACATCAATCCAGTCAACACTAATCTTCTTGTCCCACTATCTATCCTCATCAATCCAGCCACCACTAATCTGGTTGTCCCACTACCTACCCTCATCGATCCAGTCACCACTAATCAAGTTACCCACTATCTACCCTCATCAATCCAGCCACCACTAATCTGGCTGTCCCACTATATATCTACCCTCATCAATCCACTCACCACTAATCAAGTTACACACTATCTACCCTCATCAACCCAGCCACCACTTATCTGGTTGTCCAACCATTTACCCTCATCAATCCAGTCAACACCTATCAAGTTACACACTACCTACACTCATCAACCCAGCCACCACTAATCTGGTTGTACCACTATATCTACCCTCATCAACCCAGCCACCACTTATCTGGTTGTCCCACTATCTACCCTCATCAACCCAGCCACCAATAATCTGATTGTCCCACTATCTACCCTCATCAACCCAGCCACCACTAATCTGGTTGTCCCACTATCTATCCTCATCAATCCAGTCACCAATCATCTGGTTGTCCCACTATCTACCCTCATCAATCCAGCCACCACTGATCTGGTTATCCTAATATCCACCCTCATTAACCCAGCCACCACTTATCTGATTGTCCCACTATTTACCCTTATCAATCCAGTCACCAATAATCTTGTTGTTCCACTATCTACCCTCGAGATGTTGGATAATGTAATGATAACATAAAGGGGAATATTCTTCGACAGATGAAGTTCAATAAAGGTCTATCCGTCTACATGTTTAAGCCTCTTGGAATGAATGTGTTTAAATTAAAATATGAAGAAAAAACCTATTTTACAACAACCTTTCCACAAATTCATGTCTTCAAGGCATTCTTTTTGTGGGGGACATATGAATGAAAGGCACCTATTTTATAAAAGACGTGTAGGGCAAATTACACTGTTTACATATATACAAAGTTATTTTAGTATTTATGGTTTTCTTTTATGTTTCAGGAATTTGAAATGTTTAAAACTAGATAATTTGAAGGGTGTAGATGATCCAGAAATTGTGTTAGATTTAGTTTGTGACATGCTACCAAACTGTCAAGTCCAAGGGACTATAGGGATTTCACCAGCGCAGGAGGAGACGGAGCACGCGCCATCGAAACCAGAATCTATATCGTCAACAGAGCTATAGCCATAACTAACAGCAATGACTACATCTTATTTGTCATCAAACAATAATTGTGTTACCGTTAAAAGTATTTCAGAAATAAATTGTATTTATTTAAAATCCAAGCTTTTGACTGCTCATTTTATATGTTGGCATCTCTCTGGTTAGACATTTATAAAAAGTAAATGTAATTATTCTTGAGGTAAACATTTATTTTTTGTATTGTCTGCTATTCATTAAAGGCGACAAGGAGGGATTACTTTTTCTATTGTCAGAACAATTTTTTGTTGTCTAGAAAGTGCATCTTATTATTAAGGGATTATCAGATTTTGATGACAAACAGTACTTAACGGTACTACCAAAGTCCCATACTCGGGGTCAATACCTGGCAAAAACAATGAATATTGAAAAAGACTGCTTTGATCTGGTCAATTAAACACTAAATATATTGCATTGTTTTTTTTCATCATGGCTTATTTGCAAACTTAGATCCTGTTGACAGCTGACATACCCAAGGTGACACATCCACCTCTGTGGATAGTTGAAATAGCCTTGGTGACGCATCCACCTCTGTGGATAGTTGAAATAGCCTTGGTGACGCATCCATCTCTGTGGATAGTTGAAATAGCCTTGGTGACACATCCATCTCTGTGGATAGTGGAAATAGCCTTGGTGACGCATCCATCTCTGTGGATAGTTGAAATAGCCTTGGTGATGCATCCACCTCTGTGGATAGCTGACATCAAGTGACACATCTACCTCTGTGGACAGCTGACATCAAGTGACACATCCACCTCTGTGGACAACTGACTTCAAGTGACACATCTACCTCTGTGGACAGCTGACATAACTAGGTGAAAGTATAGGTGACACATCAACCTGTGTAGCAGTCTAGCTGACGTAACTAGGTGACACATCCACCTCTATGGATAGCCGACATCATCAAATGACACATCCACCTCTGTGGACAGCTGACATCACTAGGTGACACATCCGCCTCTGTGGACAGCTGACATCACTAGATGACACATCCACCTCTGGGGACAGCTGACATCAAGTGACACATCTACCTCTGTGGACAGCTGACATCACTAGGTGACACATCCACATCTGTGTAGCTGACGTAACTAGGTGACACATCCACCTCTATGGACAGCTGACATCACTAGATGACACATCCACCTCTGTGTAGCTGACATTACTAGGTGACACATCCACCTCTATGGATAGCCGACATCACTAACTGACACATCCACCTCTGTGGACAGCTGACATCACTAGGTGACACATCCACATCTGTGGATAACTGACATCACTAGGTGACACATCCACCTCTGTGAACAGCTGACATCGCGTGACACATCCACCTGTGTAGCTGACATCACTAGGTGACACATCCACCTCTGTGTAGCTGACATAACTAGGTGAAACATCTACCTCTGTGGACAGCTGACATCACTAGGTGCCCCATCCACCTCTGTGGACAGCTGACATCACTACGTGACACATCCACATCTGTGGATAACTGACATCACTAGGTGACACCTCCACCTCTGTGAACAGCTGACATCGCGCGACACATCCACCTGTGTAGCTGACATCACTAGGTGACACATCTACCTCTGTGTAGCTGACATCACTAGGTGAGACATCTACCTCTGTGGACAGCTGACATCACTAGATGACACATCCATCTCTGTGGATAGCTGCCATCACTAGATGACACATCCACCTCTGTGTAGCTCACATCACTAGGTGACACATCCACCTCTGGGGATAGCTGACATCACTAGGTGACACATTCACCTCTGTGTAGCTGACATCACTAGGTGAGACATCTACCTCTGTGGACAGCTGACATCAAGTGACACATCTACCTCTGTGGACAGCTGAAATCAAGTGACACATCTACCTCTGTGGACAGCTGAAATCAAGTGACACATCTACCTCTGTGGACAGCTGAAATCAAGTGACACATCTACCTCTGTGGACAGCTGAAATCAAGTGACACATCTACCTCTGTGGACAGCTGACATCAAGTGACACATCTACCTCTGTGGACAGCTGAAATCAAGTGACACATCTACCTCTGTGGACAGCTGAAATCAAGTGACACATCTACCTCTGTGGACAGCTGACATCACTAGATGACACATCCACCTCTGTGTAGCTAACATCACTAGGTGACACATCCACCTCTGTGGATAGCTGACATCACTAGGTGACACATCCACATCTATTGACTTTTTATATAATACATGGAAGTTATCTTGATTTGATCATTGGCAAAATGCAAAAAAATAATACAGCAAATTTATTGATTTAATCATTGACATTTATTTACAGTCATAAATAGGAAGATCTTGTCTAGAATGTTCAACCGACAAGACCCGAGGCAGTACATATCACACTGAGTGTCTGAGAACTGAGTGAAAAGTTTTCTGTTCCACTGAGAGATGTTGGCAATGGTACTTCAACAATACCTTGACTATCAGCTTGCAGAGTTGTTGATGTACGTACTGCTGCTTGAGACAGTGTGAGTGAGTTGTTGATGTCCGTACTGCTGCTTGAGACAGTGTGAGTGAGTTGTTGATGTCCGTACTGCTGCTTGAGACAGTGTGAGTGAGTTGTTGATGTCCGTACTGCTGCTTGAGACAGTGTGAGTGAGTTGTTGATGTCCGTACTGCTGCTTGAGACAGTGTGAGTGAGTTGTTGATGTCCGTACTGCTGCTTGAGACAGTGTGAGTGAGTTGTTGATGTCCGTACTGCTGCTTGAGACAGTGTGAGTGAGTTGTTGATGTCCGTACTGCTGCTTGAGACAGTGTGAGTGAGTTGTTGATGTCCGTACTGCTGCTTGAGACAGTGTGAGTGAGTTCTTAACATTAGCACATTCACACAACGCCACTATATATAGGTGACATTGAGGAAAAGTTGATCACTTCTGTTAATAATTTCTTGAGATCAAAACTCATACATGATGAAACCTCCTGATATTGAGAGGAAACTTAATCTGTTCTCATTTACAAATGGTTGACGTTGGTACTCACACCTTCCCTGACTTTGAAAGAGAGATCTAGAGTTAAACTGCCGACGTTGGTACTCGCACCTTCACAAACTTTGAGGGAGAGTTAATCTGCTGATGTTGGTACTCGCACACCTTCACAAACTTTGAGGGAGAGTTGTTCACAAACTTTGAGGGAGAGTTAATCTGCTGATGTTGGTACTCACACACCTTTACAAACTTTGAGGGAAAGTTGATCAACTAATGTCAGTACTCACACCTTCACAAACTTTGAGGGAGAGTTGATCAACTAATGTCAGTTCTCACACCTTCACAAACTTTGAGGGAGGGTTTTCACAAACTTTGAGGGAGAGTTTTCACAAACCTTGAGGGAGAGTTAATCTGCTGATGTTGGTCCTCACACACCTTTACAAACTTTGAGGGAGAGTTGATCAACTAATGTCAGTACTCACACCTTCACAAACTTTGAGGTAGAGTTGTTCACAAACTTTGAGGGAGAGTTAATCTGTTGAGGTCAGTACTCGCACCTTCACAAACTTTGAGGGAGAGTTGATCAACTAATGTCAGTACTCACACCTTCACAAACTTTGAGGGAGAGTTAATCTGCTGATGTTGGTACTCACACACCTTCACAAACTTTGAGGGAGAGTTAATCTGTTGAGGTCAGTACTCGCACCTTCACAAACTTTGAGGGAGAGTTAATCTGCTGAGGTCCGTACTCACACCTTCCCTGACAATGAAAGAGAGAGTTATTCTGCTGACATAGGTACTCGCACCTTCCCTGACAATGAAAGAAAGAGTTATTCTGCTGACATCGGTACTCGCACCTTCCCTGACATTGAAAGAGTGAGTTAATCTGCTCCGATGACGAGTCGTTGTCAGTATCACACCTTCAATCACATTGAGGGAGAGTTAATCTGCTCCGATGACGAGTTGCTGACGTCGGTACTCCCATACAAGCAGAGCTCCACTGACATGGACATTGAGAGACCGGATGATGCCCTGCTGTGGAATCTCCACACAAACATCTAACATATTAATCAGTTCCACGGGGATTCCCTCTCGCTCATTCCTGGAAATACACAATATTAACTAAATATAAAATCTCTGTTAACTGTAAACACTGAAAATGATACACGTTAAGTTATTTACTCTTATTTCATTTACATTTCAGTGTAATTTTCCCTCATTAGTTAAATAGACTTTCATAAACATTTAATTTCAAATACTGCACTCACGAGAAAAATAAAAAATATTGTGATTTCAAACCAGGTGAAAACATCCAAGTTTCTGGTTTTTATTCTTAATTGATGGTTTTCTATATGTCACATGAAAGAATGTTAATTTCATACCCCAGAAGTAGAAGAGACTTGTAAGGGAATTGGAAGTCTGTGAGGGAGACAGAATTGGCCGTCTGCTCCACTCCTATCAAAGTGTAACCGGCCTGTTTCTTCTCTGTAAGGAATGTTGTCAGCTTTTTCTTGTACACCTGCAATAAGTTATTACAGAAAAGTATTGGTGCGAGTTCATTAATTTCTTTATCATCTTAAGAGAATATTCTGACAAATATCTGGAATATTTCTTCATTGTTTCAACAATTTAGAAAAAATCACAAAATAAGAAGTTACACCCTTCTACATCTGTAATGCCCACATCACCTATTTTACTGTGCATAATACACTTAAGTACATATTCTTCAAATTTTACATCTCCGAAGAGCTCGGTCGGCTTTGCTCTTAAATCATGTGGTTCATAAGAAGGGGTGACATCTTAAAATTTAAAAGATTGCCCCCTGAATATAAGTCTAGCTAACTTTCATGAACACATCTGATAGCCTCTAACCTCTGGAAGACACAGAACAAGTTGCTTGCAATTGAAGAGTGTAACACTAAAATAACCTTGGCTATGGGGGTCAAGGTTATGTATCTAAACAATCTTAAAGCTTGGTATCCTTGAGCTTGAGAACAACACAAATCTATGGTTTCCGACCTTATAACACAAACAAGTATCAAATGAACCTACCTCTGTGATCGGAAGCCACTTCTGTGCAGTCACACTGAGGGTCTGGAACATTTTGTCTTCAAGGTTCTTCATTCTGCCGATAACAAATTCAGACACACCAAAGATCTCGCTGGTGCGACACAGTCCTGTTGTTATCAAAGACAAAGAAGAAAATGCAAATTGTTATTTCATGGAATATTCAGCAGTTTGTTTTTACATTACTCAAAGCTTCAAGAACAGAGTATCGCCAAACCCGATTAGTTTTAGGGTGATAATTCAACCTATTTAACTTTTAACCCTGAAGAGTTCTGTGACTTTGGGTCTTCCACATTGGATGATTGTGCATATTGTCACATACTTCAAAGAGTAAATATTGGACTTTGGACCGACCATATGCTTTGATTTACCTGTTAGTTTCTAATTGAGGTAAATAAAGCTTACCGTTAATTATTAGGATGTCCCACAATCAGGTGTTTCATTTTCTACTGGGGCATGATCCCATTTCCATGATTCATGTATGTGTTCTAATATGTATCCAGGGTAATGACAATAATACCCCGATAATTTCATCATTCGAACACTCGATGGAAAGATTAAACATTTTTCTATAAGGTGAAGGATCCCTTAAGTATGGGGTAAATATAAATAAAACTGGTACAGATTGCTTTTCTTGAGACTTTTGATTTGTTCTGATAACATGCATATAAACCGACCATTGACTGAGGATAGGAGCCACGACCGAGTCATTTCAAATGTAACGTAGACCCAATAGCCTTCATGGGAGTTTGTAAGATGGATGTTGATTTGCATTGTAATGGGGCTTAGATTTTACCTTTGACCTTCTGTATACAGGGTTAATTTCACAGCAGGTTTTTTTGTTTTTTTTACAGATTTTAGTAACAAGACGCCCAATGGGCCTGAATTGCTCACCTGGTATAAATCTCACACTTGTTATCTTAAAAGCGGACAAAAATACAACTACAGGCAGAATATCAGTGTTTGACTCATAAGAACCTATTAAAAGATTTAAACATATGACGCCCGTGACCTTGAATGTCGAACAAGGACATAAGATTGAATAGAGTTTAGAGTCTTCCAACACAGCATGCTTCTAGCAAAATATCATTACCCTGGACCTTTTGGTTATACAGAACAAATTATTTAAAGATTAAAACATATATTGACCAGTGTGACCTTGAATATGGGCGAAGGTCATTCATTTGAACAAACTTGGTAGCCCTTCATCCGAGCATGTTACTGGCTAAATTAAAGCACCATAGGCCTCTCAGTTATTCATTAGAAGTTGTTTAAATGTTTTAAACATAGACCCTTGTGACCTTGAATACATGTCAAGGTCATTTATTTGAACAAACTTGGTAGCCCTTCATCCCAGCATGTTAATGGCCAAATATCATCACCCCATGCCTCTTGGCTATTTAGAAGAAGTTGTTTAAAGGTTTTAAACATATTTGACTCCAGTGATCTTGAATATAAATCAAGGTCATTTATTTTAACAGACTTGGTAGCCCTTCATCCAAGCATGTTACTGGCCAAATATCATCACCCTATGCCTCTCGGTTATTCAGAAGAAGTGGTTGAAAGGTTTTAAACATATTTGACCCCCGTGATCTTGAATATAAATCAAGGTCATTTATTTGAACAAACTTGGTAGCCCTCCATCCGAGCATGTTACTGGCCAAATATAATCACCCTCGGCCTAATGGTTATTCAGAAGAAGTTGCTTAAAGAATTTAACATATTTGACCCCTGTGACCTTGAATATAAGTCAAGGTCATTTATTTCAAAAAGACTTGTTAGACTTTCATCCGTGCATGTTACTGGCCAAATATCATCACCATATGCCTCTCGGTTATTCAGAAGAAGTGGTTTAAATGTTTTGAACATATTAGACCCCTGTGACCTTGGATATAAGTCAAGGTCATTTATTTGAACAAACCTGGTAGCCCTTCATCCCAGCATGTTACTGGCCAAATATCATCACCCTATGCCTTTCGGTTATTCAGAAGAAGTGGTTTAAAGGTTTTAAACATATTTGACCCCTGTGACCTTGAATATAATTCAAGGTTCATTTATTTGAACAAACTTGGTAATCCTTCATTTCAGCATGTGACTGGCCAAATATCATCACCCTAGGCCTTTCGGTTATTCAGAAGAAGTTGTTTAAAGATTTTAACATATTTGACTCCTGTGACCTTGAAAATGGATGAAGGTCATTTATTTTAACAAACTTGGCAGCCCTTTGTCCCAGCATGCTTCTTACCAAATATCATCACCCTAGGCCTTTTGGTTACTGAGAAAAAGTTGTTTAAAGTAAAAAGTTGACGCCGGACGGACGCCGGACCATGCCATAACCTCACTAAGTGCTAATAAAACAAGAAAGATATTCCAATCAACTTGACATCAACTGCAAAACTACCCATTCAACAAAATTCGTTATTGTGAACATAGCTGTGCCCAAAAATGACTCCAGGTTTGAAAGCTTTTGAAGAAAAGTTGATGTACATACTGCTGTGGGTGTAGATTTGACCTTAGTTCTACCTCCAAGACAGGGTTTTTGCCAGGTGTTTATAGGGTCCGGTACAGTAACCCATTCCCAATAGAAAAATGACCCTGCGTTTTTCCAATTTCAGTCTCTATTTTCCCAATTCATTATTGGATTTAAAAGCATGTTTATACAAGTTCCAAGTCGTAATATGTGCAATGCTGAAAGTATTACCATACATGATGGAGCATTCAAATACATAAATAGCGAAAAATTGAAATCGAATAAAGAAAAACACTGAACATTTTGATTTGTTTATTTATTGCTATACATTTTACTGAAACATTGCAGGATCAATTTTTCCAAACTTATGATTTTTTCCCAAACCTGTACATGTGGGAACATCAATGAAATTTCTGAATTTTTGCCAAATGCCGATACTATTTTTCCAATTCTTGCTCAGGGACTCTTTCCCAAAAAAGCTGGCAAAACCCCTGCAAGATTAGGAAGCTTGAAAGCCTACAAAGGAGATACTTTTGCGAACAGCTCTAAATTTGACCTCTATCTTGCATTCAAGCTTGGGGATCTTGTCTACTTTTGTGTATTGCACTAGGTTTAGATTTGACCTCCGATGTTGGTGAGCTTCTTTATATGGGACATATTTTAGTGTATTACTGTTGGATTATATTTGACCTCTGACCTACCTCCAAGGTTGGGGAGCTTCTCTATAAGGGAGGTAACCAGAACTAGTCCTCCTGCTTGATGCCGCTTCTTACAGAAGTCCAGTTCCTCTTGTGCTTCATCGTCAGGTGTCATCAGTCGCCAAGGCATAATCTTCTTCTGGAAGTCTCCGCTCTCCTCTTCGTCTTCCTGTTCATTTCCAGCAGCTGTAACTGTCACAGTACTTAGGGTTTTACACTTCCATGACACATGCCATCATACTGATGTTAATTGACTCCAGACACTTTTCATTGTGCAATGTACATACACAATGTACTCCTTTATCCTTATTAAAGTAATTCAAATGCATATCTTTGGAAAGTATGCTTCAAATACCCCAAGTATATATGGCATGTTATTTAAACAATTTTCGTATGAATACAGTAAAATGATACATAATGCCTCGTTTCAATTGACAACTCTCATAACAATTCCTTTATATGTCTCTCCATCTATAATGTATCACCAAACCCCTTTACAATGCCATTTGTTTCTTAAAAATCCTTATATTTCCCCTCAATATGGTGCCAAACTTCTCAATAAAACACCAGAAGGTAGCTAGACCAAGGGTGGCAGTATAACAAGGTACATTAAGGGGATAGGATATTTATTTTGAGTGGCTGTACAGGAATGGGTTTGAAATCCAGATAAAAAAGGTTAAGAGTTTAACATAATTTCAATAAACTACACAGCTCATTATGTTACATGCTACACATTATTGGATACCCACGGCTGATTTGACTTCGTTACTCACTCATCACCCGGTGTTGTAAATCAGTCGTGGGTATCCGACGATGCATACTTCATTGTCATTTGTTTTGGTTAGAAATGTGTGGTGGGTGGGTCTTAACACAATTGAACGTGATGGCTATATTACTGAAAAGAACACTATTGCGAATCTCAAAATTCACTTTAAACTTCTGTAAAAAGTTTCTTATAATTATCACCATTCCATTTGCTTCCCGAAAACTCAAACCAAACAACAATGACAGAAAAAGTGATGCTGAGGACAAACAAATGTCACATAACAATAGCGTAAAATGGCAAGAAATATTCACCAATCATTCTTGTTTCAAATCTTCCATTGACTGACCAGTGGATTAACAACCAATGAGTTCTAGTGAAAAAGTTCAGATCCAAATATTGATACAATGATATACATGGTTCCTTATCACAACAGTGTAGTACGATTAAATATGTAATCAAATATACCACTAGTGATATCCCCAATTCAATGTACCCCAAGTAGGGTGGTTGATACCACTAGTGATATCCCCAATTCAATGTACCCCAAGTAGGGTGGTTGCATAGCACAGTGGATAAAGCACTCGCTTTTCACCAATGCAGCCAGGGTTTGATTCCCCGATCGGACATGAAAATATATGGGGTCACCTGTCCGACTACGTGGTTTTCTCCAGGTAATCTTCCTCTCATGTTGACTACCCCTGCGCTAACATCTGGGCCAACAAGAGTGATTAAAATAAGTTACAAAAACTTGTTTCATAATTGTTAAATAAATAAAGTTTATCTTATGTTGTTAATAAGAAAAGTTAAAGAAACAGTTCTAAAAGACCAATTTTCCATTATTCATATTTACACTTGTTTGCAATTTTCCATGTGCCTGCCGCGGAGCTGGCCAGTGAGTCTGAGGGGTTTAGGATGGGTATCCAGGGTTCGGTTCCTGCCTCCTTGGTCGCCATCATCCTGCCCTCCAGGAACATGTTGGGTAAGATCCATTCATCATCCATTAGACAGGCAAGGCGAGGCAGACTGTGGAAAATTGTCTGCAACACGGTCAAACAACTATATCTTAGTAGCTGTTATCATATGCACAAAACGTGACATTGTTTAGTGCTTGCAAAAATAATGTAGAATTTTCTACATCATTGATAATCAGTAGTCCTACTTAGTTCTATTAAACAGGTAATCTGTAAGGTTTTTTTCTGATACTGTGATAGAGTGAAAATAAACCTCCAAACACTTATCACTAGTGTAAACGGGGTAATGTTTGTGGCAGTGTATTTTAGCTTGTGAACAGAAAGATTCCACTGCATTAATGTAAGATCTAGTTAGAGACAAAAGACAGCAATAATCATAAGTCCGCTTATTGACAAATACCCTCATGAAATAACATGTGTAATGTGTAAAATACCTCAATACTAAAGTCCCGTTCAAAGTCGAAGTCCTTCATGAAAAAGTTTTCAGTCAGTTTGGTCAAATTTTTTGTAGAATTGTAGTTCCTGTAACCAGTATAAATAGTGAAATATTTTAAAAACCTTTTATCACCGTTACTTATAACATGAGGTATTTGTGTACTCAAAACTGATTTTTTTTTTCTTGGAACAATTATTTCAAAACAAATCTAGGTTTACAATTTACAACTTTTTTCGAGATGAAATCAAAAATCAAAAAGAAATGTATAAGACAAACAAGGGTACCGCAATAGCGGAACATAATACGCCTGTCATACATTGAATGAGCAGTTGCCTGTATGGTTGTACATAAAGGGCCATAACTCCATTAATTACGGTTGGACAATGGTGGTTATCGAACCGAGCTATCATGGCAATGAACCTTCTTATGAAGTTTGAAGTCAGTCTATTGAAAGCTACTCAATATATTGAGGGGACACCGCTATTGATGGTTATCAAACTTGTTTGAGCTGTTATCGTAATTAACGTTCTTATGAAGTTTGAATGTAATCTGTAGAAAATTAATGAAGATATCGAGCAGACACAAAGCGCAACCGCCCGCCACTAACATGATAACATTATATGTCCCATCTTTCGACAGGCGTATAAAAACAACATTACGCCACCAGGTCCATTTTCATAAACAAAAACTCTGGCTTAACTAGTCAAACTGTTCTGATGTGATAAACAAATGTGCTCCATTATTGAGTAGTTGTGCCTTACTTGCTCTCCTCAATGAACCGTGTGACAGAGTCTAGGAACGGGAATGCTGTGAGAACTTGACTGATACCAAGAGCACGACACTGGGCCGACAACTTCATTATGGTGACTTGGGCGTGGATCCTGGTGTTAAAGTGGTGTGCCATACACCAGGGCAGTACGGCCGACACTGCAGACATGTAGTACTGAGTCTGCAAGGTCAGGGAGTCATTGTTAATATTTTGTTACAATTCATCTTTAACTATGAGAAATGTTATGTTGTATGTACAGTGCAAAACACCAAAATAGACAAAACTCATAGGCTTGCCAATAAACTATAGGACAATGCTTAAGATTGACCTTGACATTAAGGCTAAAGACATTACAGTTGTATGACCTTGATCTTGGATAGAGGAAATTAGAAGTGTATTAGAGATTGCTGTCCTCAATATGCTTACCAACTATAAAGTAACATAAAAAATATTCAATCCCCTAGATACAAGATACAAGAAACTTAATTTAACGTCGCATATATCAAACAGAGAAACATTAGCGCTGTAGCTCTATTTTTGCGATAAACATGATAAAAGCAAACAGAAAACAACAAATCAAGCTATACACTATCACAGAATTTATTGCAAGAAAATCATTTGAATGATTTAAACTTTGACCCTTGCTTTGACCCCGACCTTAATGATACAAACAAACTGCCTTGTCATGATCTACAAGGCTTTGTCAAAAACGTATTTACCCATTTACTCATCCAATTGCATTCAACTTTTGCTGGCTGTATAAACAACAACATACACATCAACAAACTTGTTTACCTGTCTGTTCCCTCTGAGGTGTGGTCCTAGTAAAGCTACTGTACAAAGTAGACCACATATCACTACTGTGTTTCTCTCGTCCAACTGAAAGTTTAATAGTATATATACATGTATACCTGGTATTCTGGTCTATATATATATATCAACTAGGACATGGGACAACAGAAGAAGCAATGTTTAAGTCATTGGTATGGGTTAAAAAATTACAAGAAATTAATAACTTCTTGAATACCTAACTGATCAGATACTAAAAGATTGGAAAGTAAGCTGGCCTCGAAAATAAGCCTGGAATCCATTACTCCCATAAACCAGATTTTAGGGCATGTCAGTTCATCTTAATATCAAGATAATTTGAGCCATTTCTTATCAACGCTACACATATGATTATTTGCATTGACAAAAGTGAAATATACAAGTCTATGAAGTGGAATGAGATACAAAATGAAAGATACAAGTTTCTGAAGTGGAATGAGAGACAAAATGAAAGATATAAGTATTTGAAGTGTAACCAAAGTATAGTATATAGGTTGTGCAAAACAAACATTTTTTACTTGAATTTAAGCCTTAAGGTACCATAGTGCATCACACATTGTGCCTGTGATTTGTGTTAAAGTAAATGTAAACCGTACACATAACATAAGTGTTGGTAATAAGTTGCCTTACACAATAAATCTATGACTTGTTTTAGACAAAAGGTTATACATGCTATATAGCTACCTCACACATGTATACCTGTGATCTGTGGTAGAGTTATCTTCCTTTGAAAATATTCACATAATACAGAAGGTGATTCAGATTTATACTAGACTAGATTCAGACATTCTGATGTACATGTAACATCCATCGAATGAATCAAATTTTGAATTATGAAAGTTATTTGATAATTTTTACGAGCGAGAGCTCTTTTGTAAAGAGAATTCTGGAGGTCACAGTTAGGTAACATGTAGATACTCACATCTACAAACATATGGATGAGTTTATCCACCAGGAAGTCGAACCTGAGGATGAGACGAAGCATGAGCCATTGGACCAGGTTACGAATGGACGGCTGGTTGGGCTGGCCCATCACCTCTATACACAGCTTCCACATCTTATCAACATTTTCCTGTAATATAACGTCCACATGATATCAAATGTTGTACTGTAACACACACCCATATCAAAACAACATTATCCTGTAATATAACGTCCACCTGATATCAAATGTTGTACTGTAACACACACCCATATTAAAACAACATTATCCTGTAATATAACGTCCACCTGATATCAAATGTTGTACTGTAACACACACCCATATTAAAACAACATTATCCTGTAATATAACGTCCACCTGATATCAAATGTTGTACTGTAACACACACCCATATTAAAACAACATTATCCTGTAATATAACGTCCACCTGATATCAAATGTTGTACTGTAACACACACCCATATTAAAACAACATTATCCTGTAATATAACGTCCACCTGATATCAAATGTTGTACTGTAACACACACCCATATTAAAACAACATTATCCTGTAATATAACGTCCACCTGATATCAAATGTTGTACTGTAACACACACCCATATTAAAACAACATTATCCTGTAATATAACGTCCACCTGATATCAAATGTTGTACTGTAACACACACCCATATTAAAACAACATTATCCTGTAATATAACGTCCACCTGATATCAAATGTTGTACTGTAACACACACCCATATTAAAACAACATTATCCTGTAATATAACGTCCACCTGATATCAAATGTTGTACTGTAACACACACCCATATTAAAACAACATTATCCTGTAATATAACGTCCACCTGATATCAAATGTTGTACTGTAACACACACCCATATTAAAACAACATTATCCTGTAATATAACGTCCACCTGATATCAAATGTTGTACTGTAACACACACCCATATTAAAACAACATTATCCTGTAATATAACGTCCACCTGATATCAAATGTTGTACTGTAACACACACCCATATTAAAACAACATTATCCTGTAATATAACGTCCACCTGATATCAAATGTTGTACTGTAACACACACCCATATTAAAACAACATTATCCTGTAATATAACGTCCACCTGATATCAAATGTTGTACTGTAACACACACCCATATTAAAACAACATTATCCTGTAATATAACGTCCACCTGATATCAAATGTTGTACTGTAACACACACCCATATTAAAACAACATTATCCTGTAATATAACGTCCACCTGATATCAAATGTTGTACTGTAACACACACCCATATTAAAACAACATTATCCTGTAATATAACGTCCACCTGATATCAAATGTTGTACTGTAACACACACCCATATTAAAACAACATTATCCTGTAATATAACGTCCACCTGATATCAAATGTTGTACTGTAACACACACCCATATTAAAACAACATTATCCTGTAATATAACGTCCACCTGATATCAAATGTTGTACTGTAACACACACCCATATTAAAACAACATTATCCTGTAATATAACGTCCACCTGATATCAAATGTTGTACTGTAACACACACCCATATTAAAACAACATTATCCTGTAATATAACGTCCACCTGATATCAAATGTTGTACTGTAACACACACCCATATTAAAACAACATTATCCTGTAATATAACGTCCACCTGATATCAAATGTTGTACTGTAACACACACCCATATTAAAACAACATTATCCTGTAATATAACGTCCACCTGATATCAAATGTTGTACTGTAACACACACCCATATTAAAACAACATTATCCTGTAATATAACGTCCACCTGATATCAAATGTTGTACTGTAACACACACCCATATTAAAACAACATTATCCTGTAATATAACGTCCACCTGATATCAAATGTTGTACTGTAACACACACCCATATTAAAACAACATTATCCTGTAATATAACGTCCACCTGATATCAAATGTTGTACTGTAACACACACCCATATTAAAACAACATTATCCTGTAATATAACGTCCACCTGATATCAAATGTTGTACTGTAACACACACCCATATTAAAACAACATTATCCTGTAATATAACGTCCACCTGATATCAAATGTTGTACTGTAACACACACCCATATTAAAACAACATTATCCTGTAATATAACGTCCACCTGATATCAAATGTTGTACTGTAACACACACCCATATTAAAACAACATTATCCTGTAATATAACGTCCACCTGATATCAAATGTTGTACTGTAACACACACCCATATTAAAACAACATTATCCTGTAATATAACGTCCACCTGATATCAAATGTTGTACTGTAACACACACCCATATTAAAACAACATTATCCTGTAATATAACGTCCACCTGATATCAAATGTTGTACTGTAACACACACCCATATTAAAACAACATTATCCTGTAATATAACGTCCACCTGATATCAAATGTTGTACTGTAACACACACCCATATTAAAACAACATTATCCTGTAATATAACGTCCACCTGATATCAAATGTTGTACTGTAACACACACCCATATTAAAACAACATTATCCTGTAATATAACGTCCACCTGATATCAAATGTTGTACTGTAACACACACCCATATTAAAACAACATTATCCTGTAATATAACGTCCACCTGATATCAAATGTTGTACTGTAACACACACCCATATTAAAACAACATTATCCTGTAATATAACGTCCACCTGATATCAAATGTTGTACTGTAACACACACCCATATTAAAACAACATTATCCTGTAATATAACGTCCACCTGATATCAAATGTTGTACTGTAACACACACCCATATTAAAACAACATTATCCTGTAATATAACGTCCACCTGATATCAAATGTTGTACTGTAACACACACCCATATTAAAACAACATTATCCTGTAATATAACGTCCACCTGATATCAAATGTTGTACTGTAACACACACCCATATTAAAACAACATTATCCTGTAATATAACGTCCACCTGATATCAAATGTTGTACTGTAACACACACCCATATTAAAACAACATTATCCTGTAATATAACGTCCACCTGATATCAAATGTTGTACTGTAACACACACCCATATCAAAACAACATTATCCTGTAATATAACGTCCACATGATATCAAATGTTGTACTGTAACACACACCCATATTAAAACAACATTATCGTGTAATAATACAACATCCACATGTTATACACATTATCCTGTATTGTATTCATCTTGAGAAATTAAGCCCCATCTCTGACTCAACCATCTAGCCAACACTAATTTGATTGTGCCACTATTCATCTATCATAAATCATCTTGTCCCATTCACAAGCTACCGCCTATCCAATTTGATTGTTACACTATCCAGCCCAAACTATCACGTTTTCTCCATCATTCATTCCTCCCAACACCCAGACAATAGTTAAATTAGGGGACAGATATGCCTTTGGTATGGGAAAGTGTGACACCACATTGCAATTTCACAACTCCTATGTGGGGACGTTAAGCTGTAATACCCCACCTTTTTGGGGTGAGGGAGGGGTTGGGACACCAAACTGAAATGTCACAACTTGCTCAACGGAGTGAGACAACACTTGACAAATTGACTCTGACTATTTACTTATTCTTTTTACCTGCACAATGAAGGGTTCCAGAAGTACAAAGAATTGGAAAGCCCTGTTTTTCTGACGATGAGCCATGGAATTCGGGAAGGTAGTTCCTTTGTGAGCTGATGTTATTACCCGATACCTGTCAATCAGAGTGTCAATCAGCCCCTGGACCAATGTGGTGTGGGCGGGGTTATCTGTCTGGAGGCGGAGCAACAAGGCAATAACATATGCCCTCACTGATGTATCAGTTGGAATGCTACAAAGAAAATATTACAGTGTGAAATTTACATTTACAGAGAATACAGGACACTACAGGACCATAAAAGAAAAGGTTCATCTGCAGATATATAACAAGAGGCCCAGAGGGCCTGTATCGCTCACCTGGATAACAAAGCAACCATGGAAAATTATTAACTATTTCCAAATATTGGTGCTGTCTCTCAGCAACACTCGTCCCTCATAAGATCCCATATTTCTGGATTAAACTCAATTTCCCCTATTGGGCCTGACCCTCTGCTCCCTAAAAGCAACCATCTATTTATACAAACTTTAGTCCAGTTTGCCCAAGGATGCTCTACACAAAATTAGGTTAAAATTCCTCCAAATAAACTGAAGGAAAAGGATTTTAAACATTTATTATGTTCACCCTACTGAACCCTTCCCCTTTGCTCCCAGGGGGACTACACTCTGTTTAAACAAAAGTTTGAAATGATGCTTTGGACCTTTGGTAACATACTGAAGGTGAAGGATTTTGAAGATCTAAACCTCAAATTCTCCATCTTGCTGCACCCAGAGGAGCCACACCCTCCATTTATACAATTTAATCCCCTTCGCCAAAGGATGCTCCAAACCAAATTGGGTTAAAATAACTCCAATGGTAAAGGAGAAGAATGATTTGAAAGATTTAAACTTCAAATTCACCTTTTGAGCTTCACCTCTCACCCAAAAGGGGCCAATTAACCATCCGTTTGAACAAGATTTAGTCCCCTTTGCCCAAGGATGCTCCAGGTCAAATTTGGATAAAATCCCTCCAATGGTTCAGAAGAAGAAGGATTTTAAGGTTTAAACTTCAAATTCTCCTATTGGGTCCCATCCATCAGCACCCAGAGGGGCCACACCCTCTGTTTAAACAAAATTGAGTCCCCTTTGCCCAAGGATGCTCCAGGCCAAATTTGGTCAAAATCAATGAAGCTGTTCATTGTAAAGGAAACGTTGACGGCCGGACACCGTATTCCGCGGTATGGCTCCTTGGACCAGGTGAGCTAATAAAACTGTTGCTGTGTGGCATTGTTCATGTGGGCAATGTTAGTGTAGTATATATTTTATACAGTGTCAATATATTCAACACAATATATATTTATTACAACACAAAACCAGCTAAACATTTTCACAGCACATGCAAATGTCCATTTTTACAGTATTTCTTGTAGCTACACTGGCGAACTTAATGTCCTTTTGACCTGAAAATTTCCAACCTGAAATTGATCTAAATTTCAGGCCGAATTAAGATTAAATTCAGGTCAATTTCACAAATGTTCATAACCATAAGACAATTTGCCTGTGGACAGGCGAAGAACGAAAATAATTTAATACACATGTATCATAAAGCTTGGAGTAATCAGTTATCCTTAAATTTAAAGATCTATAAGAACACTGAAGTTCAAAAGCATTCATGATACCTAATATTTTATTTTTTATTTTTTGCAAATACCTTTCCATGACTTCATTCACTGAACAGGTGTTTCCAAGAGCCTGGATGTATGCATTCAACTCCATCGTCTGTCTGAAACAGATCCAACAAGCACATACTACAATGTTGTACAATTTAAGAGCCGTTCACAATTTTTTAATAAACTGGAAATGAACAGGTGTTATTTCTTGAAATAAGGGACCCTTGTGAGATGTTAAAAATAACTGGTGCTTTTCAAAATATTAAGGATGCTCAGTTTGCAAAAATTAAGATGCAATTGTTTCAAGTTTTTTTTTGATAGGCTGGAAATATTCTGCTGGTGTCTTCCTCAAATTCCCAAAACGTACTATGACAAGACACAAAAACGGTTTAAATTTTTCGGTCTCATTTTGTAAATGAACACGACACTCGCGTAAATCTATCAAAAAATCACTTTTCCTTGTACATGAGAAGTATATGGCAAGTTTGGTGAATGTATGCAGTTTACAAAGTATGATTAAGTATCTATAGGTGATCTAGTTTTATTAATACTTAGTATTTTAACCTAATTCTCCTGTTAGTAACCTACTTCTCTTGCCGTTTGTGTATGGTGCCATACAGACAACAGGATACCATGATGGAGTAGAACTTGGTCATGTGAGGGAGCAGTTTGGCGTCGGCCCACACATGGCAGAGATTAGAGGCTAGCAGATGGAACAGCCCGTTCTTCCCCTCTCCCAGCTCCAAAAGCAGATCAGCATTCTGCAAACAAGATATTGACTTTTCTATTTTTGTTAGTACTGCTGGCATATTGAATGCTTAATGATTAAATATCTTCTCTCAAAGAACAACGGCCTGGACTAGTTTATCAGTTTATCCCAATGACCAGTTAGCACAATCTGGTAAAAGGTTTGTCTATAGTTTGGAGGTTCATGGTTCAAATCCTTATATTTGACACCTAACATACCCACTGAAGATGACATAAGGTCTTGTGTGTCCTCAGAGTTAAAAGCTATATGTTGAAGGACAGAAGATAAACAGAACTGGAAGTCAGTCTAGAATTGTAAGGTCTCGAGTTCAAATCCTGGTCTGGAAGTCATGAATTTTCTTTCCCGATATATAATTCATCCCTAGATAGATAATTAAAAAATCATATTCAAATTAAATCATCACATAACAAAATTATATTTTATCATATTTCAACATGTATCTCATTTATAAATTTTAATCAGCAAATTGAAATTGTCACCTATAATTCTTTTCAAAAAAATATTATCGAGTATTAAATAACAAAATTTATTTTATTTAAATTCAATTGCAGAGCAAAAATATGTTACTACTGTAGTATAGTGGGAGCATGTTAATGTTGAAACTCTTTGGAAAAGTAAATTTTCCTGATTATACGAACAGGGTTTGTCACTAAACAGCTTACCATTTCTTGAATGTAAGTTTTCTAAATTATCCCATCAACTTTACTGAAGTTCTACTAGACTCATTAGGGTTATACCTGTGCAAGTTTCTGGACGATAGGCGAGTCCTCTGGGAGTGACAGCAGGGCTGGTTGGAAGGCCATGGTGATGAACTCAGACATGACAGTGAGGTAACCAGTGCCCCTGGTGTTCTCCTGGGTCACTACCCAGGCCAGTTCTAGGGTCTCGATCACCTTAGCAACTGAACCCTCATTTGTTACCTAAGGAAAAGACGGACAACAGTGAGACACTTTCAATTCAATATTACAAATAATAATCATGGTGTAATTATCACACCATGATCAGAAAATACTGGAAAAGATTTGTATTTTTTTTTTTTATGGACATGAATTAGCTAAACATAAAGCCGTTCTAAAGAAATGGAACGGAACTTAAAGTCTAACCAAGAGCGAAAGCATGATACACCTGTCAGACCCTCGGAAGGGTATTGATATATTGGAAGCAGGTAGTGACATACGATATAAATGTGTTTCACCGTGTTCACCGTTTGTTGGTGACTGTGACTTTGCCATTCATTTACTATGTTTACGGTCAGGTGCAAGCTATCCTGTGTTTATGGTACAAGCTATCCTGTGTTTATGGTACAAATTATCCTGTGTTTATGGTACAAGCTATCCTGTGTTTCAGGATTACACTTTTGTGGTCAATGTGGTCGATGTTGCTTTTACTAAAACTAGAACCTTGGCTTTGAGGTAGGAGTCTTGAACAAACAATTAAAAATTCATGCATTTTCGACGGAATGTCCTTATTTGGCAATAAAAAAGGCTCATAACTCTGCCAAATAGTGTTTAAATGTCCCGATTTAAGAACTCAGTTAATGCATTCAGGTAATCACCGACTTCAAGCATTAAGAGCAATGGAGCTAAAATCAGTGTATAATTAGTATGTCATACAGATAGACCGACATATGGTGGGTCCGATGGAAAAGGCAAATAATTACTGTTCCTATCCACCTATGTTACAGGCGTATAAAACAAAGTGGTTGTTTCATAAAAACAGGGAAACATCGGTCATTTTACAATTGATGTTTAGCTAGGAAACTTTGCGACTTTTACCTTGCTGTCTCAGCAGCATGTGCTTCCTCATTGTGTCACTTGTTAGGTAAAAACTAACAAAAATTATAATGAAATACCAATCATCACTAAATATGAAATTACATGGAAAATTAATTTTCAAAAACCAAACAGAGTGAAAATAAGTTTGACTTTTGACCTTTGAGAACAAGTGTATAACCTCTTCAGCCTTCGTTCAATTCAAACCCCTCCCTTATGTATTTGTAAGAAATTATAATGAGTGTGACAAACTTGTTGAATGCTAGCTGTGAGCGCTGAAATGGCAGCACCGGCTGTATGCTCCCCAGGGAGTTGAGAAAGATATTGGCTGGTTGCAAAGGCCCTATAGCCAAGGATAATAATTTGTGAACCGCTTTGAGACGACCTAGGAACTAGGTTTACTCCAACATTGTTAGAGGTTTATACGGCGAGATACTTTTGACAGGCGTCATCGCAGTTAGCAAAATCATATCTGATAGAAAAAAGTCTGACCAGCGGCCTCTTCTGTTATAGGAGTAGACCTGGGTGGTGATAAAGCAGTTTAATTATAAGAACCTCGAATAATTATTATTTTTATTAACTTCACCAGGGACAGTATACGTCCCTGACTTGACATTGACTGGCCAGAAGCAGGAGTGACTTGATGCTGACTCACCAGAGGCAGGAGTGACTTGATGCATTTTAACACCACCAAGACTGTGTCTGCCTTGGTGAGGGACAGACACTCGAGACACAGGTCCAGGAGAATGGTGGCTGGGCGATGTAGAGGTCGTCCGAGGGTCAGGTACAGCAGCTGCAGCGTCCACTGGGACGATAGGAACTTGGATGAGAACCGGCCCCACTCCTCACGACTAAACATAGGTCAACATTAAATATGTCACTTCTTATATCATAGGTTTGAAAAATTGTACAACATGTAACTTCTGCCAAGTATTATTCCCTTTCAAGATTTTTGTGGTTTGAGTGGAATCATGAATGTTACCAGTAATAACACTAAAATTGACTTAAAATGTACCAGCATGCTCAGAAAGTTTGAATCAATCAAATATTTGTACTGTGAATCTGCTAAAGGAAGTCTTAAAACTGAAAATGTCTACAGTGTTTAAAAATAGGTTGTTTTCTTAATAGATACTGAGCAAGGGAACTGAAACTCCATTTTCTCTCTCCCTTTTTTAGAATGGTGTCCTTGGTGAATGACATTCTTCCTAGAGCAGCGATGGATTTGCTACTACTTGTACCTCAAATTAAGTTTACAAATCCTTTCATACTTTCATAGCCCTGTGAAATTAATTTCCTACTTGCGCACATCAAGTAATAGATAATTTCATAACCAGTATGATTCAAGAATTGAAAGTAATTGTTTCTTATCATGACCAATCAAAATGGCCTCTGATGATTTGAATAAACCTTTTTATTTTGTTGAAATTTTATGGTCCTAAAGCAGTTTATTTCACTGTAGTTTATAGACTACAGGTTTTTCATTCTCGTTACTCCAGGGGTTATACTCATTTTTGCTCTCTACACCCCTGAAATATGTCATCGCAAAATTGAAGGCACATGCTAGCTATTTGATTGGTCTCGGGTAAAAATAACCTGACCAATCTCCAGGCTGATACCTGTCCTTTGAAAATTACAGAGGAGCGACACTCAACTTCAATTTTACCATTAAGCGAAAGCGAGCTTCTTAATCTTTTGATGTACATCAAAGGATCAAACTAGTCTTCTTGTCTCATCCACAAGGTGGTGCTCACTCATGAGCCTTCGATTTTGCTACTAAGTATGACATATTCCAGGGGTGCAAAGAGCGAAAGTGAGTGTAACCCCTGGAGTATCGAGGATGCAGGTTTGCAGGTTTTCATGGTCCCTACAACTCCCTCTGATACAAGATCATACAGAACTGTAGTTCTCTATGAAATAATTTCCTTACAACTCCATGTGAAACAACTTCTAATGAACTGTTGTTTTCTCTGAAACAAGGTGTTACTGACCTCTCCACTGTCGATGGTCTTGTGAGTGATACTGTGATGTCTACCTCCTGTGTAAACCGGAGAATATCCTCAACCAGGGCCTGCTGTTGTGGCGTCAGGCCCTTCCAGGGCACAGTGTGTACAGTGGCCACAGCACCGAGGACTGCTCCAGCCCCTACCAGCTGGATCTGTCCTTCCATACTCACCTGGGGAACAAATAGGTAGGAACCATACAGTAGAAAGTTTATCACAAATCGTTTAAGTAATTGGCCAAGTTCTTGAGAGGAACCAGTAGAGAGGATAGAATGGTGTGCATATCACAGCATATTAGATGTTTTTTCTGTTAATGTTGAATATTTCCCTTTAAATAATGAGAATTTTTAAAATTCTTATTCAATACTTAAATCATCTTATCACTATAGCTATGACACAAAAAATATTCAATCATGTTGTTTTGTTTGGAAAGTTATGTAATTGTTTAATTTGCAGTGTTATAAAGTGCCAGGCATGTTATTTAGGGGCCACAAAATGACCTGTTTGAGTATAACTATGCCATGGTTTACAGAGGGTACAGATATAACAAACATTTGTATTAAATTTGAAATGGGCCATAAATGTAACCATGTATCTCACCTGAGGCAATGCAGACACCTGTCTGAGGGTTTGTAAACAGCATGTGACAAGGCGGTGGATACAGCTCACTGAACTGTTGTCATGGAAACACCTCGTCACCATAGCAACTGCTTTTTCACAGAGTTCTATGCTTGGGAGATCATTAGTCTGAAATTAAATATTACATATCAGTTTTATGGAGAAAGGTAAAACATACATGTTGTTCTCGGAGGATCTGGGTTTGAATCTCAGTTTGCATTTTCCTCATCATTATATACCATCAGATGAGATTAGTTTGATTGAACTGAAAAGCATCTTCCATCATGTTACATATCACATAATTTTAACTGTTGTTAGGACACAACAACCAAACCAACAAACTTTCATCTTGAAATCTTTATACATTTCAAAGGTTTCAACACAGACCTCCTGAAAGTTACCAAATTACTTTGCATAGTGCTGATCAATCTTGGAATTCAACTATTTCTTATTATGAAACATCTCTTACTTAGATAGCTGAATGACTGAATGACATTATAGGACAGTATAATTAATAGAGTATGGGATCATATGGTGATTCTCATCACAGCTGTGACTTCAGATTTTACACTCGAGGTAGAATTTTCATATCCTCCATAACCTGGATTTTGGTAAAGTTGACAAAAACATTGTGAAAGTTGAATAATTGAAGTACATATTCCAGACAAAATACAAATTAATCTAGAACATATTTGGAAATATTAGATAATCAACTTTTCACTGTCCTTTTTTAACTTCTGAAATCAACAGAATTACCTTTATCTTGCTCAAATTGAACTATTTCATTGCATAAAACAATGTCAAAGGTATTTCACTCTGTTATTTTGTAAAAAGGGTCATTGTAAGAATTTTTGAATTTTATTTTCAAAGATATTGTTATGTGATTTCTCAGAGGTGGGAGAACAATAATCTATTATACGTAATACTAGGAGATACACTTGGGGCCAATCACGTGTAGAGATGGCAGAATTATCCTCACCTCTCTCCAGCCCCCTGTCATCCTCTGCTCTATAAATAACAGTAGCTCTGCCCGGCAACTCGCCAGCCCCTCCCGGACAATGCTGTACAACGCATCATTGTCAGCTGTAATGATCAAATGTGAGCAAAATCACTTTATTATATTTAAACCATGCCACTAGATTTAAAGTTACAGGTAATATAAACATAATAAATATGCTCAAGTATTTTTGCATTACAAAACGAAATGCAACTAAAACACATTTAAGTTAATTGTTCTTTAAACATCACAGTCCTAAATGAGGCTCCCAATGCATACTACTGACCCTCCCTGGACAGATGGATATTCTATTTATTCAACAAGCCTATACGATAAATACACTCCTTTTACCTAAATGCTGAATTTTCATAAGTTAATTTTAATTTTTAATGAGATTGACATACTTCAACATGGTACACATATATAAGTTATTGAGTATTGAACTGCTTTCAGTTGGCATTCATAGGTAATATGAATGCCAACTGAACAAAGGGGAATTCATTGTAAAGCATGTGCACATACATAAATGCCTACTGGAAAGCAGTTCATTACTTACAACTGAACAACCTAGTCATAAAGACCACCAGGTAATAACACGAAGCTTCAGAATTTCTCCATAAGTGTTTCTAGGGATTTGCTATAAAAACCTCCCATCTGTTTGCCCTCTGGTCTAGAAGGCTACCTGTCTATACAAACTTCCCATCTGTTTGCCCTCTGGTCTAGAAGGCTACCTATCTATAAAAACCTCCCATCTGTTTGCCCTCTGGCCTAGAAGGCTACCTGTCTATAAAAACCTCCCAACTGTTTGCCCTCTGGTCAAGAGGGCAACCTGTCTATTAAAACCTCCCATCTGTTTGCCCTCTGGTCTAGAAGGCTACCTGTCTATAAAAACCTCCCATCTGTTTTCCCTCTGGTCTAGAAGGTTACCTGTCTATAAAAACCTCCCATCTGTTTTCCCTCTGGTCTAGAAGGTTACCTGTCTATAAAAACCTCCCATCTGTTTGCCCTCTGGTTTAGACGGCAACCTGTCTATAAAAACCTCCCAATTGTTTGCTCTCTGGTCTAGAAGGGAAACTGTCTATAAAAACCTCCCATCTGTTTGCCCTCTGGTCAAGAGGGCAGCCTGTCTATCAAAACCTCCCATCTGTTTTCCCTCTGGTCTAGAAGGCAACCTGTCTATTGAAACCTCCCATCTGTTTTCCCTCTGGTCTAGAATGCTACCTGTCTATTGAAACCTCCCATCTGTTTGCCCTCTGCTCTAGAAGGCTACCTGTCTATAAAAACCTCCAATCTGTTTGCCCTCTGCTCTAGAAGGCTACCTGTCTATAAAATCCACTCATCTGTTTGCCCTCTGGTCTAGTAGGTTACCTGTCTATAGAAACCTCCAATCTGTTTGCCCTCTGGTCTAGAAGGCTACCTGTCTATTGAAACCTCCCATCTGTTTTCCCTCTGGCCTAGAAGGCTACCTGTCCATAAAAACCTCCAATCTGTTTGCCCTCTGGTCTTGAAGGCTACCTGTCTATAAAAACCTCCCATATGTTTGCCCACTGGTCTAGAAGGCTCCCTGTCTATAAAAACCTCCCATATGTTTGCCCACTGGTCTAGAAGGCTACCTGTCTATAAAAACCTCCCATATGTTTGCCCACTGGTCTAGAAGGCTACCTGTCTATAAAACCTCCCATCTGTTTGCCCTCTGGTCTAGAAGGCTACCTGTCTATAAAAACCTCCCATATGTTTGCCCACTGGTCTAGAAGGCTACCTGTCTATAAAAACCTCCCATCTGTTTGCCCACTGGTCTAGAAGGCTACCTGATTATAAAAAAACTCCCATATGTTTGCCCACTGGTCTAGAAGGCAACCTGTCTATAAAACCTCCCATCTGTTTTCCCTCTGGTCTAGAATGCTACCTGTCTATTGAAACCTCCCATCTGTTTTCCCTCTGGTCTAGAAGGCTACCTGTCTATAAAAACCTCCCATCTGTTTGCCCTCTGGTCTAGAAGGCTACCTGTCTATAAAAACCTCCAATCTGTTTGCCCTCTGGTCTAGAAGGCAACCTGTCTATAAAAACCTCCCATCTGTTTGCCCACTGGTCTAGAAGGCTACCTGTCTATAAAAACCTCCCATCTGTTTGCCCTCTGGTCTAGAAGGTTACCTGTCTATAAAAACCACCCATCTGTTTGCCCTCTAGTCTAGAAGGCTACCTGTCTATAAAAACCTCCAATCTGTTTGCCCTCTGGTCTAGAAGGCTACATGTCTTTAAAATCCTCCCATCTGTTTGCCCACTGGTCTAGAAGGCAACCTGTCTATAAAAACCACCTATCTGTTTGCCCTCTGGTCTAGAAGGCAACCTGTCTATAAAATCCACTCATCTGTTTGCCCTCTGGTCTAGAAGGCAACCTGTCTATATAAACCTCCCATCTGTTTGCCCTCTAGTCTAGAAGGCTACCTGTCTATAAAAAACACCCATCTGTTTGCCCTCTGGTCTAGAAGGCTACCTGTCTATGAAGACCTCCCTTAAATGCCCACCTTTGCATTCCCTACTCTGGGTTTTTTATAGGCCGGTTTGGCTTTAACTTACCTGTAAGTGTACCAAGTTCTGACACAAAACACAGCAACAGTTCTATGGCCCTTTCTGCTTTGTGTGCAGGCAGGTAGGGTCGACTGTTCACTGTGTTCGCTATCTCTGTCAACTCTCCCAGAATCCCTGATAAAGATGGCTGTGGTTTGTTGATATCGGCTACCAACGGCAACAATTTCGCATCCACAGCCAAAAATGTGAAGCGTACAATCTGTACAGCCTCCAGCTCTGCCCAAAGGAACTTTGAACCTGCAGGAGGGAAACAACAATGGATGAATATTATTTTATTCAAAAGAAATATCAACGGGATCTTTCTACCTGTATTGCTTTACTTTTTTTAATTGACATACAAACATGTAACACTAAATTTGAGGCAGACTCTCAATACTTTCACCTAAGGGGTATCCCAAAATAAACAATATCTTTACAATTTTTTTAAGACCTGGTTCAGATGACTGACACAAGTTGCCATGGATGTTGAAGTCAGACCATATACATACTGGTCCACCAGTGTCCAATTACTGAAAAGTGATGAAGACTTCACACACTTCTGGATGGTTTTCTAGAGCGGAGTGTACCTATTATAACAGAGAGTTCCATGACACATTCATACTCCCCTCAAACTTCGTAAATACTGAATATTTTAATGCTGCAAAATTAGCTGTTACCAAGGTACAACCACATGCACCCTAACTGTAGATCTTAATTCTCACAGACCTGCTATCAACACCAGAGATAGGGAGTATCTTTATCTTTATCGTACCTTCTGTTACTTGAACAAAGGATGTAGTCTCTTGATGTAGGTAATTCTGGATGTCAGAATGTGTCCAATTCTCTGTATCAGCTCCACAAAATTTCTCGATTTGATTGACAACTTTTTTCCACAGGGTTGTTCCCCTTTGTAGACTCTCGCTCATGGAAAACACTGCTAACACGGCAGCCAACTCCTTAGGCAGTACACTTCTCTGAAATGCAAATAAACCTGTTTACCATAATAATAACAAGGTATTTATTTTGCAGAATTTGTTTCTATTTATAGTAACAGTGATTTTTTTACCGTAAAATCAATTCACGTCCAGACAGGAAGCCCTGTGTAATGGTTGAGTTTGGTTTTCCCATGAAAGTCCAGTTATTGTGCAGAAAATGATTTTCTTTTTAAAACAGCTACCTTGACCTTTAACCTTTGTACGTGAAAAGCAATCCAAAGCAAGCTTTTCCAGTTAGGAAGCCCTCAGCATGTTTCAATACCAAGAACACTTGTATAAACCCATGAAAAAGTTTATAATATACGATTTCTGTTATTTATTTGTTGAATTAAGTGTCGTAATCTTTAGATTTGGCAATATTTTTAAATGCTGATCAGGACTCAAATAACATCAAACTTTATCTGGGTAAATATCAAAGGACATCATATCCTTGTCCTGCTTAAATCACTATGATTTAAAATAAATCCTTGACTGTATAAATCACTATGATTTAAAATATCCTTGTCCTGCGTAAATCACTATGATTTATAATATATGCTTGTCCTGCAAAAATGATTATGGTTTAAAATATATCCTTGTCCTGCATAAAACACTATGGTTTAAAATATATCCTTGTCCTGGGTAAATCACTATGATTTATGATATATCCTTGTCCTGCGTAAATCACTATGATTTATAATATATGCTTGTCCTGCATAAATCACTATGATTTATAATATATCCTTGTCGTGCATAAATGACTATGATCTATAATATATCCTTGTCCTGCATAAATCACTATGATTTAAAATATTTATCATTAACTTACTGTGTCGACTAGGTTGACCAAAGCCTCGGCAAAATAACACTGGGCAGCACCCCGGATATAGCTGTGTATTGTGTTGAGGGTAGCGCTCATGGTCTTCCTGGAAACAAAATGTTGATGCAAGCTCACCACTGATCACATGTTAATTCTCACCTCATAGTGACTCGACGTACTCATAGAAAACTCATGCTACAGAAAACAATATATGGCAACTACCATTGGCGCAATCGGGAGTTTAGCACAATATTCTAAGCGGGTTCTAGCCCCAGCTACAGCACTATCTTTATCACTAATACTAGCTATTCCTCGCCCTACTTCAAACTGGTGTTGTTGACCCTCCCCATTCAAGGTAGGAGAACCCTTGGCGGGAGTCAAAGAACCTGGGTTGGTGTTTGAAGAAAAGGGGGAATAGTGTAAAAAATGTGCAATGATTAGGTTGCCTTACAAGCGTCAGCTGTGGGGAATTTCCTTTTTGCTCAGCGGTAGAGCATCGGGCTGGAAAGCCAAGGGTCGTGGGTTCCAGCCCCAGCGACAGCCCTATCTTTATCACTATTCCTTGTCCTACTACTGTAAAACAGTAGTTCCTATCTGCCTTTTACTATAGTTGACTGTACCTAATCACCATGAGTAATTAATATTCTAACATCAGACTTTTCCCCCCCGAGTCACTAACTTATGTTGCGATGCTATTAATTATATGTTATTCCTCTTTGAGTAGGAAGAATTTGTGTTGTTACTTTTTCATTTTCTTTAATATTGTCATCAGATAAATAGGAGACACATTTTGAAACTAAACAGCCACATATATTTTAATTGAGGAATGGACACAAGCCATCAAACCTATCAAGATGTTACCTTGACATGTACCGTACCTCAAACTGAGGATGATATCCTTGTCTAGTAGGGGTGAAGAAGGGACATAGGATAGCCCTTTACACAGGAACAGGAAGGGCAGTGGGCCCCACGAGATCCCACTCATGGTGTGCAGGACATCTCGGAAGAACGACACTGAAATAAAAAAGAACAATAAAATTGTAACAGGAGCAGAAAAATGCAACGGCCAGACCGGGGTTCGAACCAGGACCCTCCAAACTCTAGACGGACATTCTACCAATTGAGCTACCTGGTCGCCGATGATCGACCCAGTCTTGTTCCGCAAGTAAGTATAAATCATTCAGGCCCCAATTTCTAAGACAGAAAGAAGGGGTAATTAGAATTTATGTCAGGGCTGTCAAAAGTGTTATTACATACATCTACTTTTAAAAAGTGTATGTCAGATTAGTTTTCATCTTTTTTTTTTCTTTTTCTAAATTTACCTGCAGGCTAGTATTACAAATATTGAATTGTATAAAGCAGCTGGTGACCTCTGACCTAAGGTCTCAAGTAACTAAATACATTACTGTTCTATGTAGCTGGTGACCGTGGACCTAAGGTCTCAAGTAACTAAATACATTTTTATTCTATGTAGCTGGTGACCTCTGACCTAATGCCTCAAGTAACTAAATACATTTCTAGTCTATGTAGCTGGTGACCTCTGACCTAAAGCCTTAAGTAACTTAATACATTTCTGTTCTATGTAGCTGGTGACCTCTGACTTAAGGTCTCAAGTAACTTAATACATTTCCATTTTAGATTAACTGAACCTGAGTTACATTAACACCTGTTTATCACGATAAAAGCATTGGTCCTGTGGTGTAGACAAGTCTATGAGTACAGTAAGAACCATCCATTTATTAGAAACCATCATATATCGTTGTATTTGTCACCTTATTACATATTCAAGGCCTCCTTTTTGTTACTGCCTAACAACTTATGGGTCCTGGTTTTATCATCAAATCATTTATGTAATGCTGAAGATTAAATAGACAAAATTGTGGCAATATATCAGGGTTTTACTGTTTAAATACAGATGTATAGCTCGATTATGTCCTAGGCTTGAATACATTGAGATATTCTGAAGTAAAATACAATTTGAAGGTCAAATTACCCCGCTTCTCTTCTGTTTTCAGTGCTCTCCAACAGTTTGCAAAGAAGTCCGTCAATCCCCGACCGACATTGGAAGCTGTACCTTGGAGGGCATTTGTAGGTCTGAAGAAGACATTGTTTATTACTGTTACAAATATGCCGATTCCTTATCAAAATTATTCACAGACAAATTAAACTACAAAGTTCCCGTCCTTAACCATTTCACCACTGTAGACCATAATGGACTCATCCAAATAAATGTATGTTCGAGTCTACTAAAGTTACCTAGGGGTGAAAGGGTTAATATTAGTAAAGACTAGAGCATGTCTGTATGACACAAATGCCCCCGATGTCATTGCTTGACAATTTTATAAATAGTAACTGTGACCTTGGCCTCACTTTGGAACCCTGAACTTTTTAACATTTACAAGAAGTCTGATTAAACCTGTCATGAAATGAAGTTACTGGAGTGATGTTACTAAATTGGTGGACAAATTTCTATAAATAGTAATGATGACCTTTGAACCGTGAAATGAAAACTCATTTGAAGTATTCCTGTATTTGACATTTGTATGAAGACTGATCAAAATCTGTTAAGATATGTCATGATTCGAGTGATGATATCGATAAAGATGGGAAATCTTAAGGGACAGGACTGGGCGGGACAGGATATTCGTGGGTAATACTTGATGTCCTCTCCTCCTTCCCGCCCCCCCAAAAAAATAAAATATAATTCATACTAACCAGGTAATTGTCAAATCTGTGCCATTGCTTTTAATCACTTAACACCTTTTAAGTTCTTTCAAGGGGAAATTGAAAACAAATGTTGAAGAAAATAGTACATTAGTTAGATGGATGCAAAACGGATTCCACCCAAAATCAAAATATAAATGACTTACTTGCTGAAATGTTTACTGTCCTGAATGGCTAGAAGAAATTCTCCACAAATATACTGCAATAGAAAATAATTGAATGTCATTTACATAAATAATACCAAGAAACTTACCTTAGAAACTTATCAAGGAAATATCAATAGTATACAATTCCAAGTGGAACAAAATACTAACAAAAGTGATACAAACGATGAACATATTGTTTTTGCGATAAATGATAAATCCGACAGGTCGTCCCACTCGTCAATCAGCAACAGTAGCAGCAGGGAAGAAGATACTGTTTGCAAGAATTTGAACTCCAACGATGAAATATTAATTAAAATGAGAATTTGTAGTTTAATACAAAGTTCAATACTTTAATGTTAAGAATCTGATACCTTTTCTTCTCCCTGGTAAAGGAGGGGACATAACTCCAGGTCTAAAAACAATACTGTTTCTGCTGCCCACCTCATTATGGTAACACTCTCGTGCTTCAAGGCTCGTCTGATCAAGGCCGTCAACCAGGAGGTATGCAAAGGTATGTCTACAAGATTAGGCCAAGCAATGAATATGTTGTGTTGTGAATTGTTTTTACTAATTTTAAAACTTGATTGGTTTTTCTGTATTCTAGCAATGTTTAATGCATTGGTCTACTGAGGAGGTCTCAATCAGATTCTGTATTCTGTGAAAGTTTAGAGCTTATTACCTTGGTCCACTGATGAGGCCTTGATCAGATTCTGCATTCTAGGAAGTAAAGGGCTGACGACATGGACCTACAATAGTAATACAATATACGGTCTTATAGCATTTTATATCATGTCGCCACTTATACAAGGATGTAAACACCTCGCTTCTACCGTACAGAAATCAAAACAGTCAATATATATTTAATTCCGCTCCTGTGTAGAAGTTATTTCTTTTGGTGTACATAATAGGACAACCATGCTGAATGACAATATTAATTGTACTGTCTGCACATATAATACTTACTTTCACCCTAGGTTTGACAACTACAAATGATGTTCATTTCATTTCAATCTTACAATATACCTTCATGATTTAACAATATGGGAATGTATGGTGATTACGTTTTTTGAATACAGTGTGTTTATATACCTGTTTCTCCTCCAAGGTTTCCACAAGCATGATAACATCTTCCCATAATTTACTCAGACCTGCCTCACCCAGTTTGGTCCAGCAGAACTTTGGCGGGTGCTCTGTTGTGTCCTGTAGTTTCACGTCCACCCCTCCTTGCTGACACAAGTCTACTGTCCTCTTCAATAAGTACATGCATTGTTTCCTGACTAGCGTGTTCTCACTACCAAACCCTGCCTGTATGATACTCCAGTATGACGTGAATTTCCGTAGGTCCACCTCGGCCACCATGTTGCCTTCTGCAGGCAAGAAGTAGTTCGCTAAGGAACAAAGTAACATGCTAGGCTTGCAGCTAAGATTGTCTTCTTTCCAAATAGATATGATAGTGTTCCAGCAAGCTGCCAATCGTCCTGTTGGCTTACCATTATCAAACTTCAGCAATAAGAGAAGACTCTGGCTTGACATGTGTATGATCGTTTGCTGGTCAAATAATTGTAAAATGTTCAACAAATGTTTAAACACTTCCTCAAGATGTTTATCTAATGGCACCTCAAATTTGGTTAACCTTTGCTGAAACTCTTCTTCAATGCAAATTCTAATCAAATTTTTCACAACTTCAAGAGCACAAATTACATCAAGGTATTCTGATTGTGATTCAGACTTTCTGTTTGTAGATGTAGTCCTTTCAAGAATGTGATAATTCAATGATTCCGAGCACAGATGGAGAACAGACACAAAGACTTTAGGTGAACCCCTCTGGGCACAGAGGGCCTGTAGTGACCCCACTCTGGACAGCAAGACGAGATTGTGGGACCGACTGTCAAATGATGGGTGAAGTTTACGTAGTATAGGAAGGCAAATTCTATCAGATGTATCATCACAAACTTTCGTCACTACAACATCATTCACAGAAAAGTTGTTGACAATATTTTCCAAAAATCCTAACAAGGGCAAAAGCTCAGGGTTGGTGAAATTATCGTCAGAGATGACTGGTGTAATTTTATAAACAACATCATCTACTAATTTCTCCTTGTTTATGTGTGGACTTCTCAGGAGCTGATAGTTACTGTCAGTCATCATGATCCCCTGTAACAGAAATGAAAAATAAAACAATTCCTCCTTCACATTCTTCATTACTTATTCCTTGCACATTAACTCACAATTTACAAGAATAAGAATATCTTTGTCATATTTTACAAGCAAGAACGTATCATATGATGTAATATCTCAATCCCAACAGAGTGACAATGAAAAGGATATCTAGAACTGAATCTACTGGACAGTCTGTTTAGCTACTCAGGGACACACTCAGGAATTTTGAAAGCAGGATTGGGTTGATGGTGGGGTGGGGCTGGCTGGTTGGGAGGCCTTTTTTTATAATGTCTGAATATTCCTCCCACTAGAGGCATTAAAGCACTCTTGGAGGCTCTTGGTGGAATTCACTTTTTTCTTGGAAAAGAATCAAATCCAGGAGCTCTCTATATCTTACATGTCATCTGGAGTAATTTTGGGGTTCAATCTTAATTTGAAAAAAAAAAAAAAGCATATGAAAATTCCTAACGGAAAATGTAAAATTAAATCTTATCCCAAGATAATTAAAAAGGTTAGTGCTGAAATTGTTGACACAATTTTTACATCGGTAGTCTTGTTACCAATTAAAATATTTTTAGCTATATGAGCTTAACCTTTCAAGATATTCTAAACAGCAAAATGAACCTTGATCAAGCAGGTAGTAATTAGATGTTTTTCACAGGCTGATTAGCGAGTGTACTGTGGCTAATCTACAGGTGCTGTGGGCAGACACAGGGACATGTCACATGATATAATCTGTAAATGAACGGAACTGTACTGGGTCGATTGCTAGCATTTACCCGAGGTACAGCTCGATAGCTCAATTGGTTAAAACATATTCCATCTAGAGTTTAATATAAAAGGGTCCTGTCCTGTTACATTTGGCACCCAACGAAATATAGCCATTGTTGGTGGTATAGGGAAGCCTTTGTTTGACTGGGAGGGGGCGTAGCAGAATTGACTGGACAAGCTGGGTCATTCGCCTGCAACATGATGCAAGTAATTAAGTCAATTGGTTAAAGCATCCATCTAAGAGTTTGGAGGGCCCGGATTTGAATCTCAGTTTGGCCATGCATTTTTCCATGTGTGTAACATGACAGGAAAAATGCACTGCCAGGCTTAGATTCGAATCTGGGGGCCTGCATTAAATTTAACTGGTATCCTATATATATAGTACACCAACGTGGGAATCCTGACAACCACTCTACATGTTACCTCCAACCTGTTACTTAAACAACGCTAAACCTCAATGTCAACAGATTTTCAAATAAATCATCGATCTATATATACGTAGTTAATACAGTGAATAAGGTATATACATGTACTGTAGACAACAGACAGTAGACACCTGTGTCAGGCTGTGATGATTTCTTTTATATTAATAATATTATGTTATTGGTTTGTCGATTAAGATACAGTCTTACACAATCGTTTCGTTAAGTGATAATTACGTGACCAAAACCTTTTCTATCTTTCCTTAATGTCATAAAATACGCATGCACGAATACATCGTCTGATACTTAGGCCCTACTGTATAGTCACAGCACACGACAACAATATCCACGTGGGTTTTACTATCCTAGATTTATCCGAAACGAAAGCAATTATTTTTTTCTGTTAAAATTATGAAATATTTTTTTTTATACTAAACAATAATAATGTTTAAAAGTGATACACCAAAAATTCTTGTTTTTACTGAAATTCAAAACACAACATATGATTGACCAAATATTGTTCGTATAAAACGATTTTTTCTATTTTGTAATATGTACAAATCACAATTTCACTTCCTATTTCCGGTCTCTTGTCAACTTTAGGTTAAAGCCATGGTAAGTTTATCAAGTGTGTTTTATGGACAATTAAGGAATGTTTGAAAAATGCTGATGTGTTTTGAAAATCGCAGACAGGTCATGTTACAAAATAATAGGTTTCCGGCACAAATACCAGAAAACATAAGGTTTTAGACTGTGACCGGTTGTTAGGGGAGGGGCGTTGAAAAATCTGCTTCACCATCATCATAGTATTGTCATCAGTCACTCCAATGAGTCTTATCTGATTCCGTGGTTACTCTGAATACCAACACTCTTAGGCCCATTGTCATCACAAAATGTCATGTAACGTGTCATAGAATGGTGTAAAATGTTTTATAAATACTTCAGTAGTATTAATATTCCTCAACCAGGTCCAGTATATCTGCCGATTGAGCTATATAGCTGTAATAGGTCTTTTGAGCTATTTTCATGTGATTTTCTTTTGTAAGGAAAACGAAACAAAGTCGCTTTTAAAATAAGATTGTATCATAAGGTTGATAACGAAAGACATCAAATATAAGTATTCTTTAAAAAAAAATAATGATGTAAAAAAATCGGAAATTTTACATTTATGAAAAATGAAAATAAACATTTAACTGTATGCTTTTTGTAGTCAACATTACCATAACCTTATTGTTTTATGTTGCTTTGCTTTCATTTAATGAGAGTTGAAATCTGAGAAAATAAAGCTCAATACAGCTATAATGTATAGGGGAATTTACCTATATAGGTCTTTATAGCTATATACATCTATTATATGTAGCTCAATCGGCAGAATGTACTGGACCTGTCAACCACCAAATCAAATGCTTGGCTCGAGCTCCATTATCAGGTTTTGCACAACGGCTCATATAATAATCCTGCATTTGGGTAACAATTACCCATTTGAGTAACAATTTTATTACTGAGATGGGGAATAAAGTGAAATAAAAACACACAAAGCTCTTTTAAAAACTTGGAGCAAAAAGGGCGTTATTCTTTCAACTAAATCCAATGAATAACGCAACGAAATACATTTGTACACAAAAAGTTATCAATTCTGATGTCTAACTTTTTTGAAAATGACAAACCACATCACTGACTTCGTTCTCCATTGACTTCAGTGTGTAGTCAATGGGATCATCCAGTGTAAATGTGACAGTGAGCATGACTTTTTCTGTGTGCTATGTATAGATACATGTACTCTACAACACACTATAAGTGATGGAGGTGATACAATTTGTCATTTTCTCAAAGATTTAGACAACTGAATTATCATATTTTTGCACACAATTGCATCTCAATGTATCTTTTATTGGATTGTGTTGAAAGATTGACACCCTTTTTTGTTCATAATATTTAAAAGAACTTTACGTGTTTCCATTTCACTTTATTCCCAATTTCAGTACAATGTAATAAAATTGTTACTCAAATGGGTAACAGTTACAGGATCATTACCCATATGAGCCGTTGTGCCCAACCTGATTATCGCAAAAGAGTCGAAGGCCCTTGATGGATTAACAATAGATAATTAAATCTAGTAGAACTCAACCTACATGAGTATTACGAATCACCAAAATGGACTGAATCGGTTGTGGAACCCAAACAGAATAATACATCTACATGTAATCTAGCTGTCAAGTTTGTTGGGAACTGAGGCATGCCTTAAGACTGCTGGTACAAATGTGTGAGAAACATTTTATATAATGGTTGAATGCACATCACATGTACGATCACTTCCCTATATAAAAGCTTTATTGAAAATTGCTTATAAATACATATATTTTTAATATAACTCGCCCTATTTTGGAGGAAGACGCGCAAATTTGGACCTTAAAATTGAGTATTTTCAACAAGTGAATTTGCTGAACTATTCTTAATTTCTAAGATCTGTTGAGAACAGCTCCAAAGATGCCATTTAGAAGTGCTACTTTTCCCCTTAGGTGTATAATTCATAGCACATAATCTCCCACATGAAAAATTTCAAAAAGTTTGCAAGTATGATATAAACAATATTTGGTTTAAATGTTTTAGTTTTACAATATTTTGACTTTTCATCCATCCAATGTCTAAGACTTGTGGAAAACATCAAAAACAAAAACTGATCAATTCTACCAAAAATTGTATATGAAAAACAATAGATATCTTTTAAAGCAAAAATCTGTTCATTGCTTATGCAAGAAACTCTCAGAAAGTTGAGGGAATTTACAGTCTGATTATAAAACATTGTATCAGGAACAAAGTAAATTCAGTTTGTTTGATCAATAAATTAGTATATACTAAGGGTCACAGTGAAAAAAATACTTGTCATTACAACTTGTTATCTCACAAGATATGTAAAGGATGTGTAGTACATAAAGTTACTGTACTAGTTTGGCTAGAGAGAGATATCTTTATCTCGGGACTAGAGCACATATCTGTCAAACCTCCCTCATTAGGAGAGAGACTCCCTCATTTTGTCCAAAATTTACCAATCTCCTTCGAAAATTAAATGAATGTCTTTTAGAGTTATTTTGATACAATAAAACTTAAGGGAACGATAAATTGAGCAAAGCAGTTTAAGTTACGTTTCACACACTTTCTCCCTCATTGGAAATGTGGAATGAGGGGGATCTCCCTCATTGGAGGTTTTAGAGGTTGACACCTATAACTGTGCATCCGACTAGAGAGTTGAGGGTCAATGGTTCCATCTCTATCAAACGCACACAGCTTTCTCACTACTTCCTTCCTGTTACACAGGTTAGTATAAAGATAGTATGTGGCAGGAATTTTGACATTGCAGGAACAAACACAGCTAGGTAGGGTGTCCACATCTTCTCAAGATGTGGTGTCCATTATGACAGATACTGAGTTTTATAATGTATTTATTTGATTAAGTCTTTCTTTTCTAATGCAAGTATTTGTATTGTGTATAAAGGTTGAAGTTCTACTATCTTTTGATTTCCAAAGATTGGACTTATATAATTAACTTGTAAGCTTACCTTTTTAGGTCACCTGAGACAAAGTCTCAACTGACCTATTGCGATCGCCTTTTGTCCGGCGGAGTACGGTGGCCGTCGTGCGTCCGTAAACAATTTACATTTTCGACTTCCTCTCCAAAACCCCTGAACTAATTTCAATGAAATTTTGTAGAAACCTTCCATGGCCAAAGGTCAACTAAAATTGTGAATTATATGGTCCCCAGCCCCCAGGGGCCTGAGGGGCGGGGCCAAAAAGGGTAAAATTGACTAAAATTTCAAAAATCTTCTTCTCAAGATCCAGATATGGTAGAATCAAATACTCTTCATAGATAGAAGGGTCTTAAGGTGCTTTACTAAAATTGTGAATTTCTTGACCCTGGGGTCTCACGTTTCCCCCTGGGGAGGGGGTAAACTTTACTATAGTTTATATAGGGAAATCACATTTTGGACCAACATTTGTTTAATTGCCATTGGAAGTAATTCAATTTGGGTTAGCATTATCAGTATTGGATAGCAGTTTGATGGTATGCACATATCAGCCCTGACTGACCCCCCGGGGCTGATGGGTGGGGCTAAAAAGGGTTGAATTGACTGAAATTTCAAAAATCTTCTTCTCAAGACCCAGATATGGTAGAATCAAATACTCTTCATAGATGGAAGGGTCTTAAGGTGCTTTACCAAAATTGTGAATTTCATGACCCTGGGGTCTCGCGTTTCCCCCCTGGTTTATAATGGCAAATGATACTTTGAATATTACATGTTGATAACTTGATTGGAATTATAACCCTAAGTTCACAGTTTGATACTCTGTAAATTTTGAGCCATCCCTACTTCCAAGGGCTGTAGGGTGGGGCCCAATGGAGTCTGTGTGCTAAAACAAAATTTCTTCATTTTCCTTGTTTAGAATCAGAGGTGCTAGTTTAAAATACTTTTCAGTCTTAATCTGCATGCTAGATATTGAATAAGGTGGTTTTATTGTTTTTTGTCACTTTGAATAATATTTCTGTTCATGTTAAAAACAAAAATCAACTCTCTGTATAAATATATCAGGTGACCGTTAAGGCCCATGGGCCTCTTGTTTCTGTATATCTGTACATCTTTTAAAAAAATGTAAGAAGATATCAGAATATATAACATGTATTATGTATTATGTTGCATCTGAGTACAAATTTAGCATAAACAAAATATTGTACTGATATAATAAGTCTTCAGGGAATCAGCATTTTGTGGCTGCAGCTTCTCCTTTTCCGTTTTGAATCACAGAAGAAAATGTGTATCAATAAAATATTATTATGAAAAATATTATTAATTGATGATAGCTCACATTTTTCACGTATATATACATTAAAGTAAGGATATATTATGTACATGTAAGTATCAGAAAACATCCCTTTACAGTCTTTTGCAATACTTTTGTCGGTGTATGTATATAGACCCAGTTAATAACATATGTTTGTGCCTTGGAATGCAGTTTCTTATATTGATAAAATATACAGTAACAGTACATAGGATTCACCTTTAATTATTTAAAAAAAAAAAAAAATGAATAAAAATTACAAAATATATTGTTTGATATCGCATATCTTTGAAAATTATAATTGTGTATAAAGGTGAATTCAAAATACCTTAACATTGTATATAAAGTAGATAACCATTTAAATGTAATAATGTCATATTGAATTTGATATACACTTTCTAGACATACACATATTTAAAGTTGATATAAAAACAACTAGTACATTATTTGTACATATATATGTTACCTATATAGCAACTTCAGGGAAAATCCTGGAATTGGAGAGCAGTGGGCCATTTTTACCATTTTATTTTTTGTGAATATCAAAATTAAGAGGGGACATTCTATGTAAATTTAAAAGAAAATTGGAAGATGGAGGGGGTCAATTTCAGTTATGAGGGGTCTATGGCCCCATGGCCCCTTCCAGGATTATCCCTGCAACAGGACAAGATCTTGATAAGTATTGGCAGCTTGATGTACAGAGTGTAAAATATGAAAAACTGCCATCATGTTATTTGTTACGCACAACAGTGTTGCATATGTGTAACATAATGAATAAGAATATTTCAAGTGGGAAAAAAGTATATGTATCTTACTTCTAAGGAAAACAATATATACGTAGAATATAGAAAGGTTTAATCATATATTCATCTGAATGAAGAGAAATTTGATAATATGTAACCTAAACAAAGCCACATAATTTGATGTTTGTGTATATGAGAGAAGTAGTAGGATTATTTCATAATTTGTAGACAATGGTAAGGCTACATATCCATGTATACATTTGTGAGGGAAGGGACATTACCTAATTAGGTAGATAGTAAGGCTAAATGTATCTTAAAGAAGAGCCATTTATGATTGAATCTACATCAATCATACTGGGATGTTTTGTCCTTTAAATGTCACCAAGATGTCCTTTGACATTACAGGAACATTATAGTGCAGACGAGGGCGCTACAAGTTTTGTGAGTTATTATACATGAGATGAATATCTTTTCAATGTTTAAGTCTGTCTTCTTCAAATCTATCTAATCAGTGTTTAAATATAGCTATAATTCAAGACCTAATTTGTCAGTATTTGAGTCCATCTTCTTCAGTGACACAATATATTAACCTAGGTCTTTTTTACTATCTATAAAATACCTGTACATATATATACTTTGTATGGAAGCCTCTATAAACCATTAAACTGTCTATACTGTACACTGTCCATTATGGATGCATCTACAGGCCATTAAACTGTCTATATAAGACCTTGTTCAGTATGGAAGCCTCTATAAACAATTAAACTGTCTATACCAGGTCTTGTCCATTATGGAAGCCTTTACAAAACACTAAACTGTCTATACCAGCCCTTGTCCATTATGGAAGCATCTATAAACCATTAAACTGTCTATACCAGACCTTGTCCATTATTGAAGCCTATAGAAACAATCAAACAGTCTATACCAGACCTTGTCCATTATGGAAGCCTCTATAAACCATCAAACTGTCTATACCAGACCTTGACCATTATGGAAGCCTCTACAAACCGTTAAATTATCTATACCAGACCTTGTCCATTATTGAAGCCTATAGAAACAATCAAACTGTCTATACCAGACCTTGTCCATTATGGAAGCCTTTACAAAACACTAAACTGTCTATACCAGACCTTGTCCATTATAAAAGCCTCTATAAACCATTAAACTGTCTATACTGTACACTGTCCATTATGGAAGCCTCTATACACCATTAAACTGTCTATACCAGACATGTCCATTATGGAAGCCTCTATAAACCATCAAACTGTCTATACCAGACCTTGACCATTATGGAAGCCTCTACAGACCATTAAACTGTCTATACCAGACCTTGTCAATTATTGAAGCCTCTACAAACCGTTAAACTATCTAGACCAGACCTTGTCCATTATGGAAGTCTATATAAACCATCAAACTGTCTATACCAGACCTTGTCCATTATGGAAGCCTTTACAAAACACTAAACTGTCTATACCAGACCTTGTCCATTATTGAAGCCTCTATAAACCATGAAACTGTCTATACCAGACCTTGTCCATTATAAAAGCCTCTATAAACCATTAAACTGTCTATACTGTACACTGTCCATTATGGAAGCCTCTATACACCATTAAACTGTCTATACCAGACATGTCCATTATGGAAGCCTCTATAAACCATAAAACTGTCTATATCAGACCTTGTTCGTTATGGAAGCCTCTACAAACCATTAAACTGTCTATATCAGACCTTGTTCAGTATGGAAGCCTCTATAAACCATTAAACCGTCTATATCAGACCTTGTCCATTATGGAAGCCTCTACAAACCATTAAACTGTCTATATCAGACCTTGTTCAGTAAGGAAGACTCTATAAACCATTAAACTGTCTATATCAGACCTTGTCCATTATTGAAGCCTCTATAAACCATAAAACTGTCTATATCAGACCTTGTTCGTTATGGAAGCCTCTACAAACCATTAAACTGTCTATATCAGACCTTGTCCATTATGGAAGCCTCTATAAACCATAAAACTGTCTATATCAGACCTTGTTCATTATGGAAGCCTCTACAAACCATTAAACTATCTATACCAGACTTTGTCCATTTTGGAAATATCTATAAACCATTAACTGTCTTTACCAGACCTTGTCCATTATGGAAGCCTCTACAAACCGTTAAATTATCTATACCAGACCTTGTCCATTATTGAAGCCTCTATAAACCATGAAACTGTCTATACCAGACCTTGTCCATTATTGAAGCCTCTACAAACCGTTAAACTATCTATACCAGACCTTGTCCATTATGGAAGTCCATATAAACCATCAAACTGTCTATACCAGACCTTGTCCATTATTGAAGCCTCTACAAACCATTAAACTATGTCCATTATTGAAGCCTCTACAAACCATTAAACAATCTATACCAAACCTTGTCCATTTTGGAAACATCTATAAACCATTAACTGTCTTTACCAGACCTTGTCCATTATTGAAGCCTCTACAAACCATTAAACTATCTATACCAAACCTTGTCCATTTTGGAAACATCTATAAACCATTAACTGTCTTTACCAGACCTTGTCCATTATAAAAGCCTCTATAAACCATTAAACTCTCTATACCAGACCTTGTCCATTTTGGAAACATCTATAAACCATTTAACTGTCTATACCAGACCTTGTCCATTATGGAAGCCTCTATACACCATTAAACTGTCAATACCAGACCTTGTCCATTATGGAAACATCTATAAACCATTAAACTGTCTATACCAGACCTTGTCCATTATAAAAGCCTCTATAAACCATTAAACTGTCTATACCAGACCTTGTTCATTTTGGAAACATCTATAAACCATTAAACTGTCTATACCAGACCTTGTCCATTATGGAAGCCTCTATAAACCATTGAACTGTCTATACAGTACACTGTCCATTATGGAAGCCTCTATAAACCATTAAACTGTCTATACCAGGCCTTGTCCATTATAAAAGCCTCTATAAACCATTAAACTGTCTATACCCGACCTTGTCTTATATTCTTTAATTTCCCTGTGTGTAAGATAGAGCTTTCCAGGGTAGGAAAAAAGTGTAGGAAATTTCTATCTTACACCCCATTTCATGTGACTTCACGTCACAAAGGCTCAACAATGATGTGACATCACAAATTTTGAACTCTCCATTGCCGCAATTCGGAAAAGGTGACATGATGAAATTAAAACCTTTTACGATATATTTACCGTAAACATTAGAAAGATGTGATTAATTTTTCTGTGCAAACACTAGCTATACGCGCTGTTTCCAAATATAGGATATGCTAAATCTGGCTGGCTTATTTGTCTTCATCTAAAAAGCTCAGGGGGAAAATTGATATTTTCAAAATGATGGCCAGTCCAAACGTATTTTCATGGTTTCTGAGCTTATTCTGGTGGTTGGAATGAAAGAAAATTACTCTTGCATGCCCAAGGGTATAGGATACAGAAAGTCCACCCTCAGGATGCATGAAAGAGTCTCATAATATTTACCATTTATCGTTAATTCAATTTACCTTTTGTTTTGCAGGCTGCTGCTGCCAACTTTTCCGCTATACCAGATGGTCTCAAAAGCCAGATCAAAAAATTTCGATTCAGAAAGGAAAAAACAATAGCGGCAAGAATATGTAAGTTTTTCTTCTTTAAAATTAGATTTTTCATAATTATTTGTAGGAAATGTTCTGACAAGTAAATGTTAAAAGTTCAGAAATTTTATCGTAAAATTTAATGCTGTATAAATCTCTATTTTTTTCTTCTTTTTTTTTTTTACATTAATTCATACAGTAAGTAAATTTAAACTTTAATTGTAATATGTAAAGAGGGTACATTGGTAAAATGCAAATTCGTTTCAGAAATTACAGATATAGTCATTTGTCAGCAAGATGAACTTAAATCATGTGATCAATATTTACACTCCAGCCTTGTTACGAAATCAAGCTTCATTCATCCTGCATCAGGATTACTGAATCTCTAGACTGGCAGGCAAAATAAAATGCGTATTGTTTGTGTGTTCTGATCATAAATGTTTCTAATAATGTATCCTTCTTAACTACTGCAGTGAAGATTAACGCTGAAACCGATGAAGTAGAAATGGAAACAGAATTAGAGGTAAAAACAACTTATTGATGTCTGTAGTTTCTAATATGTTGAATCAGAATCTTGAATTGAGTATAATTATTAGGGCCCGTATCGGAGATACGGGTGCCCTATAGTAATCTGTAATAGTAGTCTTATCTGTCTGTCTGTCTGTCCGTCCACAAATTTCGTTCCTGGCTGATAACTTTGGTATTTATTGACTGATGTACATGAAACTTGGTCAAAATGTCCAGTTCAAAAAAATACACATTGAGGTAAAAAGTCAAGGTCAAAGGTCAAGGTCATTAGGTTCAAATGTCAAGGTCAAATTTTGCATCTTTTCACTGATGAACATTTTGTTATGACATGATGAAGCAAAGTTGATCAGAATTAAACAAGGAGTCAATTGACCAAAGGTCAAGGTCACTGTGTCAAAGGTCACAGTCAAATTTTGTATCTTTTCCCTGATGAACATTTTGTTATGACTTTATGAAGCAAAGTTGGTCGGAATTTAACAAAGAGTCAACTGATTTAAGGTCAAGGTCACTCGGTCAAAGGTCAAGGTAAAATTTAGGTTTTTTTTGCTGGTGAATATTTCATTATGACACTTTGAAACAATGTTTGTGGGAATTCTTGATGATTATGGGGGATATATTGCCACAAGACGGGGCCCTTCCTGACCTGTCAGTGTTCTAGTTAATTATGGTGAGGATATAATTTTTGTTTGATAAATCTTTAGTTCTGAACAGGTTACATAACTAAAGTAATTAATTAACTCATTCATCCCTGAAATTTCATAATGAACTATTCCAACCTTTGACTTGGAAGAGTTCAAATGTGTCTTCAGGGGTAAATGAGTTAATGACCATGCAATTTGTTTGGCACATTAAATATATGTGATGTACCTGTGGTTCTGTGCTTCATGTTATTACCTTCTTGGTACATTGGCCTTTAATTATTTCGATGAGAAGGAAAATATAATAAATATAATGTGTAGGTAAAATTATTATACTCCATCGATTAATATGATTTGTTACCAAATCTTAACTTTGTGGCACAATAAGTATTTAATTATTGTTTTGAGAAGGGAACAAATAATTTTGACATCATGTCTGTGGTTCTTCACTACTTGGTACAAAAGGCCTACAGTTATATTGTGGTGAAGAGAGATTCGTAGTTTGTATAATTAGTCTTTGGTTCTAAACATGGTACATGTTGTGGTGAGAAGTGTTGTATAGTGTATTCCATTGAATTCAAAATTCCAGTTCGGCTGGAATAAACCAGTTGTTTCTTTAAGCCACGGTCATATCTTACGGTCACACACGTACATGTAGTTGAATGTAATGGGGGATGACCGTAGTTAACTGTAGTAGACCCTAGGTGACCTTATAATTAGACGTAGTAAGATGTAATTCAACATAGTGAGTCAATCAGCACCCTAGTTGACCCTTGTTAACAGTACTTAACCGTACTTAACTGTACTGTGAACGTACTTCTAATGTAGTCCAACCCTATTAGTTGTCCCTATTTGACCCTGCTTGACCTGTTACTATGGTCAACTACAGTAAAAACTGCAGTCAACTAGGGTCAACTACATTCACACTACGATCAAAGTAGGGTCTTGGCATCCAAACTCACAGTAGAGATATTTTGAACAAAAATGTTGGGCTAACCACAGCCAAATCATGGGTTTCTTGAAGTTTAAACTACGTTTATAACTACGTTGAACCACGTCTAGCTACATTTAATGCGTTAAACTAAGGTTACCTACGGTCTACTACAGTCAACTATGGCCATACCCCACTATGGTCAACTATTGCGTGACCGAAAGATGTCACGGCAGCTTTGAATTAAATTGGGAACATCTCATCTAAAGGATGTGGAGGAAAATCCAATTAGACAGCAGGTGAAAGGTGTTTGTTTCAGACGTTCTCTGAATTATGTCCAGATGTATGCGCAATGACGGACTTGCTTTTCTCTTTCAGGACTGTAGTCTTGAGGAAATTCAGGAGGAAATCTGTGAACATCAGCCACGCTACATTATAATCAGCTATAAATATGCACATGATGACGGCCGTCTCTCCTATCCATTCTTCTTTGTCTTCTACTCTCCCAGAGGTAAGTAGTGATGATCATGTCCTATCCATTCTTCTTTGTCTTCTGCACTCCCAGAGATAAGTAGTGATGGTCGTGTCTTATCCATTCTTCTTTGTCTTCTACACTCCCAGAGGTAAGTAGTGATGGTCATGTCGTATCCTTTCTTCTTTGTCTTCTACTCTCCCAGAGGTAAGTAGTGATGATCATGTCCTATCCCTTCTTCTTTGTCTTCTACTCTCCCAGAGGTAAGTAGTGATGGTCGTGTCCTATCCCTTCTTCTTTGTCTTCTACTCTCCCAGAGGTAAGTAGTGATGATCATGTCCTATCCCTTCTTCTTTGTCTTCTACTCTCCCAGAGGTAAGTAGTGATGGTTGTGTCCTATCCATTCCTCTTTGTCTTCTACTCTCCGAGAGATAAGTAGTGATGGTCGTGTCCTATCTATTCTTCTTTGTCTTCTACTCTCCCAGAGTTAAGTAGTGATGGTCATGTCCTATCCTTTCTTCTTTGTCTTCTACTCTCCCAGAGGTAAGTAGTGATGGTCGTGTCCTATCCATTCTTCTTTGTCTTCTACACTCCCAGAGATAAGTAGTAATGATCGTGTCCTATCCATTCTTCTTTGTCTTCTACACTCCCAGAGACAAGTAGTGATGGTCGTGTCCTATCCATTCTTCTTTGTCTTCTACTCTCCCAGAGATAAGTAGTGATGATCATGTCCTATCCATTCTTCTTTGTCTTCTACACTCCCAGAGATAAGTAGTGATGGTCATGTCCTATCCATTCTTCTTTGTCTGCTACACACACAGAGGTGTCTCCTAATCATTATTAAGTCCCCCAAACGAAGTTTGGGGACTTATTGTTTTTACTCCGTTTATTAAGTCACTCCGAACGCAGTCGGGTGACTTCTTATTATTGTTCTGTTTCTTACTTATTATTATTATTATTATTAAGTCACCCCGAACGAAGTCGAGTGACTTGTTGTTATTGTTCCGTTTCCTTTTGTCAACAAAATTGCTGCCATGAATTTTAGAAATTTTTGGGACTTTAAAATTTTAAATGTGTTCGCTAAAGATAGCCAATGTCACCTATCCTATTTCACATGTTTTATAGATATTTTCCAATGCATTCTAAATTTGGTCTGTATGTGTATGATGTTACCGCGAACTCAACCATGACATCCGTTTTCTAATTAGACAAAATGGCTGCTATATACTGGTTACTGATTGGTCAAACTCCATTATTGTCCGATTTTGTTTAAATGCGATTTCGATCGCATAGGTTATGTTGCCATATATCAACCACACGGAGACTTCTGATTGGTTGAAATTTAGATAGTGTTCGATTTTGATGACAATCAATATATAGGGGTATTAAAGGACTGCAAATTCAATCGCATACCTTCGTTACCATAGCAACCACACAGAGACTTCTAATTGGTCACAATTTAGAAATTGTTCAATTTCATTCAAATATGTAGGTGTATATATAAAGTCATTGCGATCATTTTCTGATGCATCTTTGCGACTATGGGGTAGATATTGTTCGATTTTGATAAAAAATTGGTATATACGATTATTAGGGGACTGTGAATTCAAGCGCATAGGTTAGGTTGCCATACCAACCTCATACCTACCGCACGGAGGCTTCTGATTGGTCAAAATTTATATATTGTTTGATTTTTATGAAAATTGGTATATAGGGGTATTAGGGGATTGCAAATTCGACTGCATATAGGTTTCATTGCCATATCAACAACATGGAGGCTTCAGATTGGTCGAAATTCAGATATTGTTCTATTTCAATCAAATTTAGTATGAAGTAGTTTTATGCCATTGTGATCCTTTTCTGATGTATCTTTGCGACTATGGGGGCAGTTTGGGGGACTTCTGTAATGGCCCCCCATTACAATTAGTACTTGTTCTTTGTCAGCTTTTCTCCCAGACATAATTATTTTTCTTTATCAAGCCTTGATACTGTAACCTAGAGAGTTTCATAGTTTTTTAAAGGTTTTGGGCTCGGGCGAGTCCATAACAGAGAGAATTAGTTGAAGTGGACTTAGTTAATACCCAGTGACCAGGTACATTTAGCTCAATTGGTTGGGCTCAGAGGCCCAATAGAGGGGGAAAAAAGGTAATTCTTTTTAGGGGGAGGGGCCTATCAATTCAGGCACCTTTGAATGTTGTAACAGGGTTTATATTTGCATGCCCGCCATAAAATGGGGTATATAGTGTTGCCCATGTACGTCCCGTCCCGATTCAATGTAAACACCCGTCCCGATTTAATGTAAACACCCGTCCCGATTCAATGTAAACACTTAGCAACTTCATTCTTTGACAGATTTTGGTCAAACTTTATACAAAGGTCAAGTATGAGTTTACTTCAGACATCGTTTTGTTTCAGGGATCCAAGGTCAAGGCCAAGGTCACTGTTGCTATATATAGAAAATCATCAACTGATTCAATTTAAACACTTAGCAACTTCATTCTTTTACGGATTTTGGTCAATCTTTATACAAAGGTCAAATATGGGTATACCTCTGACATCCTTGTGTTTCAGGGTTCCAAGGTCAAGGCCAAGGTCACTGTTGCTATTTATAGAAAATCATCAACTGATTCAATTTAAACACTTAGCAACTTCATTCAATATGTTATGGAGTTGTAATAACATACAGAAAAAACATATGAATATTAAAATCAACTATCAACTTTAAGTGTAGTACCTTGTGTGTGTGCATGTTTCAATGTATCAATATCAAAGTGGTTGTAACTTTTTATATAACACTGAAACTAATTTCACATGGCAGCAGGGTCATTTATGTCTTGCAGACATTTTCTAGTTTAATTTTAGTTTTGGAATATTGTGATTTTAGGATGCAACATAGAACAACGGATGAGATATGCTGGTACTAAGGGAAAATTACAGGAAGAACTTGGGGTGACGAAGGTATGTTTCCTTTAAAAACTAGGCTAATCATTGTTGATAGTAGCATAATGTTGTTCTGTAAATAAATCAAGACATTTTGATTAAAATTGAACTTGGAATGATTTCTCTTTTTCAACATCTAAAGACAATAAGTTCCAAAATCACGTTTTTTCCCTGTTGTATTCTGCATCAATCAGTCAGTCAGTCAGTCAGCCTCAGACACATATCATAGTACAATTGCTCAAGCAGAGATTCTGTGTTCAAACCATCTTTCTTGTAACTTGCTTAAGTCATGTCAAACGATCAAAAAGTAAAAAAAAAATCACATGAAAAAGTATGCAGCTTTAAATCTCCAAAAAAGTTTTAACTTTTTTTATGCCGTGGCGCAGTGTCCATCATCCTTCAACTTTTTCCTTTAAAACGCTACTAGTCCTTAACGGCTCAGAGAACTTTGACCAAATTTGGTCTAAAGCATCATTGGCCAAAGGGTTCTCAGTTTTATATAATTTGAGGGTATGGCCCCCCTGGGGGCAGAGGGGCAGGGCCAAATAGGGGGAAAATAGGTTAATCTTCAAACATCTTCTTCTTCTTGACCAAATTTGTTCTAGAAGCATCTTTGGGCAAAGGGAATACAATATCCATAAATGAAAGATGTGCCCCCACCCCAAGGGGCAGAGGAGCTGGGACCAATAGGGGAAATAGAGAAAAATCTTTCCCCTTCCGTACAAAAGTACAAATGTAGGGATTTAAACGAAATGTGGTCTGAAGCATGCTTAGGGTAAAAAAACTCAATTTAATTTTTATTTTAAATTTGTATTACTCATAACTACTTATCTCTGGGAGTGTTTTAAGTTATACAGCTTAAAGTGTTTTGGGTTTTTTTCAGTCTCTTGATATTGAAGATCTTGAAGAAGATGGATTGACAACGGAGGTTTTAGATTCCAAGATGAAATTATTCACTTAGTTCTTGAAGATACATATATTTTGTTTCAAACAATGTAGCATGACACACTATTGTGTATAAATGATGAAAGTAGTCAGCCTACCTTTTCATGGGGAGAATGGTTGAACTGGATTTCATAATTGTGGAGAGACTGACAAACAAGTTGGACACTTTTGTTTTTGTTGAAGTGAAGAAATTGTCATTCATCTGCTTCATTAACATTTTCTGTTACCTGTATAAATACCATCCCACCAAAGATATCTGACAAAGATTGTACTATTCATTTTAATTAATCCTGATATTTATGGTTAGTTAAACCACATAAAGGAAAGCCCCCTACAGTATATGGACAGTGTAATAAAAGACTAGGGGTATTAACGGTCATTTCTGGCCATATCATGGATTTAGAATTAGTTATCTTCCTAATCTGGAATAAATGAGTTATGCAAATATGAAATTTCAAATTCATCCGACAATTGGTTAAGAGGATATGGCAACACAAATGGTGGTACGATGTATAAACCCGCATTTTTCATAGTAATATGCGTGAATATCGTCCATTGTGTGCTATTTACGTTGAAAATTGGCAATTTTGAAGAAATTAAATTAATCAAACCCTCTTCAATTTTAAAGAGCCTCTGCATGCAACAAACAAATAAATATTTGACAAGCTTAAACATTGTCATACCTGTGTTCATTAATAGAAAGCAATATTTGTTTGTCACATGCGGAGGCTTTCATTTCTGCATGCTAACTAACCTGTCCAAAAATACCATATTTTGGCTATTTGTGCATAGCAATGTAGGGCATATACGGGCATATATGCATGTTCATTGAAAAACACCTGCACCAAGAAAGATAGCCTCAATTAATCAATAGGATGTTTATTATAGAAATTTGTTAATAAATTCAAGTTGAAATTTTTATGAGGCCGAAAATGACCCATAATGCTCCTAGTTCTTTTACTTGTAGAAATGTGCTAATATTTACTACTGAGAAGTGAAGCGTAACGATGATGTTAGTTCTCTGTCAATTTTCACACACACACACATATATATATATATACTTTTTGTACTCAACTTCATAAATGTGCTTTTGGGCATTAACTCAAAAACATATTTTATCTGAAGAAAAATAATTGGTACCAGGTATATGATTGATATGTACACAAAAAATAAACAGTTATTATCTCACCGGGTCCGAAGGACCAAGGTGAGCTTATGCCATACCGTGGCGTCCGTCTGTCCGACGTCCGTCCGTAAACAATTTCTTTAAACGACATCTTCTTCTTAACCACTGATTGGAATTTAACTAAATTTGACTGGAAGCGTCCCTAGGTAGTGGGGATTCAAAATTTTACAAATGGTGGGGCTGACCCCCCAGGCGGCTGAGGGGCGGGGCAAAAAGGGGGCAATTTGGCTATATTGCTTTAAGCGACTTCTTCTCTGGAACGAAGAGATGGATATCAATCATATTTGGTCAGAAGCAGCATTCTTGGGAGGCAGGGATTCAAAATTGTACAAATGGTTGGGCTGACCCCCTGGGCTAAGGGGTGGGGCCCAAAAAAGTTTATTACCTGATTATAAAAAGAAGAATGAACATTTGCTTCCAGGATGGCTCTAGGGTCTGGCCCCACCCTTGCAGTCTTAACGCCTGGGTCATAACTTTGAAACGGTTGAGATCCCCACCCCAAAACTATATATACAAATGCTGGGCATAAAGAGACGAATGCAGTCATGATATTAGAATAGACCCTGGGGTCTGACTGAACCCCTTGGGACCTAGTTTCTTAGTCACAGGTTGGGAACAGTTGAGATCCCCACCCTATAACCATATATACAATTGCCGAGTATAAAGAGGTGAATGCACATATGCTTCCAGGATGGCCTTGGGGACTGCCCCACCCTTGGAGACTTAATTAACCCCTTGGTCATAACTTCGAAACGGTTAAGATCCCCACCCCAAAACTATATATACAATTGTTGGACATAAAGAGACGAATGCAGTCATGATATTAGAATTGACCCCAGGGTCTGCCCCACCCTTGCAGACTTAACGCCTGGGTCATAACTTTGAAACAGTTGAGATCCCCACCCCAAAACTATATATACAAATGCTGGGCTAAAAGAGACAAATGCAGTCATGATATTAGAATTGATCCTGGTGTCTGGCCACAACCCTAGGGACCTAGTTTCTGAGTCACAGCTTGGAAACAGTTGAGATCCCCACCCCATAACCATACATAAAATTGCTGGGCTTGAAAAATCTAATACAGATGCTACAAGGATTGGCATTGGGGTCTGGCATATTCCCTTGGATCTCATTTGTCGAATATTTTGCCATGATTGCTTAGATATCCAGGTGAGTGATACAGGCCCTATGGGCCTCTTGTAGAAGTACTGCATATCCACCATATGGAGAAATGTTCACTGAGGGAAACTTTCGTCCTCGCCCATGAAATCAATTTTCACACAGTGTTAATTAATTTCGCCCTAAACATATATTTGCTGTAATGATAAACATGCCTTTATCACAGAGGGCGAAAAAAAAGTGAAAATTAAACCAGAGCAAAAAATGTCTGGTATACAGTACATAAGTTCTGTGTCATTTGATCAGTGACCACATATATTGTGTTATCTAAATGATACGCCAACTGCTTCACATCTCAGGGGGTAAATTATAGCCAATTTGTTTTGCTAATAATATTAAGAATGATGAAGTGAAACATGTCCATTATGACCCCTGAGTATTCTGACAACCTGTCATATATGTCATAATGCTGTCATATCTTATCAAATCTACCAAATAAGACCTTAGTATTATGAAACCTTAGTAAACTCAAATAATTGGAACAGCTAGTTGACAGAATGTGACCAATTTGTTGACAAATTACACTATGTATTGTGTATATAACTATCATCATTTGTCTGGATCCTGTGGTTCACAAATTTGTATACAAATGCATAAACAAACTTGTTTGCGTATCTGATGGTCTTTTAGTATGAATGCCGAGAATTACTAAAACACATAGTTTCATTGATGTTGTATGGTCGGAGAACTGGTTTTGTTCCCGCCAAATGGCATCACCAGTGTTACTAAAAGTTTTAATCTGGTCACGGGTACGCAATATGTATATCTTCATTACCATCATCATCAGTTTTGTCAGTCATGGGGAAGGAAGGCAATAGAATTTTGTCCAATATACTAAACAGGGGGAAAGGAAGTCTGTAAAATTTGGTCCAATTTACTAAACCGTGAGAAAGGAAGCCTTTAAAATTGTTTCCAATATACTGAACAAGTGGGAATGGGAATCTTTAAAATTTTCTCCAGTATACAAGGCAATGGGAAAGAAAATCTTTAAACTTTTGTGCAGTGTTACAAAACAATGGGGAAGTCTTTGGTATTACTATGGGGAAGGAAGTCTTTCAAAATAATAGTATAATGATATTTATAATTATGACGTTAAACAAAAGGGGAGGGAGTTTTTAAAATCTTGTTTAGAATCTACAGCATGGAAAGAATGAAGAATATTTTAACACCATTTTTCTTACACCAACATTCCTGGGCTGTATCTAAGCCCCCACCTTTGCCTCAGGTTTTATGGCTTAGGGACCACAGTCTGTTAACATCATCTGGTTTTGTTTTTTTCTGTTGATTGTCTGTCATAATGAAGGCAGTGGTCATCAACTCAAGTGACCAATGACATCTGACCAAAGTTTTAATCACATTATGTATATATATGCCATCGAAAATACAAAAATAAAAATTATACATGTGCATGTATAAAGCACTGTTTATATTCAGTCAAAACTCCACGCTGAGTTATAAGCCTAACCTTCTTCTTACATATGTTACAAATGAAAAAGGCCATTTCGTGACCATCTTTCTTATACCTTTGAAATACAGTGGACTCTGTATTAAATGGACTCTATCCAATATGGATCTTTGTCTATGCATATTTGAACAAAATATAGACTTCATAATGTATTCTTAGTTCTCATTTTAATACATTCAGCAATGATTTTAAAGCAGGCTCTCTAAATCAATCCAGAACTATGTATTACACAGAGCCCACTGTACAACTCTAGGCCACACAAGGAAAATACATACTCAAGTATACCCGGAAATTTCACCCAGTCAATCTTTCGACTTTCATCCATGAAATCAATTTTTGACCAGTGTTAATTTCGCCCTTTCACATTTAATGTATTTGCTGTAATAATGAATTCGCCTGCATCATGGAGGGCAAAAAATGTGAAGATTAAACAGCATTGAAAATTCCTTGGTATACAGGAGTGCACTTTATATAAAAATGCCTTTGATATTTCTTCTTTTGATATTTTTATTTTTTATTTTTTTTTCATTGATGATTTTGGACTCAAACTCGAAGGTCAGGTGAGTACACATACATGTATCCTCCCCTTCGGGAATAAGTCCATATTCTACTTGACCATGCATGTTTTAACAGAATATTGGCCCCCTGTCTTATCAAAGGTACTGTATATGCTAAGTCAAATGGATGGGTGTCAGTGTGTTTTAAGTTTAATGCTGCTGTGTTACCTATACCTAGTGTATTGTTTGCTTGGACCAAGAAATACTTTTGATATTCAGGTAACCAATAAAACACAGGGACCTGAGTAATTTTACACATTTTAGGGGTGAAGATCATATATATCATCATTGGGATAGGGGGAGGGGTTACCGAAAGTTGATCTGAACCCTAAAATATGTAAAAAAAATACTCTGAACACCTTAGATCCAAATATAGCTGTAATAAATACTCGGGTCCCTGTGAAATAAAGGACATTGATTTCATTATATTGTATAACGTTAAGTATATTTTACTGTTAAAGCTCATTATTACCAATTTATGCTTGTATATATATACATCGTATACATTGTATACACTATATCTTACAATGCATACTTGTTTATATACTTACAAAAAAGTTATATGAAAATTAAGTTTATTAATGTGCTTTTTACTTCTGCACATGCCTGTATACACCACAGTTAACTGTTTGGTGGCTTCTTGGTCAGACGGTTATACCACTTGTGTCGGCAACATTTACCCCTAAAAATATTTATAAAGTATGTGGTTTTGTTGGCAGGAAGTATTACTTGATCCTTGTTTGCAAACTATTTTAAATGACAAAGGAACATTATGCTCTCATTTCCATGCATGTAAGATAGAGCTGTCCCGGGTAAGAGAAAAGGGTGTAGGAAATTTCTATCTTACACCCTATTTCACGTGAAGTGACGTCACAATGGCTCAACAATGGAACTCTCCGATGCCGCAGTGACGAAAAAAGGTGACGTGATGAAATTTAAACCTTTTAAGACAAATATGGGATATGCTTAATCTGGCTGGCTAATCGTTTTCGTCTTAAAAGGTCAGGGAAAAAATTGATATTTCCAAAATGGTGGCCAGTCCAAACGCAGTTTCATGGTTTCTGAGCTTATTCTGGTGATTTGGAATGAGAGAAAAATACTCTTTCATGCCCAAAGTTGTAAGATAGGGAATTTGCACCCTCAGGAATTTAAAATTAGGCAAAAACCATCGGCATAGCCCCGGGTTTTAACAAATTTGAAAATCCCTCAGGGTGGAATTGCCCTATCCTACACCCCTGGGCATGAAAGAGTCTTATAATATTCCATTTCCTTGTGTAAATAAAGTTGGAGTTTGATTCTTCATGCTCATCAGTGTGCCTTGTTTTATTGTCACTATGCCGGCTCCCACTATGAGGACCTGACATTACTTGGATTGATATAGATTCACATGGTGGGTGTGGTCAATGAAGCTGAAAACATTAACCCTTTTGGAACTTCTGGTCTTATTCTGCTAACACTCTTCCAAGGGTCACCATGTAAATCTACCTTTTGTTTCAATTTTGCCCGAGTTTCTTTTTTTTTCATTCAAATGACAGTCTTATTTACAATTTAGGTACATTATCTTTTTTTTCTTTTCCTTAAATTTAGATAAAAGTTTGGTCGTTGAATGAAAGTGATATGTCAAATGTTATGTATAATTCTACAGTGTTATGTCATGCTTTTAAAAGGTAGTGATGTTCAGGTTTGACAGATTGTTTGCCTAAAAAAGGTCCTTTTTTTCAGATTTATCTCCCTTTGAGCAATCTTCCCAAAAATACAATAAGCTGACAGTGCAAGTTAAAAAGCTTTCAGTTGAGATTAAAAAGAAAGTGTGACCACATAAACTTTACCGAAGTTCTATAGATA